GCGCGCTGACCTAGCTGTATTTCCGGATATGTAATTTTAGTCGTAACGGGATCTAAAATCTTCACGACCATATTCTTAGTTTTCAAATAAATATTGCTGGTAACATATTCTAGCCTATAGACCACTACTAAAAAAAGTCGTTAGAGTTACACCCGATTTACATTATTACGAGTAAAAAAATCGCTTCAAGTTCATTAACACTTTAATTCGAATATTTTTAATACTATCCTATATTAAAGAAATGCAGTAAGTAGATTATTCTTAAGTTTATTAATAAGTACTAGACGAAGAATGACAAGATAAAAAGAAAGTAGTAAGGCTAGTGAGGAGAAAGAGAAATAGTATAGTTATTAATTAACTATAATACTATAGATATTTACTACTTACTGACTTTGTTGCGAGTCTAGAACGGCCTCTACATATGGCAAACTCACAAAGCCACATAGTAATCTATTACTTAGAAGTGTTTATTCACGCTTCAATTTATTGTCCCCGCACGGTCGTATTTTCTAAAAAGCATTCTTATTTTCAAAGAAGCTATTTTATGGGAAAGGGAAAACAAGACGAAAATAACGTCGCTTCGGGAAAATAAATGGGCATTCATATTATAATATAAATTCATTATGTTACTTTGATACTTTTTTTATATTCTGTTAACTGACAAACACAGATTTAATTATTACTAATACACACAGGTACCTACACATTATAAATTTTATCTAGCTATATCGTTATAATGCTCGAAGTTGTCGACTAGTATCTACTCGTATACCGGGGACAACTTGTGCGACTAGGTAAATCCCACTTCAACCGAGAGATCAACCTATGAATCCGGGGGAAAGGGATTGTTAGTAATGGAGACTGAGAATCCTATTGCTAGCAATATACCCAACCAGGTCGACCTCCTCGCGGTTCTTCCTGGAAACTGTCATGGTTAATTCCTGACGAATTCATCATGATGGGCTAACTGGCTTGTTTTCATTCTCATCTATCACCCTTCACTGGTGCTCCGCCAGCGTATCCCGTTAGCGCAGGCGGGGTTATCATACCATTTTCACCCATTTAAAAAAAAAATCTGTACCACAGATAATATCTACACTAATATTATATAGATTATGAGTTTGTAATAGATAAACTCAAAAACTACCCAACCAAATTTAAAAATTCGTCTATAGAAAGCTACTGTATCAGCGAAAAATATACCCCCTTGGACTAATGGCAAACGAATCCATCGATGGAATTGTTATAGCAGGAGAGTCCATAAGTTAGAATGAAACATCGGAAGTTGCTGTCTCATTCTATCTCATAGACTCATTGGTAATGACGCCAGAGGGCCAGAACTATATACATGCTTAGCCAGGCTAGATCATTAGTAATATTATAATACTGTAATATTACAATCCCAAAAATTATATACATAATAACAAACACTTTTCCCTATCTTCCCACACATGATATTAATGATTAATTAAGTAGTGAGAAGGTAGTGATTTCCCTCACATCTATTTTAATGATTTTCAGCTATCGGAGAAAATCGATAGACAGTATAGACAAACAGTAATTAATAGAGTTGATACGTACCTAATTAGTAAACTCCCTTTGGGGTAGGGACTCGTGGACGCAAATATAGGTTGAGCAAGTAGTTTATCGATTTTAGAACCAAAACTTTATTATGATGACGTGAATGTGATACGTATACAATACAAGAGTACAATGAAGTTTTATGGTGTGTGCGATACCAACAATAATGGATTAGATCAATTCCAACAATCATCGTACATTTCTAACTACATCCACATTTCTTTATATTGGTACATTGTTACATTGTTTTTGTCTTTTTATAAAAATCAGAATAGTAAACGAAAGAACACGTCACCATTACTTATAAAAAATATATTAACACTTACAATAGAATGTATTTAGATACTTAACATTTTTAATAAATAATAAAAATAATAATAATTAATAAAAAAAAGTGTCTTCTTAAAAATATTCCATATAAGTAGGTACATAATGTCAAAATACTACTCATTCAAATAAATCAAATTGTCTTGCTTATTTACTATATTGTATAATGCAAATAAAGTATACTCATTCTTAATTCAAATTTTAGGAAGCATTATAGCCTTTCAAAAATAATACATATACTATAAAATAACATATATTAACATGCTTATATTTCACAGAGCATATTTCAATTTAGAATCGCAGATCAGATTTAACCTCATGACCTTTTGGATATACATCTAAGTTGGGGCATCACTCTATTAGGTCGCAACTATCTCAATATCTTATATAACCTATATAAACTTGAAACATATAAATTACACCTGTGATATTGCTTAGTTCTCAAACAAATATACTATGGGGGGAAAGGATTGTTAGTAATGCGGACTATCAGTCCCAATGCTAGCAATATGCCTCATAAGGTCGACCTCTACGTAGTCTCCCCTGGAAACTTCATCATGATGGGCTAACTGACCTGCCGTTTCATTCTCACATATCACCCCTCAGAGTGCTCCGCCAGTGAATACCGTTAGCGCAGGTGGGGTAACCATTCCATTATCATCAATAATATATATATATATATATGAATCATGAAAAACTAGGTAAGACATCTTTATAAACGAAATATTTTAAGATTGTATTCCACAAAAAATACAGACTTCAATCGTGGCAAAATCTATTAATTTGATTTAAAAAATCAGCTATTTTAATTTAAAAACTAAACTACTAAAATAATTTTTATATGAGATTAATCTGAAATTCTTTCAGACAAAAAAAAATTCTAAGCGGTTTATAACCAACGGAATTATGAGGTAACAAACATAAAACACCGAATTGAGAACCTCATTCTTTTTTTTAAGTCGGTTAAAATATACTATTTTGATAGCTTTTAGAACTGTGAAAATAGTATAATATAATACGAGCGTGTCCCGCTTATAAAGAGAAAATACAAATCTACCAAATAACGACATTATAAAATATAAACAGTGACTATAGGTCCAGTATAGGCTTGAAATATCCCAGATATTCTGTGCAAACATAACACAGAACACCCAGATCCAAGTCCCGAGTTAGATAAGTTCATTTAAGTATATCTTACCCAATTTTGGTGTTGAAACAGTAATTTTATATAATGTAATATTAAAAGAAAAGTACTTGCAGGCTACAGGCAACCTTGATGTTAGCTATATGCAATATTAGCATATACTCATAGTTAGCATTATTTATTTCATGGGGTGAAGACTGATGTTATAGACCGAGGCCTTGGAAAACTCCGTTGTCCTTACTGGTATGGTAAGTCTGAGTAATGACATTCTGTTACTATTTCAATCAGCTATGGTTTTTTTTAAGTGTAACTTATGGTGTACGCAATAAATAGCTATACGCTATTGGTTTACAGGTTGGCCCTGTGTTCCCGACGTAGAATGGGTGGGTGGCCCATTCCTTCCTTTCCTTTCCTTTCCCATGGGTGTCGTAAAAGGCGACTAAGGGAACTTAGTGGTTGAGGAAACAGCAGCGTTTTTCTTAAAACTAAAGTCTAACTGCGATTTCCAACCCGCCTACCAAGCATGGCAACTACTGGCAAAACCCTGTTTATGGGGAAAGCCTATGTTTTTAAGTGGACAGTTATCGGCTGACATAGTATGTAACGGTTTTTTTTTTAATTTAAGGGTATTTGAAAATCCCACTAGTTTACACCGGGTTTTCCCCTTGTATTTCGCATATAAAGAATTATATTTTAACGCATATAAAGTTTGAGCGCATTTTATTAGAAGCACTGTGTGTGATAGTTAGATATATATAAATATATATGTACTTAGGTCTATTATACTTATATAATATATCATGGGAAATATATATAAATATAGTTTGTATAAGTTTATTATTATGTTAGTATGCAACACAAACATACATACAACCAATGTTGACACTAGTTATTTAGCAGCATAATACTTAAGGTGGTTTAGAACTAAGATATATTGAAAATGCGTTGTTGATCCACCTAAAGATTGTTTATTATATAACAGGTATCTATGGTTATTTCTTTTTCTGCTCAATCGATTTCTAACAATCATTATAAAAGTTAACATTATTTTATTTTTACATCTTCTATGAAGATAATGCTTTCTAATTTAGGTATACTAATAATAAAACAGGTACATACAATAATATGCTCAGTGAAAACCATTACAGGTAAGTTATTCGATATATTATATACGAGTACCTATACTTAGTACCTAGATAAGTACTATGTAGTAGATTATACCTTTTATCGATAAAGACCATTAAAGAAAATATCTACTTTCTTCAACACTAATTACATATATACGATTTTATTTTTAAACATCGATCCATAAAAAACAATTGTTAATAATTTGAAAACAGTCTCTTAGTATAGGTATACTATAGATATATAGGGTGAAATAAAGTCGTTAACCGTATGTAAAACTAAGATATATTGCGTGTTTTAGAATAATTAAGGCAGAAATTTTGTAAGTAAAAAATTCAAAAATAACAGTTAAGAACCTCCTGTATTAACTTAAAACTTGAACGCGCCATGTTAACATGGGAAGCTCAAAATTTTTGTCGTTTACCGACCCATGTTCCTTTGGGAAAATACACAATTTCACTGGTGGAACACTCATTTAAAAGTTTGCCAACATTTTCGATTTCCCACTGTGTATCTGAAGTATTTAAATAATGTAGGTTAACCGGAAAATCTATTAATAATGTCATAATAATATATTTTTAAATCTTTTTAAACATACATATAAAATATATTTAAAAAAATTTATTAAGTATCAGATACACAATACTTGCTTAGTCTCTATAAATGTCATAAATTAACCATCCAAAATTAAAATATTATAATTCTGTGTACAAAAGAAATAATAATATTTTTTATGCGTCACTGTACACAGCTACGAGCGTAGCTAGCCACGTCACGAACCGAGGAGCGAAGCTACGAGCCAGTAAGAATGACGACCAAACGTTATTCGTAAAGAGACCACATACGACATCGTTCGCGCGTACCTACCGTTATACCAGTACACACATCTAACCCATTCACTGAATTAACCAGGCCATTTTTGCTTTAGGCATTGTTACAATTTATATTCTAAAATAAAAATTTTAAATTAATTAAATCAATAACAAACTAACATTGTAAATAGTTTGAACACATAATAAACTAATTAACAATTTCTTATTTGTATACAATTTAGAAAGCACAATTGTGACCCAAATGGCGCAAAAGGCTCAAATATTCTGCCTTTCTTGGAATGTGCTCATTGTAAGCAGTGCGGTTTTCATTTCACTAAGTGGTAAGTACAAACCTCAGATTATACATAGAGAGAACTTTTGTACGTCTAGATATCCTCAAAGTTGCGTGATAAACGCTCCCATCACTTTACAACTTCGGAATATATATTATGAGCGGCTGCACAACTCAGCTAAAATTTATGTTTACCTAATAAACTTATAACTGTTACATTTGTAAGTACATCGCTGTATGTACATAACTTTTTAAGTATGTAATGTATGTTGTTATAATATTAGGTATATTTCCATAAAATTTGGTACCGAATTGGCAAAAGTATCGCGTAACATACCAAAATATTATCGAACTGAAGACTTTCTCTTTTTTGAAGTTTCTTAATAAACGATGATCGAGGAGCAAGGAGTTTGGAATAAGAATAACTTTATTTCCTTAAACAACATTAGCCATAGGTACAATATAGATAGATATATTGTACCATATATATTATACAGATCATAGTATTCCATACTAGGAAAAGCTCGTCTCGTGGAAGTTAAAGCAAGAAATTTAACATTTATGGTGCAGCGTATAAAAATGAGGAAAATATTACATAGACAGTCGATCATATAAATGTCGATCATATAAATGTCGATCATAATTTCCGGTCATTGTATATGATTTTCTAAATTTTGTACGTATGTTACGAGAAAAGAAGAAATTATCGATACCAACGAGTAAATAAGAAACTTTTTTATTTATATATATTTATTTTTTGTAATGATGATAGCCAAAATCAATTACAATGAATTAAGTAGATATATATAACAATAATTACATTTATATTGTACAAAATTTATGTAGAAATAATTTCATTTTCATATTATAATTTACATTTATTTATTTTATCACTGTCACTATCGAGTTATTACGAAACGTAATAAGTCGACAGTGACAGTGATAAAAAATTCATACACAGCGCGGTGTCCTTCTTAACACATGTAAATATCCCATACAATTTCCAATACTTATAGTTAATAAACACGTGTAGTCAAAAATATATAAATAGATAGCAATATATATTTATTATATATATATATATATATATATATATATATATATATATAATATATATATATATATATATATATATATATATATATATATATATATAATTACATTTCTATTTTTCCAAAAGTTAACTAAGAGAGAAAGCCATTATAGTATATCGCAATAATAATAATAATAATAATATTTATTTAATTAGACTACATAAGGCCCATTTTGTTAGTTACAAATTGACTTAACCTATGTTATATATAACGCTCTTACATTTTTCCATCCAATATCTTGGATGAGTCCATTTTATCTATTGTAATAACACTGTTTGAGCTAAGCACCCTACCCAACAGCGAAACAATTCGTTTGCGTCGTATTGCGTAAAAATCATCTGTACGCTCCCGTGCAAACATGTGTGACGCACTACAGTGACTAGGTAGCCCCAACAGTGCCCTGAAGGCATTATTGTATTGGACTCGAAGAGCATTGTAAGTTTTTTGACTATAGTTGACCCACAAATTACTTGTGTAGAACACCTGACAAAAAGCTTTAAACAGGGTTATTTTTACTTGTTTTGTACATCTAGTAAACCTGCGGGCCAACATGTTACTTCTAACTGCCAATGCTCTTCTTTCTCGTTTTATATCCAGGTCATCTTTTTTCAATAATGTGACCGAGATATTTAAAATCAGTTACCACGTCAATTTTTCCATTAAGTGATATAAGGCACATACTTCGGTTTTTTATGTCCAGATACAAATGTCATGATTACACTTTTGCTAGAATTATATACCAGACCATGGTTTTTCGCGCAATAAGTCCGATTTTTGCACCAAAATTTTTTGAAATATGGTAGTAAAAAAAATCCTTTAGCCTATAGAAGGCTGTATCAGCTATATCAGCGAATAATATGGGGTGCATTTTATTTTGAAAACAACTATGCAAAACCAGAGTGAATAAGAACATGAAATTAATTGTTTATTTGTTACTTGTTAAAGTCACTGAACCGACTTAACCAATCGTTACAAAATTTAGCATACACGTAGCGTTTGAGATGAAAAAACCACAGAGTACAATCTTAGAAAAAACATCATCAGGTCGTCCAATATGAGTGCAATAAAAACCAGTATATATGTGTATACTAGTATATTTGATAATACACAATATTGATAGGTTATAGGTAGTAAACGGGTCACTCGATACTGCATTCTGAATAAGTAATCGAGTGTATTCACACACATCACTAGATGTCAGCTGAATTATAAATGTAGGTATATTTTGTGGAATAGCTGACTTGTCGAGTGCTTTACATACTCGAAGCTTGACTACCTAAAGTATCTCAATACAAACGCTTTGCCAAAAACAGACCAACTTTTGCGTCTATTTATATAGATATACCAAAATGTATAGTTACTACTCGGAAAGTGAGAAAAATGTTTAGTTAAATAAGAACATTACGATATTACGATATCTCGTATCTATATTTGATAGTACGACGAAGACAAAGCATCATGATTTATAATAATGTTTGTCTTTATCATTACTGATCGATATCCGAGAATAGACTTTCAATATGTATTCGTTTTCAACCAACTAGAAAAAGAAGTTTCTCGATTCAATTGTGTTTTTTTTTATATTTATTACCTCATAATTAATTCCGTCAGTTATTAACCTATTTGGATTTTTTTTTATCTGTAAGGATATATTTACAGATTGATCTTATAGAAATTTTATCAATATTGGTTCAGTAGCTAAATTTTAAATCAAAATATCTAGTCTTGTCACAATTAAAGTTTTTTTTGTTGCACAATCTTCATCATATTCGTTGAGGATGTTTCTGACGTACTGAAAGTTTTTATAGCCATATAATTTTTATATACATATTGTTATAATGTACGTTTAAGGAATACCAGAGAGTGAGTTACTTTTTGATTAATATAAATATATATGTACCAGTATTTATATAAATATGAAAGAATCAAAGTGTAAATTTGTATACATATATGCATATATGCTTACTTATATTACGTGATAATAATTCATCATATCAAATAGAAGCATCTGAACTTCGAAGGATTTTTAATCAAATTACTTCCATCACTGAGAAACAACACAACGAAAACATGTTTTTTTTTTTAATCTGATTAGTAATTAGAATAGAATAGAATATCTTTATTTCCTTTAACAAAATTTTAACATAATTGTTAGCTGACTCCTTTGGGCCCATCTTTAACATTCGGTGCTCTATTCGTAATAGTAATCACTTATTATGGGGTGAGCCGCAGGCTCATTTGTCCTCTGTATTATAAAAAAAAAATCCCAAATTATTCTATCCATTTTAAAAAATTCAACAAACAAGAATCTAAGCGGAACTCTCGTTAAAAACACCTTTTTTTGATTGATGAAACTTAATAAAGTAAATTATAAAATTACAGGGTACAGAGTCGTAACACCTTAGTCCTCAAGAATGGCAACGCATAAGGGCATAGGTGACACAGTATACTCTGTTATGTCCACGGTACTGTTCATGTCTATAGGAGACGGTTACCACTTTGCATGGTATTCAAAGTTGCGTAAAAAAATTACTAAATTATTAAATTATATAGGTGCATACGTAGGTAGTATTAACTCGAGTCGTATGTTGTATGTCGTATGTTGGATATAGTTGATATTTATATATTTATCTGTTATTATACCTACTTAATAAAAAACTGAAGTACTAACTGATCGATAAATCAACGCAGTTAAAACTAATAGAAAATAAACCTTATAGTTTTGAATGCAATTACGTATCTACCAAAAGAAGTTCTGTTTCTCGTGAACGAAAGAAAGGGTCAGCAGCGAAGGTGAAGCCGCGGGGAACATCTAGTTTATTTTACGTTACGTTAAATGTTTTAATGCAAATCGTGATGTTTTTACTAGTAGTACAAATTAAATAACGAACAATTGATAATAATTTCATTTATTACAACCTAATTTCATTTAGTTCCTATGATATTTTCATCAAAACTTAATAACCTTTTCGTTAAGTTCAATTGAAACAAAATACATATCAATACACAGGTATCTATGTCACTCAAATTGCTTTCAAATGAAACAGGTATTGAATCGTGCGTGACCCTAAAATACTTAAAATGAATGTTCTATTATCGTTTGTCATCGACATTAAATTGTGTTTGTTATAGAGTCACAAAATTATAATAGTACGATAATATCGCTTTTAAATTTTATAACAAACATAACCATTTCACTTTGGTAATGAATAAATATTAGATACCTATACAGTTAGATAGTTATTTTAAGTGATTAAAAATGGAAGCGTACTCCCGCTCATGCAAATTTTTTTTTTTTTTTATACAACTTAGAATGGCAAACAAGCTGACGGCCCACCTGATGGAAAGTGGTAACCGTCGCCTATAGACATGAGCAGTACCATGGACATAACAGAGTATACTGTTTCGCCCGTGATACCCCCCATGCGTTGCCATTCCTGAGGATTCAGGTATTATTCCTCTGTACCCTGTAAATTCACGCCATATCCCACCCTTCAAACCGAAACACAGCCATGCAAACACAACTGCTTCACGGTTGAAACACGAATGGGACAGAGGTACCCAAGCAATCGACTTTTGTACAAAGTCTCCCTCTGGTATAATAATTGTATACAATGGCGAGTCGTCAGTAGAGGATGAAACTTTAAGGATGAAGTCAGGTTATTTGGGATTCAGTGAGGATTTTTGCCAAAGAGTTTTGACAGAAGACCTAACATGGTACACTCTTTTCTGACTTATCTAGGTATCCACTACAACACACACACTATTGGTCATAGAATAAATAATAACTAACTATTTGCTATATCACGTAAATCGATCAGATCTATTCACTGATTTATAGGACATCATCTAATTTTATACTTAGATAGCCCAACCGGTTTTAACATTCGTAATCGAGTTACTAACTGGTAGGTACAAAAGCCATGTCAAAAATTTTTCAATCTAATTCTATACTGTATCTATCATTTTGACGACTTTTATTGCATTATGTTGTGTAGTTGATTTAATACATTACTTCTCTAATGGTTGTGGGCTCGATTCTTTCGTAGCATCTACAAACATTTGTATTCATAAGTATGTCTTGTGTTAAGCTGTGGGCAGTTAAAGGCCGATATAATGATAATAATGATGAGATGATTCCATAGAAATGTTTAATGACATAAGTAGACCTAAGTACTTAAACTTCAGCGAATGTCTTCGCAAATTTTCATTCTTTATAGACAAACAAACTCATTTATATGAGTAGATTATCAGATTATCATCTGATAACATCCTTCTTAATATCCGAGGAAAGGCAGTGTGTACTTCAGTCAAGAATTGGAAGGCGGAACTATGTATTGATACATATATTGTATATTATTGTATTGTATTGTATATATTTAAAATTATTATTACCTTTTTTAAATTAAATTATTATTTAAAATAAATAAATAATTATTGAATATGTTATTATTTACCTATCTCAGTAAAAATCATTTGCCAAATATATATAAGCACATCACTTCAGAATGGCAGAATCTAATTTGTTCATTTTTTTTTTGAGTTAGTAATAAATATTAATATTTTTTTTTTTTAAATCGTAAGTAGAGGCGGGTACCTATTACTACCACAAAGATGAATTTAAAAGAAATTATTATTATTTTCTAAGGGCCGTAACGGCTCGACCTGTAATCGTGACATCACTACATAGTATAAAACAAAGTCGCTGTCGCTGTCTGTCCGTCCCTATGTATGCTTAAATCTTTAAAACTACGCAACGGATTTTAAAGCGATTTAGATAGTGATTCAAGAGGAAGGTTTATATGTATAATACATGCGTAATATTGTAAAGAAACACTGATTTTAAAGGTTTCTAATGTGATGTCGTAAATAAACAGATTTTTTGGGGTTACATTGTAAACGCTGGCTGAACCCCACGAGATAAAAGGTCAACAAAAATGTCCGCGATGGTATGTCTATCTCTTAAGGTTAACCCACAATACCCATTTTTTATCCTTTACATTTTACGGAAAAAAATGGCTTATTTACAGTGATTTTAAGCAATACAGCATTATTTTTATCCAATTAAGTACCTTAATTACATTGTCCATTGAATATAAATAAATATGGCCCTATTACAGCATGTAATTTAAATGAATATTTCCGAACATATTACAGATTTAAAATGCAGGGACATAGCGGTGCGGCGGGACTGTATTGCACCCGTGCGAAGCCGGGGCGAGTCGCTAGTTTTATATATTACCTACATACTACCTACGAATATTTGATAAATCCTATTTTTATATCGTTGAAATAATCCGTCACACCAATCCAATCGAGGATGTGATAAATATACATTTTATGGTTACTTTTATTTTTCAGTAGTGTCCGCGAGCGAACATCGAAAGTGCCACTGGTGTGGTCCACTAGCCGAACAAGTGCATCGCAGTCGCCGCGCGCCCTCTTGCGACACCCAAGAACACCCTGTCACCATGTGTGATCCTGGATATTCATACTGCGCAGTTGTTGTTACCTCACCACGTATGTCTCTGTATTTTTATATATATATATATATATATATATATATATATATATAAAATTAGTTGCCGTGTAATCCCGGCATAAAATGGATCAAACTTTCCTTATGAGGAAAACTAATTGAGCAATAAAAAGAACAAAATCATGTATGTACTGTATATTTAGTCCATGTCGTGTTTGAGTTGTCACACTGTATGTGACATTATTTCTTCTACTGGTAAGGGAGAACATTGCATAGATAAACGTAGGGTAATCCTACACTACATTTGTCTATACAAGATCGTCACATAAATCTTCGCATCAGGCGCATGCGAATGTAAAACTTTTTCTAGAGATTATATATCACGTTTGTTATACAACTAAGAACGGCAAACAAATTGACGGACCACCTGATGGAAAGTGGCAATCGTCGCCTATAGACATGAACAGTACCATACACAACAAAGTATACGGTATCGCCTAAGACACACCTCATGCATTGCCATTTCAGAGGACTAAAGTGTTATACATATGTACCCTGTAATTTCACTGCCACATTGCACCCTTCAAACTGAAACAGCCATGCAAACACCATAAATATATTAGAAATGAACTGCATATTACTTACAATTTATTGATATCGTCTAAAAGTTGTGATTTATTATAAAATTTATTGTACATTCATCTTTGTGTTGTCTTATCTTGTTTAATAGTCACATAATTGACTAAGTAATAAATAACTGAATATATATATATACATACAAAAGATAAATAAATTTACAAATATATTTTTATAATTGTATCACCGTTGCTTTACTGGTAGGGTTATCGCCTACCAGTAAAACAACGAATTAATTAACAATAATTCCGTGATTTATAGAATATAAAAGCACATTCATATTACTTCTGATTTTATTGTATTTTACAGCATACACTGAGTCAAGATACTGCGTTAAGCTGTATCAAGATGAGTGCTACCCCATGTTCTGCAATTCTACTAAAACATGGAGGATGACCTGCCCATGCCGGGGAGATTTATGTAATGGAATACACACGGAACGAGAGAATCTGGCGTTTCAAGTCGCTCTTCCAAAGCTTGTGGCGAAAACACATAATTCTAAAATTAAGAAAAGAACAGTATTGTCCTCACAACCACTTATAAGCTCTAGCACTAATGAAATGCCACCCCAAAATGAAGCAATTATAACGAACGATAGATTAAACGAAACGGATTATAATACTATTATTAATAACACTGAAGATCTAGAATCTGATGAAGAAAAAAAGGGAGACATTGTTATTAGTGAAAATAACGTCACAGAATCTTCAGTACAAGATATAACTAATGGATCTAGTAAAACAATTGAAGATAATAAGTCAACCGAGAAAATACAAATTGAAATTACTACGCCAATAAACAATGTAGAAAACGATCCAACAACTCACGCAACCGAATCACCTATGATAACCACGGAAAATATCCGAAACGATAAATCAATAATCAGTAATGAAATAAAACCTAGCGAAGTATTACCGACTGCAGAGGCACTTCAACAAAATGCAAGTCCTGTTGATACAATTGAAAAACAAGAAAGTGAAGAAACAACTACCCAAACAACATCCATGACCACCTCTATAACTAATACAGAAACACATCAAATTGTAAAACCAACTCAATCACTTAATAAGAATATTGGAGTGCAAGCATTTTCACACTCCTATATAATAATAACGTTATTTATAAGCTGCATTATTATGTTAATATAAATTCATATATGGAATTTAAAAGATATTGATCTCTCTTGAATATTTTTTTACTGTATGTATATAATAGATTTATGATATACTTACAGTAAAAATTATTAATTTCTTTTTAATGGTATTTTATATAACCATATAGAATACCATTAAAAAATTAATTAATAATTATCAGGGCCTCTGTCTATATTGTTACGCACTGGCAGGGCCGAACAAAATAATTATAAAATCTTATACACTGTTTATGCATATGAAAAATACTGAAGTGAATAGTAGTAGAATCTTTAGTAGTAATTATCAAAATGTGATATTAGCATTATACAGTGCAAATAAATACAAATATTAATATAATGTTTTATTCAAGTACCAATCAATCAAAAGTGAAATCGTAATGTTTTGGCAGTTGCCTATTACTAGTTTTGGTTTCTAAACTTTTAGATCCTTGTGCATACGCTTCTCTAATATCAGAATCAAATGGTTTTTCGTATTTTAAATGTTTTGGCGTTGGCCCATAATAATCATAAGTTGGAGGTGGAGCTATTTCTGTGTGTTTTGTTTCATGTGTTCTTTTCCCGGGCCTGCTAGTTTGATCCTCACCGTCATTATGTTCATCAAGTTCATTTACTATTTGCGTTACTTCTTCTTGAGCTTTAATAAAATTTCGGTACTTAACACTATGTTCTGGCTTTTTAACAGTGGAAAAATAAAGACCCTTTTGTTCAGTTACATCCCCAATTGTGGGCGGTGGCGGAGTCTTTACTCTAGGTCTAACATCTGACCAACTTTTTTCTATCGGCGTATTTGTTTCTAAATTAACCATTCGACCTGTTGAATCAAAGGAATAGTTAGATTTATTAGAATTTGAACCTTGTGGTGGGGCAAATTCTTCTATTCTTTTGTCTCTCTGTTGGTCAACATATTCTTCTTGAGACATTTCTCTAAACTTTTTCACTTTGTCGTCAACTCCTTCTTTGCCTAAATCCCATTCACGAATATAGGCCTCGCGTAATTTTTGTCTTTCCTTTTCTTGTTCCTCGCGAATTTTCTTTTCTTCTTCCTTTGCTTTTGCATCTGCTTCATTTTTTTGTTGCGTTAAAAATTCCATTAAACGTGTAGTAAAATCTTCTTCATTTTCTAAAAGCAAAATAATAATTAAGAAGAAGACTTGTAACAAAAGAAATGTAGATAAACATATATGATTAAACAAATTACAAACTGATATAGAAATATTAATAAAATATAAAAAAGGCTACAAAATTTTCAATTTAAGTAAAATTTTAAATAGTAGATATTTCCAATATTTTTTTATGTACATGGTAATAATTTTATTATTTTTTAATCGAAAGATTTACTTGCCTCTATGTCCCATAGTAATTTTATCAAAACTGATGATTTTATTGAATGAAGGACATACAATATGATAAACAGCTAATAAATGATACACCAAACTGTTGGATGTCAACTTTCGACTATATCTAGTTGTAAGGATTTGCCTCTTAAGAACTTTTCAGCTTCTCAAAAGTTTTACACACTTGATCTAATTATACAAACGAACAGATGAGAGGCCTCTATTCAGCAGTGGGACATTTTATAAAAATACCAAAACCTCAAGTTACAGAATTATAACAATACCTTTTGGGTCCTCCGGCGGAAGGCCTGCCCTGGCCCGTTGTCGTGCTCGCGCCGCCGCCACTCGGGCAGCCATAAGAGCATCTCGCTTTTTCCTAACCTCTTCAGCATCCTGTTGCGCCTTCAATGTTTCTTGCCGACGTTTCATCAACTCTTCCATTTGGTTACGACGTTCTGTTTCATCAGTACTAAACGAATAATATCCAACGCCGTGTATACGTGCCTCTGTAAAAAAATTATAATAATTATTCTATTACAATCTAGTTAATACATAATTAAATAAAAGATTATAACACTTTAGCCCTCAGGAATAGCAACATATGTAAGGAACTGTAAGTGTTATATGATCTCTATGATGTTCATGTCTATTTATGGACAACAATTACCACTTTCTATCTAGTAGGCCAACAGTTTGTTTGCCATTCTAAGTTTGATCAGATTTTTAGGTAATAATGATATAAAATTACATATCAAAATTTTTATCTAGGTAACAAATTTAGGCTCTCTGTCAGGTTAACAAATGAAATAGAAAAATTCGATTTAACAAGATTAAAGAAAATATTCTTTTAAAAAAATTGTCATATAAGCAATTTTTGTACCAATATTTTTACACTTCACCAATAAAATCACTAACTGAATAATAATATATGGTGTGTTTACAAAAAACACCATATATTTGTATAAAAGTTCATAAACATGTTTCAGAAATAGCATAGCTATATAGGAAAATGTAAAACATTTATAATGTAAGCAAAGTTTGTCCAAAAAATCTTTTGACATGATGTTTCAAAAGTATATAATCATTTCTAGAAATACAAAATATATTTTCCTTTTTTCCAAATCTAAAGCATTTTATTTTAAATAAATTTCTTTATTGACTAAGAAGTACAAACCATCAAACAGCAGATCTTGATAATGTATATCTTTATCCTTGGCTAATAAGTCTCTTTCTTTTTCCTCCCATTTTTGCCGCAACGACAATAGATAGTCATTTGTTTTTTGCACCAAAAAAGGTTTCTCTTTAGTATTAGTAGATGCCTGAAATTTTCACATTCAAATATATTATTATTCAAATTTAAAGACGCAGCAACATCTTATTAGATAACAAATTTTCAATGGATAAAAATAGAATGATAATTCGTAATCAACATAGTAACTGGTAAATTCACTAGAGTGATAACAAGGAGGAACTATATGTATGGACAAATTCAAATATCAACATAAATGAAATTATTCATGATGCACATCCTGAGGTTTTAAGGGTCTATAATCTAAGTAACCACCTCTTATTGGTTGCTTTCAATTTTATGGGTAATATTTTTGTAACATTTTCAACAGCCATACAAATCAACCTAATCTCACAATTGTTTATTACTAAATTGTAATTTCTAAATTATATATAAAATATATATATAGCCTACCACTGTGTCAGTGAACTTTGACACAAGCAACTGTATCAATTTATTACATCAGATATTTTTATAGATTAAAATAATTATTAATAAAAAAAATATTTACATCATGTTTGTCTTCATCTTCCACCTCAGTATATGGTGCATCCTTATTAACTGCCCTCAATAAATCTTTATCTCTTTTCTTATATAATTCTAAATCAGATTTAAGGCATTTACGTGTTCGACCCAAGCAGTCTGTGAACTCTGTCCTGTAAAAATTAGGGACCTCTATTTTAAACAAAGTTAAATTGATTGTTTTGCATAAGCATTGTTACATATGATCTACTATGAACTAAAGTTATTGTGATTAAATAAAATTTAAACTGAACTGTGTAATAATTTCATCATCATCATCAAAATAAACAATTTCAATAAAAAAAATTCTTATTGGGAAAAGTTGCTTATAGGAGTAGCTAATAGTAGCTAAAAGGAGTATAAAAATACAGTCTGGAAAATATTTTTACTTATTTCTTTTACTAAGCTGAAATGTAACTGTAGAATAAATAAATAAAATATAAAGAAAAACCAGAGGGAGACTTTGTACAAAAGTCGATTGCTTGGGTACCTCTGTCCCATTCGTGTTTCTGCTGTGAAGCAGTTGTGTTTGCATGGCTGTGTTTCAGTTTGAAGGGTGGGATATGACATGAATTTACTGGGTACAGAGGAGTAACACCTGAGTCCTCAGGAATGGCAACGCATGGGGGGTATCATGGGCGAAACAGTACACTCTGTTATGTCCATGGTACTGCTCATGTCTATAGGTGATTGTTACCACTTTTCATCAGGTGGGGCGTCAGCTTGTTTGTCATTCTAAGTTGTATAAAAAAAAATGTTGCTTATATAGAGTGTTTACTATACATTTTTTCTTAAATTACCATTCATTTTGATCATCCTGAATAAGCAATGTAGCTTCATCTTCATCATGAGAGTTCTCAATATTTTCTACAACCTGCTCTTGCTTTTTAGTTTTAAAATCTACAAGAAATCTCCCAGCTAGTTGTGAATTGCCAGCATTATCAGACAAATGCTCGTACAGCTCTGTTTTCCTTTCTAATGCTAACCTGTAAAATATTACAATAATATACCTTTTTTGTTCTATTCTAGACAAGTAGTTTATTCAGTTAGACTAGTAAACCCAAAATAAACAAAACTGAATAAAATATTGTCAATTGATAAATTTATTTGAAATTGATCATACTTGGCTTTCCTGCATGCTTCCAATTCTTCAGTATCAACAGCTTTTAATTTATCTTTAAAACTTGTTTTTGACTTCTCTGAACAATTGTCGACATGTTTATTTTTAGATAATGGTGGTTTAAAATTCTCTAACTTCTTCTGGGGCAACTGTTTTTGCTCCAAAACCTCTTCCTGTTTTTTTAAAAGTTCCGCTTTAAGACTCAGCAACTGCAAAATATTTTAATAAGTAATGGGAAATTAATGAACTCACTGTGTTTTATTGTTTCCTATTTCAATTCAGTTTGCTTCTTACTTATATTCAATGTTATATTTAATATTATTAAATATAGCACTGAATATAATTAGAGAAACCAACCTATGCTACCTATAGCACTAATATTGTTTGTTTATGTTATATGTGGCAACCATTTATTTAGTATTAAAATTTATATAACACAAAATAAAGTGACAACACATTTAGCCTCCTATTATACTAAATGCCTATAAATAGAAGCATAGTACTTAGCATATACTTACTATACCACTTACCATGGATTTGTTGAAAATAATCTTTTTTGAATTCTCATTCATCATAATGACGTTGATGAAATTTGATTTTCTTTGCAATAAATGATATCGAATTTAATAACTATAAAAAAATTTACGTTAGATATAGGCAGATAATCATAGCAGATTATTTTTACATAATAATAAAATATAATTATTGAACGAATGTTATGATAAATACAGAAACGTATTGAAAGAGCACTGAATATACTGAATATTTCAAAAAACTGTCACTAGATAGCTTGAAGTACGTATGATATTGTTCACAAACTGAATAATGGTGATAAGTATGATAAAATCACATATATTGTTAGTTTGATTTCCGATTAGGAATGATTGATTTAAAAGGAATATACTCTTTTCTCAAGATAAAAATGTAATGTATATTATAAATTAAAATATGATCAAAAAATAAATTTATAACAATAATACAAAACAATAAGTATATAACTAAGAGATAAGAGTATGCACTTCATACAAGCTACATAAAACGACTTGGTCAGGAATATCTTAAAAATCTACACAAATAAAATCCTCTTTTTCTCATTTTTATGTTGGCTAGCTTGATGATTTAAATGGAAACGAATAGTTTACACCTACCATAGTTTAATAGTAAAAACGCGAATCATGTTATAAAAGAAATATATAAATTTTATGTCAAATTGCATGTTCCGATGAAAACTTTTTTAGAAAATATAAAACAAAAGATAACATCCTTAAATAAATTTATTATTTTGTACAATATTACCTTGAAATCTTAATTTCTTAACATAATTGATAGTAAATACAAATTTTCAACACTTTCCGTAATATCTGATTAATTTTTAGAGTAAATCTCGTAATAGAGTCAATATTAATTATATATAGTCGTAATTCCCACATAAAATAAAAAGCTAAAACTATTTCACATATAGTTTAGATGGCAGCCATTTGCATCACATTTGTTAGTATTTTTGTTAGTTAAATTGGCACTATTGTGATTTCATCATTTAACTAAACGCTGATATGATATTTCCTAACGAAATCCATACATTAAAAATTAGTATGGACGCAAGACTAACCGATATATAAACGGTTAATTTAAGATTGTAGGTTTACCAGAATCTGATGGCAAAAAAGGAAAAAAGAAATTGACGCTAACATTTTTTTTTTTTTTTTTTCTTTTTTTGTGGCGTTCACCCCGATATTAGGGTATTTTGCCAAGAACAAAACGGGGAAACGATAATAGTAATAAAAATACCTAACACAAACGAATTTAGAAAGGATAAGGATTAGGTCTAGGATATTTATAGGATATGAAGGATATACTTGTACATATGAGAATATACTTATAAATATATAGGAAAAGCAATTGATGCAACTATAAATGTAATCATGTAATATAACTAAATCTTAATATTGTTATCATATATATATGAAGATAGTATTTTATAGATAATAGGATCATTGGAAGAAAGTAGAGTAAGAATAGAAGTTGGGAATGGAACACGGATGGATCGGAGATGATTAAAAAGGGAGGTGTGGTCAAATTTAGAACATGAGAAGAATATATGATTCAAGTCCGCCACTTCAGCACCGCAATTACACGACGAACTTTGTACAATACCAAGCTTGTATAAATGAGAAGGTGTGCATACGTGACCTAGACGCATACGAGTTATAATAGTTGTTGCGGTCTTTCCAAGCTTTAATTTACAAAACCATGGTTTGAAAGGAATATCGGGTTGTATAAGGCGATAAAATCTTCCTTTTATTGTACTTGTTTTTTCCCAATATTCCTTCCAGGCATACCTTAAATATATTTTTGGGAGACAAGCTAGGTCACTACAGTAATTATGATACGGATACATATCACCACAAGTTACAGCCTCTCTTGCAATAAGGTCAGCTTTGTCATTGCCGCTAATACCACTGTGTCCTGGTAACCAGGCAAAAGAAACGGAATAACCTCTCAACATGCAAAGATAAAGACTTTGTCTTATGTCACAAATAATGGGATAAACTGGTTTTGATTTAAACGGATATTTGGCTAGAGCTTGCAAAGAGCTCATAGAGTCAGTGAAAACTATTGCCTTATGTAATTTCATTAAAAGTATATATTCTACAGCTTTTAAAATACCATAACATTCCCCGGTAAAAACTGAAGACTCCGGTGGAAGTTTAATTTTTTGAACGATATTAAATTGTGAATGAAACACACCCACACCTACACAACCGCTATTGTCTGGTTTTGATGCATCAGTAAAGATGTAGTGCCATTCATTCCATTCAATGTCAGTTATAAACATAAATTTGGCATTCAATTCTGAATCATTTTTTAATAACCCAAAATCATATTTAATATTAGGAGATAAAACTAAAGATTGATATGAGCATTTATAAATGGGAAAACAGGACGATGTAAAAGTGGGAGATTCTATGGATTTATATTTTTCATAACTTTGTATTAAACATGGAGGTTTTTTATGTTTCCAATAAGATGAAGACGAAATAAAGATAACTAACTTTTGAATAAGCGGATGATCAGATAATTGTAAACAACGAAAAAAGAAGCGATCAGATAGATATTGTCTTCTTAAAACCAAAGGTGGATCACCGACTTCGAGCTGTAAAGCATTGATTGGACTTGATTTCATTGCTCCAGAGATAATCCTCAAGGCCTTTGATTGAATTAAATCCAATTTCTTAAAAGCAAATGAACTTCCTGGAGCTAACAAAAAAGTTCCATAATCAATGACACTCCTTATAAGACCATTATAAGCAAGTTTTAGTGAAACGGGATGTGCTCCCCACCAAACTCCAGCAAGGCACCTAAGAATGTTGAGGTTACGCTCACATTTCGTAGAAATATAATTACAGTGGGACAGACCTGTTAATTTATTATCTAGCACGATACCTAAAAATTTAATTTCAGTCTTTATAGGAATGTATGAGTTATCATAAAGCACCTTAATTTGTTGCGGTGATCTCATTCTTGAAAACAAAACTACACTACTCTTGGTTACAGAAAGATTAAGACCATTTGCATCTAACCACGTTTTTAACAAATCTAATGAATCAGATAATTTGGCAGAAGCAGATTCTATGGACTTCGCAATAAAATATAATAAAAGATCATCAGCATATTGTAAAATTTTGACGGATTTATCAAGGAATAATTCTAGATCGTATGTGTATATGTTAAATAAGATTGTACTGAGAACAGATCCTTGTGGAAGGCCTTTCCATACTGTTTTAGATAATTTGGTATCTTCATCTAAATTCATATATATTGTTCTTTCTGATAAAATATTAATAATGAAATTAGAAAGCATTACCGGTACATTTAGAGCTTGTAATTTAGTTTTTAAAATAGAAATTATTACATTATCATAGGCAGAATTTATATCTAAAAAGGCTGAGAGGATTGACAAATTTTGTGAGAAAGCTATATGAATATCTGAAATAAGAATGCTCACATTATCTAAGGTGCTCTTACCTTTCCTAAAACCAAACTGGTTCGGGGATAGTAAGTTATTACTTTCTAAAAACCATTCTAGACGGTTTTTCACTAAATGTTCAGCTAGCTTTAGTAAGACAGAGGAAAGTGCAACAGGACGGTATGAAGATGGTTCAGAAGGTGGTTTATGAGGCTTTAGAAATGGTATAATAATCTGAGACTTCCATGAAGTAGGTATATTTCCCGAAATAATTATGGAATTAATTATATTTAAAAAGTAAATTAATGTCGCATCGCTAGCATTTTTAAAAAAGGAATACGGTATACCGTCTTCTCCCGGTGCAGAGTCTTTAATAGAAGCTAGAACACCTTTAAGTTCTACTAGAGTAAAAGGAGAGTCAAGTTCGAATAATTCGTCAGAGACGGATAGAGAAATATTGTAAAGGCATTCCGGCACATAACTAGGAGCAAGGCGATCTAAAAATTTATTCGCTAAAGTTAAATCGAGTGCAGAACGTGATGTATGATCACTAAAGGCAGATCTGAATCTTTTAATATTATTCCAAACGACTGATGAATTAACTTCTGGACAGATAGAAGAACAAAATCTTCTCCAGCCTTCTAATTTCTTTTTTTTCAGTAGTTTTCGAGTAGAACGTGAAACTGCGGTGTAAATTTCAAAATTTTCTGGTGTCATGTAATTATTATAATTTTTTTCAGCCTCTTTACGATTTTTAATTGCTTCCGTACAATCTTTGTCCCACCAAGGTGGCGAGGGAATTTTCCCTGAAGCACTATTTTTAACAGGAAATAATAAATCAGCAACCTCCTTCATATTTATCATCAAGTCATTACAACATTGATGTTCATTTCCATGGTAAACAATAGGTAACTCCGATATTTTATTATCTAAATATTGTTTGTAAATATTCCAGTCTACATTTGATAAATTATATTTAAGCCGAGGACCACTCTTTCGACTTGAGGGAATGGAAATTGGAAAAGAAAGAATGAGGGGAAAGTGATCGCTTCCGAAAGTAGAGGAATGAGGATACCACGACAGTGAAGAAGCTAAATCAGAAGAACATATTGAAATGTCAGGAGCACTAAACCCTTCATTCGGTGCAGTTCTACGTGTTGGTACATCTGAGTTAATAATACATAAGTTGTAAGTGTCAATTATCGTCAGGAGTTTTCCACCATAAAAATTAGAAGTAGAACTGCCCCACGATTGGTGTTGAGCATTAAAATCGCCCATTACGAGAAAAGGTTTAGGTAAAATTGAAAATAATTGTTCTAGTTGTGAATATATTTGGCATGTAGGATCAGGAATATATAAAGTAACAAAACAGATACCATTTATAATTATAGCAGCTGCATTAATGCCGCTATATACAGGAAGCGAAAAAGAAGAAAAAGGAAGGGAGTTTTTGACCAATATGGCAACACCGCCATATCCGTCAGCTCTATCATCACGGAGACTTGTAAAGCCTGAAATCCTAAAAGGATATCCTGGCTTTAACCAAGTCTCTTGGAGAGCTATTATAAAAGGATTATATTTATTAATCAAATAAAATAAGTCTGATTTCTTGTTTGTTATGCTACGACAGTTCCACTGAATTATTAGGACTTTGTAATCCATTGTGAGAAGTTAATAATTAAGAAAATACATTGTAAATGGCATCGTTGGACGGTGGTAAAGTTGTTTGTATCATTTTCGATTGCGATAACACTTTAATAAGCATGAGAATAATATCAAAGATGGATTGATTATTGTCAATATTATTTGATGATAATGCACAACCATTAGAGGGAGCAGGAATATTATATTCCTTAACTATGGCTTCATGGGCAGAACGATCATATCCTTGTTGTGCTTTTTGAGGAGAGCGTGGTTTAAGTGTAACTGTTTTTTTATATGATGATTGAATATGTGGTAATGATGATTTCTCTTTGAGGAAAGAAGATTGAAAATGAGATTTATTGGACGGAGATGATGATGTTAATACATCTGAATATAGTTTAGAAGTGGGAGGATGAAATTTTGATGCTTCAGCATAAGAAACACAACTGTGGGCCATTGTTTCTTTAATGGCTTTCTGACGTGCATATTCAGGACATTTCTTACTAATTGCTGAATGAGAACCATTACACAAGATACAAGAAACATTTTCCTCATCTACTTCACATTTATCACCTGTATGATTTTGCCTGCATTTATAACACCGAGGATTTGAACGACACTGCATCTTGACATGTCCGAACCTACAGCAGTTATAGCATTGGATAGTGGGGTAAATGTACAAATCTACAGTTAATGATGTGTAAAACATAAATACTCTTTTTGGTAATATTTGTCCATCAAAAGTAATAACAATGGTTTCAGTATTAATAAAACTTGGTTGTCTTTCATTAATGGTCTTTTTCTTAATTCTTCTGGTTTTTAGAATTCTCCCACAACCTATAGGTACTGATATATTTTGGATTACTTCCTCTTCTGTCCAATCTTTAGGAATACCCCTCACAATTCCCATACGGGTTACATGGAAAGAAGGTATAAATGCCTTAAAATTATGTGTTTCTAAGTGACTATTATTTAAAAATGCATTTGCATTTTCAAAATTTGAGAAAGAAAGCTATAAACGGTTTCTTCCTATTCTTTTGAGGCTACCATTCACTATATTATTTATCTTATTAGTGTGTAAAAAGCGACCAAATGCAATAGGATGTAATGTAGTGTTATCATTAGGATGTGTTTCATTTTTTTGTACATGAACGACATAAGGAGCTACATCCTCGGCATTGTACAAAGTTCTGCTTAAAGTACTGGGTGGAGAAGCAGGTTTAACAGACTCGGTATTATTTACAACTGGTATTGATACTAGAGTTTGATTCTCATCCTCAATACATTGGCAATCACTATCTTTAATTTTAGATTCGAGACCTTTGGTGTGCCTCCTTCGTTTTTTATTGCAATGTTTGCAAATGCGACGTTCGCCACGTACTCGCTTACGTTTAGAACTTGCAACGCTAGAACCATCTGTGTCCATACTAGATTCACCCAATATATCAAAACTATTATTAAATGGGATAGTTATATTTGCAGACACCTGGGGGGTTGTCCCCCCAGGGTCTATAGGTGGATCCATAATGTCTAATTAATATAGGTAATTTACTTACCAATATTTACAGCAACAAACACTATTACTACAAAATATACAATTATATATACAATCTAATACACAATATATAAATAAGACTAATCCTTATATAATTAAAAATAAAATTAATTTAAAGAAGATCAAAAAACACTCCCGCTTTTTTAAACGTTTCCCGCGCTTTTTTTTTCGACGCTAACATTACTGGGGAAATTGGAGTAAAACGTTTTGATACTTTTTTTCCTTATAGCGGTTGATTCTGTATGATACATGCAATATAAAAATTTATCCAATTCTCAAGGATAATTTTTCAAAATCTTACTGTGACGAATGTGGGATTTGAAATTTAGATGAAAACTCCAATTACTCTATTCATGAGTTTATTAATTAATTAGCCTATAATCAGAACTTGAAAATGATTCCAAATACTGCACATCCATAAAAGTGTTCATCTGAAGAGAAAGACGAGGAAGACGCAGTATTTATGATAAACCTTTCCTCCTGCATCTCAATTAATCGATCTTGTTCTTTGAACTAATTTTCAATTTTTATTACATGTTCATAAGATTTTTGCCATTCATTGATCCTTATTTGAGAGAGAGCTTCTTCTGTTAAAGATTTTATATCACTTGCAGGTCTATTGACGTTTTTACCCGCAACTTTTTGTTTCATTATTCCTCAGATTAATTCTATGGGGTTTAACATACAATGATATGGTGGGAGCCTCAAGACTTCGTGGCCGTGTGATTTTAAAATCTCATCTATCTGATATTTAGGTTCAGACTTATGATTTTTCACTGTTTCCAGTAATTGACATTTACGCCAATTATCGTCGTAAGGGATATTGTTTGATTGAAGCCATTCTTTTATAACAGCAATACGGTCGGCTTATGTAGGTGGTTTGTTTAATTGTACAGAATGGTACTTGGCGTTGTCCATGACAATTAGAGAAGGTTTTGTAAGATTGGGAATCAACTTCTCCGTAACCCATTTTGTAAAGTTATCTTTATTCATATCATGGTGGTAGTCAGCAGATGTACTCTTCAACCTATATACCAAACAACAGTTTGGCACAAAACCATTTTCTCCACCAGCATGTACAATGATCCATCTAGGCCTTGCCGAAATACTTTTAGATGGGCCTGCAATATCTTTATTTTGCCAGCATTTGTTCACTGAACATGAATCGTGTATGTAGGTTTCATCTAAATAAGCCACATCTAGCTTCTCAATTCTTTTCTATACGCTCCAAATACTTGAATCTGTGTATCTTTATGTCATGTAGCTCCATTAAAATAATCCTATTTGATTGGCACTTCACGAATTCGAATCCGATGTCTTTCAAAAGAAGTCTGAAGACAAAATAAGATTGTTATTTTTAGATTACTATGTTTTTAGATTATATTCAAACTGAAAGAAAATGATTGAAATTGATTTCCTCCCGAAGAATTTGTAGCAATTTCATGACAATGGGTATTTCTTTTCGTACAGTGTAAAACTCATTTATCTTGTTTCTGATCAATTCTAAATCAAAACTGTCCAAGTTTTTTTTTTTTTGCCACCTTTCCTCTTTTGACAGCCTTCAGCAACAATTCGTCTTATGGTAGTATTAGAAACTCCTAAAATAAATTAAAGTTTAGTATACATAATATAATACACACGAAAAATTAAATAAACCAAAATATTAAGACGTGTCATTTAATATGATATGTATGTATGAGTGTATTATAGCAAGGACAATACGCGGAAGGAATGAAAAAACGAGAAGTGTAAAGAGAGACATATACTTATATTTTAAATTTTTATATTATTAGTACATATAAATTTGGCCAGTACCTTAATCAAAGGAGAGTGGACTAAAGTAAGAAGGAATGGAATATTTACAGGGCGTAAAGGCTACGAGGCAACAGGTCATAGAGGGGAAGAGCCAATAAAAACCTTAGAGCACCTATTTTTTGAATACCTCAAGTATTCAAAAAATAGGTGCTCTAAGGTTCCTTCCGCTAAGCCACATTCGCACAGAGAGTGATCTTGGATTCGGATTTTGGATAAAAATACGGGTGTGCAGACATGTCACAAACGAAGGCGGCATATAACTGATGTAACCCACTTATCTAAGTTTTGTTGTGAAGCAAACCATGGTTTTATAGGGATGAAGGGCTGGATATTACCATAATACTTGCCTTTAGATTGTCTAGTTTTTTGCCACAAGTTATCTCAAGCCTCTAACATATGTGGTTTAGCCTGACAATGTAGATCTCGAGTGAAGTAAAAATTGTAATTGTTACCATGTTGAATAGCATTTTCGGCCAATAAGTTGCTGTTTCATTCCCAATAATTCCTGAATGACTAGGAAACCACGCAAGGGTAACATTAATACCAGAGTTGTAGCACCTATATACAATTTGTTTAGTTTGCAAAGTTATGTAAAAGTTTTCTTTGGATCTAAAAGGTAATACGCGACAGTGTCCTAGCAGGAATCTTCATTTCTTGTGATAAGATTTTTTACTTCCTAATGGAATTTCGACGAATTTGGTAGGGTTATACAGCCGTATAAGCTTACCAAATTCAGATATAACCTGCTTGCATACTTTCTACATAAACTGTGTCGAATATCTATAATATCTATAATCTAGTAATGTAAAATTTGTTATTGATAAATAATTACGATATCAATCATTTTCTATACACTAGCCTGCTATGATATTAATTGAAAAAAATAGCAACTGATAGTATATCTTTCATCCTCTTTTTACTAATTATATTTATATAAGAAGAAAGAAGGCAACTATATGATTTACAGTTTTTATTTTATCATTCCTTCTATATAATTCCTAGTTCTTAGAGTTAAATTTAAAAAAAAAATAGGAAGTTGTCACACCTGATTGTTGCGAATGTTGCTAATTTCATGATCATTTGACAATCATCTACGACCGTGACGACAAAAATTTTTCAATCACAAAGGAGCAATCTTTTGTCTATATTCAATACGGGGATTAAATCTCTAAAATCATTCATATGAACTAGTTATTAACATACGAATCATATATCAATATTTCTCTGTGTTAGTGCTCTAAAAGCTTGAAATTAAAATGTCAACTCCTGCCCGAAGACGCCTAATGAGAGATTTTAAACGGTTTGTACATAATAATCTAGTACTTTTCTTCTTTATTAGCTCCCATAACCTCATTATTATATATTTGCTAATCTTTATAAAATATTTTTACTCCATTGTAATGCTGATTCATCAAATTACATCACTGTCATTTTCATCGATTTCTATGTTCCACATTTCCAGTTGTTCACTAAATATACTGACATAAAAGCGAAGACTGCTCCCTATCACAAAAAACTATTATATATATTAAGTAGACCAGACCACGGCTACGTCATTCTCTATGAATGGTTGTTTGTAACCTATGTAGGTTGTCGAAATATGTTTCAATATTTACTTTGAACTCTTATATTTACGTTTATTATTTAATGCAAAACTTCGCTTGCTCATAATTCTATTTATAAATATGAGAGTTTGCTATATGTAACTTTTAATTCAATGCCATCTTGAGCGAAAACTGACAATAAATTACCAGTTTTAATATTACATTCAGTATAATTTCAAATCCAAAAGCAATATTTAGGTCATATGAGTAGTTATATTGAAGTATAGCAATGACTGCTTAATTTTATCAATCAATTTCGAAAAACAAAAAATATGTTCCATGTGTCTGAATGATTAAACAAAAACTTCTCTTATAACTTAATCATAAACAAGTTGCATAACTCTCTAAATACAATTTTACCATCTAAAAAATTAGTAGTAGTTTAACAATAATGTTATTGTATGATAAAGATTTTAGTTCAGTATAATAATGTAGATGTCAGACTTAAGCAGTGTCAAAAACACATTAGTAACTTGATGATAATTTTTGCATTTATATTATATTTTATCTTGTTAAATTCTGAATACATTTTGGTATTTCTTTTTGCAATCACTTCTGTTGGTCTCATGTCAATTACAATTTGTATAGGAGTAATAAAGAAATAATCTAACCATATTAATATATTTACATTGTTATTCTCATTACCTTTCAATTATTGAATTTAAGGGTATTAAGAATAACAATATTTTTAGAAAATTCATGATCATGTTAAAGAAATCATGTATATTTTACAAGTTTTATTCACTTGTAACCATATATTAATTATTATTAAAATAAATTAAACTTATTATAAATATAATATAATAATTTAGCTCACCAGAGGGAGACTTTGTACAAAAGTCGATTGCTTGGGTACCTCTGTCCCATTTGTGTTTCTACCGTGAAGCAGTTGTGTTTGCATGGCTGTATTTCGGTTTGAAAGGATATGGTGAATTTACAGGGTACAGAAGAATAACACTTGAGTCCTCAGGAATGGCAATGCATGAGTGGTATCATGGGCGAAACAGTATACTCTATTATGTCCATGATACTACTTATGTCTATAGGCGACAGTTGCCACTTTCCATCAGGTGGGCCATCAGCTTGTTTGCCATTTTAAGTGGTATAAAAAAAAATGTAACAATAATTTAATTAAATTGTTTAAAATATTAATTTTGATAAGTATTATGTACTTAATGCATATTAATTGAATATTTCTGCTTGGGCTATTAAATAATTTCTTATTGCTAAGTGCCTAGAATTACATATATGTATATTATGTGTAATTATTCCTAGTGTGAAAAAAATCTGATAATAATATATAAATAATGTAACATTACAGTTTACAAGAAGATCCACCTACCGGAGTGTCAGGGGCACCCACTGACAACAATATTATGATCTGGAATGCTGTGATATTTGGACCTCATGACACCCCATTTGAAGATGGAACCTTTAAGTTGACTATAGAGTTCACTGAGGAGTATCCCAATAAACCCCCTACAGTTAGATTTGTATCAAAAATGTTCCATCCAAATGTCTATGCTGATGGAGGGATTTGTCTTGACATTTTGCAAAACAGGTGGAGTCCAACATATGATGTGTCCGCTATTTTAACTTCCATACAGGTAAATTAATATTAACATGTAAAGTAACAATATAAGCCATTTATACTTAATTTTTTGTTATAAATGAGGGGTAAATTGACTTTTTATAAATACTACAATCCATGCAATATCCCTTATTTTTTGGTGATACAGTTGCTAAATAAGGACTTCTGTCTGCCACAGAAAGGACATGATATAAAGTTTTATACATTATTCAAGTAAAACTGAAACAAGTGTGAAAAAGAAATAAATTTAATATTATTTGTTTAATATTTATTTATTGTTTGTTATCTTAATAACTAGAAGGGAACCCACTCTACAACATACAAATTTCTGTTTAGGCATAACCAAAGTTTAATGAAACTATGATATAAAAAAACAATTGTTATTAATTAACAATACTTATTTTTGGGGATCTCCATTCCATCTCCATTCTGTGCATGTATTTTTATAATCCTTAATCACTCTGATCAGGATGCTATCTGCAGATATTTTTTTTATAACCCACATTAATACAGGATGTCCTAAGTAAACCAGACTTACCTCACTGGTTAACATAACAAGACTGTTTAAATGTTAATTGTCTTTGTTGTAACAATTATTTTCGGACATCTAATATACAACACTAATGTGTATCTTAAAATATAGTCTAATACAACAACCTATACTTAATGTTAAAAGTTGAGTAACATTATTTTTTGATCTTCCTGATTTTTAAAACTTATAAGATTCTACAATTTGTTTGGATTTTGGATGAAAATAGATATTCAGAATACCCACTATATAAAGAAAATATGCATGTTTTATTTAGAGATATGAAAGAAATTATTAAATCATACAATTCAATACTAGAAATTGCCACTAGATTCAAAACAAATCTCTATATCCACTTGCATCCACTAACTCACTCCATCTAGCGGGTGGTTGTCCTATGCTGTGTTCACCCGCACAAAGTCGCCATTCTAAAACCTTTCTTCCCTATTGGTTGTTGATTCTTCGAACCATGTGATCAGACCATTGCCACTTCACTTACTTATCCTTTGAGCTATTATGGTCACTTTGGTTCTGTTGCGGATATCCTCATTTCAGATTCTGTCACGCAAAGAAACTCCAAGCATAGCCCTCTCTATAGCTCTTAACTTGAAGCTTTTGCATATGCATAACAGAATGAAATATCGAACACATCTATGTGATGGAGATCCTCAAAAATACTTATTTTTATTAAACAATTTTTTTTTAATAGTCTCTACACACAAAATATGTAGATGATATTGTAGACAATTATAACTGTTTAAATAATTAATATTTGACATAATTTGGAAATTACATAGTCAGTACATAGACAGTTACATAAGTAATTATTCATTTTAATTACATTCCGTTTAACAACTTATCCTTGTTTGCTAACTTGTGAACTATTAATAATTGTTTTATTTTTACAGTCATTACTAAGTGATCCAAACCCCAATTCACCTGCAAATTCAATGGCAGCGCAACTATACAAAGAAAACAGGAGGGAATACGAAAAGCGGGTAAAAGCATGTGTAGAACAATCATTTATTGATTAGCAGGGGACAGCCAGGATCTCAGACATCAGTGATGTATGCGTGACTGTGCTGCTGACAATGCTGGCAAATACCTCCATGTAAATTCATTGGGACAAATATGTAAATTAACTATATAGCCTCATAATATAACTTTTTTAAGATTAACCTCTTACAAATCCATAATTTAGAATACACAATTATACCGTTATTCAAAAATCTTTGATGAATTATTTCTATACTTTCTATAGTGAATAAAGTATAATGATACACTACAAACCAATTTAATAAGATAGTAACAAATATATCATTAGATCTTACAACCAAGCATAATTTTATAGTATTTAAAAAAATATTAAAATTATTTCCTAACTTCAACCAAGCCACGATGTCCATTTAGTAAATTATTTAAGGGATCGCCATATAGCCGACGGATGGGACAGGTAATACGACGATAGTGTAAAATGATCATGTGGGTGGTGGTTAATTGTACAAAATTAGAGGTTACACATAGTGCTACAACTACAATAAAGCCCAAAGTAATATAATTATTATTAACAAGGATGTTATGTTTATATTCAGTGACAGGCTCACTCGTCAGTTATGTAGAAAGCCCTTGAAATAAACATTCAGATGTTAATATGTATGTTTTTTTTTTTTTTTTTTTTTTTTTATGCAACTTAGAATGTAATATTATATTGCCATTCCTGAGGACTCAGGTGTTATTCCTCTGTACCCTGTAAATTCACGCCATATCCCACCCTTCAAACCGAAACACAGTCATGCAAACACAAGACTGGTGGATGATTGTCATAATTTATCTTACTGCCCTGACTCTAAACTCTTCAAATAACTGACTCTAAAAAAGTATCCAAAGTAAAAAGATCCAGTATCAGTGCAATGGGTGAAGTGTAAGCGACCGTTTATCTACTTTTTGTTTACACCACACTTGCTTTTGTGGGTAGTCGCTAATTTTATGACACAAGAATAGAGATATTTTAATATATATTTCACTTTTTATAGAATCTTTTCAAAATGAATAAATTTAACAATATTCACTTTCTATAACATTGAATCCCATAGTTAACATATAATTAGTTTCATGTAAGCAAATTAAGAATAAATACCTATGTTTCTGCATTCAAGGTTATCTGTGAAATACCAGAATTACTTATTTTGTAACATCTCCTTTTAATAATGACTACCTAACAAATGTATTTTAATCACAATATCAATACTTGGAATTTTCTCTACAAATAGTATTTCAGCATGATATGGTTTCTATTTGATTCATTTCCCGATATCGATTGGTGCTCAAATCTGTATCTCAATCATTTTAAAATCATAAATATATCATTGTAAAATGTCTTTACAGTCATTATACTATAGATAACGTTTACTTCTCATTTGTCACCATACACCTACTTTTGTTTTATTAAGTTTATGAACTATAGGGTTTTGCCATTTTACATTGGTAATCTTTTTAGAAAAGTAGCGAGTCCAAATGACGAGTCTACTTCGCCACAATTCGATCGTTTTATACTATATCATCATCACCCATCAACTTCCCACTACATAGCATGGACTGCTCATAATAAGAGAGTGAAGTAACCTATTTCTACCACGCTGACCAAGCGGTTTAGTACAGGATTTTATTTAAAATTTATCTTTTCTTGAACTGATATGTTAAGTGAACTATTGTATTATGTGTTGTGATCCCAGGGTTATTTCTCATATAGGCAAAAATACTGTACTTGCTCTGATAAAAAAGTTACCAATGTAAATTAGATATTAGACCTACATGACTACTTATGTGTTTTTTATATATTTATATTACAAAATTTAATAGAGTTAAGTACCGATTTAATAACAGTTAGTTTGCTTGACATCTTTATCCTAATTGCTCTTAATTTATAATTCTGCTGCACAAAATTAAGCCACAACTAATTAATCTTTTACTAGTGTCCCAATGGATCTATTGTGCAACAATGTGTAGCAGTTTCCTTGTTTTTTTTTTTTCTAATAAAGCTAAAAAGTATGAATGTCTTAGTGTTGCAAAGACATTTTTACGTACCTATGTGTAATATTTTGTCTTAGTAAAATATTATTTTCGGTTTTAAATCGTGTTTAATTTCACTGCCACTAAATATTGTACAAACTGTCCTAATATTTATTTAAATAGTATATGTAGGTTAATATTTTCTGTTAACTGATTTATTACTATTTGTGAAGTGTCAAAGTATAAATTTGCCACTAACTAGGGTATTATATCCAAAAATCCTGGACGCATTAGAAATAACATCCGATTAGGAACTACTATTACTAGTTTTTTAATGGGATGGAAATAATAAGCCCACTTGCTCTATCGATATACACTGGTTGGCTATCAATAAGTGATGATAGATGAGGTTGACAGCAAACCATTTGGTCTATCGTGACGGATTTATAAGAATTTTTTTGGAGGAATACGTGAAGGTTGACCTTTTTACAAACAATATCTTCTTTCATAAACTTACCTTTGTGTTTACATTTATGTAATAGTTACTTATTATTATTATTATTATTATATATATATATATATATATATATATATATATATATATATATATATATATATATATATATATATATATATATATATATATATATGGCTAGTCTGAGCTATTTCACAATTATCTTTCTGACGAAACTCAATATGCTCACATTCGCCGAGCATAACTATCCGACGTGACAGGAGGTAAGTCTATCACAGTTTCTTGGATTCTTTAGTTTGTTATTATTATCAATTACTGAAGATTTAGTTAGAAATTAATATTGACACATTTTTTTTATATTGGCCAGAATTGAATTCACGACTTTTGCGGTCTATTCAATATATAGTATACTGGGTTACGACGCTCTCATACCTATTTAGATATTTTGTACTTTGAAAGACACAAATTAGAGAGTGATTTTGAATTCATTAGCATCCTTTATCCTTCATCCTTTTCAATCATCCATCAAGAGAGTCTTCTATTCGTGAAATGGAATATTTTTCCCAAGAGTATAAGACGAAGAAAATTGAGGTTGCTATAATAACTGTCAAAGATAGAGGGGAAAGGGATTGTTAGTAATGGAGACCGAGAATCCCATTGCTAGCAATATACCCAACCAGGTCGACCTCCTCGCGGTTCTCCCTAGAAACTATCATGGTTAATTCCTCACGAATTCATCATGATGGGTTAACTGGCCTGTTTTCATTCTCATCTATCACCCTTCACTGATGCTTCGCCAGCGTATCCCGTTAGCGCAGGCGGAGTTACCATATCATTTTCACCCATCAAAAAAAAAAAACTGTCAAAGATATATAATATATACAAATATAAAAATAACATTTATATGTATTAGTATGATTAGTATGACACGTTAAATTTACTATAGACAGGCCTTTAATAAATGTTTACATAACGTTACAAAAATATTTCTAACATTTGTTTGTCTAAACAAATAAAAATACATTATTGAAAATAAAACGTGTTTCAGACCCAAGATTTTTTTTCTTTCAGATTAAATATTTTGTAATTTTGTTTTGGAGCCAAGCCATTTTGCCGGTACGCACGAGACTACTGCACCACCTAACCGCTAAAATGATTTCTTATTGGCTGGTTTAGAATCTCAATATCATGTTATTTCAGCTTCGTGTGTAAAAATGAATTGCGCGCGGTTTTAGAATTTTTTAAAGTTACAACTCACGCCCGTATCGTTCAGGTCTGAAAGGGTTAAAGTAATAGATTTTATTATATAATCTATAAATGATGGCACACAAAATTTTAATAAACATTGTTACCTGACTAAACAGTATTTAATCACTTACACAGTTTTGTTAAACTCTGTTTAGATAAACAGTGTTTCAAATATACAGTAAACGGTCTATACAAGCAACTCGTTTGAACCAATTTCTATAGAAAAGATTCTTATAGGAAAGTTGGGAAAAGTTGCTTATAGGGAAAAAAGGAGTATAAACATATTTATTGTCTTTGAAATATTTTTTTTACTAACTAAGCTGAGTAGAATAAATAAAATATAAAGAATGTTGCTTATATAGAGAGTTCACTGTATTTTGTACTAGGACCGTTTGTTTCATAGATGCCTAACGCTTGATTTCATCTGTATAGATAAGCCCGTTATTTAATATTTTTGAAACAGTCATAAAGAGAATAGGTATATCTTACCTATTCTCATTGTGGTGTAAGTACCGAATTTAAGATTTTAAGGTGGTAAAAAAAGAAATAAAAGTTCATTCTGTGTAGGGAAATTATTTATATAAACATTCTAAGCGTAATAAATAAAAAAGTAAGTATGGCTATACTTGATTTGCTAATACTTGTCATCTAAAATAATGAGGTTAAATCTAACGTGTTATTCTCGAAACCTATCTGTAAAATTACAATTTCAATTTAATATCACAGCGAAATATCTATTTTAAATATCAATATAAACTAAATTTCTAATAGATTCATGTCAAAACTATTATAAATTTAGTTTATGATGGTCCATAAAGCTATCGCAAAAGTATCAAATTAAAAGATTAAGTTGAAATAGGTTTGGAGAAATGACGCCACAAAATCGCTCAGTATCTCTTATAATGAAATTAGGTACATACCTAAGTAGGTAAGTGTATATTCAACTAAAAAAAAATTACACAGTAGACGAAAATCTGCATTTTAGTTTAAAAATAACCAAAATATCAATTCAATAAATTATTTAAAAATGCATAAAATAACTAATTTATCTACCTACTCAAGTATATAAAATTTAAATAAATCTATAGTACCTATAGGGGTACTTAACAGAAAAATTATGATTTAGTCAATTTGTTTCTATATATTCGCACTAAATCTAAATATTTAGAGCCTTTTGATAAAAGTATTTTTTAAAACTATAACTGAATAAAAAAAAATATAATTCCACTATTGTGGATCGCTGACTACATACATGTATTAGTAACTAAGTTATGGGTAATGATGGATTTTGTCCTATAAAATTGTTGATTAGATATAAAATTATTTTTTTAAAGTCTGCAACAGCCTAATTTAAATAATTAAAGGCAAATCTAAGTACCAAAATTAGTGACTTCAAATAAAAATTATTAATTTAAACTGGAAAATCATCTTTATAAACTCCAGAATATTATTATACTTACACCTATTATTAAATAAAGAAATTTAACATAACTATCACCGAGTTTTTAAATCTTCTTTTAATTTGAAATGTATCAATTCCATACAAACTGTAGCATCTTCAGCACTGTCATGCCCATCTACTGAATTTTGAATAATCTTTTTTAAGTATTCAGATGACAAATTTCTCAATGCCCTTTTATATGGAGGCCCCATTTTGTGAGGAAATAATATACTGGTATCAATAACAGTATCATGGATTAGTTTAAGAGCTTTGAAATCAGATTCTAAACTATGACCTACTAAAATAGTTTTACTATTGAACATAGTAAGTAATGTTGCTTGAACTTCCAATAGTGTAGTTTTCACTTCTAACATTTGTTCTTCTGTAATGCCTGAATACCTAGTATTATAATCTATAATAGGATGCAAAGGCCTGATAAAAGTTTCATAAACCACTTTGCAGGCAGAATTGATAACTGTCACCCTAGTCAAATCTAAGCCATGAGTTGTATAACACATTTCACAATCCAAAGAATATACTCCATAGTCCTCCATAGATTTTTCAGGTGGCATTGTCCTAACATATCCTTTGAGGTTTTCAAAATCTACATACTCATATACATGGCTAGGTGCAATACAACAACCATCAGAAGTGCCATCTTGACTGCAACACTGATATCGAGCTTCACCACGTACTCTGTATTTATTATTAGGGTGATATATGCATTCTTCTTTAACTGCAGCAAACCCTTTTTTATTAACTGTATAATCTTTTTTGCACCTGCAGCAAGTCCTTATATTGCCATTTGGTGGTTTCTGTTTATTCTGTCCAATAATGATAGCCCTACCCTTTTCACCACTAGGATGAGGTCTAGGAAAACCATTTTCTTTTAATTGTTCTTCATTTAAAATCCATTTTTTTATATTGTTATATAATTTTGCTCCACTAAACTCATGTAAATTATCATAACTTTTCCTATTCTTATTTTCTATACTCCAAGAACCAGTGTAATTTGTTTTTGCACCCTGTGGAATTTTTTGTAAAGTCAAACAATCAGATCCTGATTTCTTTATACCATTACATTCTTGGAATTCTTTTCTCAGCCTGCTCACAGCTAATACAGCAGAGTTTTTATAGATTTGCACTGTAGAACATTTTTTACTAGTAATCAATTCTTCATGTTGTGCTCTAGCATAAGCATCTGTTGCAGACAGATATAATTTAAGACATTCATCTATCATCATATTCAAATACGTAGATCTTACATTTGCAGGAATTTTAGATGCTAGTGGTTCTAAAACGCCAGGTCTGTCAATAAACTTTTCATTAGGTATATGAGCAACACGCTGAGCTCCTTTCTTCACAGTCTGTATAACAGTAGAGCTAGTAGAAGGTTCAGTTTTTACTGAATTAGAACTTGGAGTAATAGTTTTTTTAGCATTTAATAGTGTTGAAACATAAGGCACATGAGCAATACGAATCTTAGAACTGCCAATATTGGGACTACTAAATGTACCTTTTGTAATATCTATTTTATTTTCAACAGTAGAACTTGGAGTTTTTGAAGAATGATATTCTCTAACTTTATGTAATCTTTCAGTCATTGTTTGAACAGCACTTAATTTATAATCAGGTTTTATGGGAGCTTTTGGAATTATTTTAATATTTTTTTCTATTGTTCTTGATATTCTCTTTTTACTTGAAACATATTCATTATCAGTATCAATTACTTTATTATCTATTTCTTCATACACTTTAGGTTTTTCAGTAGGAACATACTCTTCAAATATTTTTTTACATTCCATGGCTATTATATCCTCATCTGATTCATCATATATATCCTCATTGCTTAAGTCTACATTTTCTTCATTGTGATTATCATTTTCTAATAAATCAACTGAGGGAGACTTATCTTTTCTTTTCTTGTGTTTTTCTTTAGAATGCTTAGACCTTCTATGTGATTTGTCATGGTCGCTTTTGTCTTTACTTTTTGAATTGTTTTTAGAACTACTTGAGTGCTTCGAATGTCTTTCTGAACTTTTAGAATATTTAGAGCTCTCATTAGAGCTTCTTGTAGAGTGCTTTTTCTTTTCACTTGAATATTTTTCTTTTTTGTCCCCTTTATTTTTATCATCTTTACTTTCATCTTTTTTGTTAGACTTTTCAGAACATCTACTGTTATTTTCAATTTTTGCTTCATCTTTTTTATTAGCTTTTTCAGAACTTCTATTATTACATTCAGTTTTTAATTTATCATGTGATGTAGATTTATGTTTACAATCCAATTTCTCTTTACTATGAGATTTCTTTTCATTTTTTTTTCTCTCATCTTTTGCACAATGTTCACTACCTAATGTATTTTCTTTACTGTTTTTGTCTTTATTTTTCTCTGTCTTATTAATATCTATTTCACTTTTGGCATTTTTATCTTTTTCTGTCTTTTCTTCATCTAATATTTGGTCTAAAATATCAAACTCTGGACCCAGATCATCTAAACCATTAAGATCACTAGATAACTTTCTTTTCTTCTTATCAGGCTCATCTTCGTCACTTGAGAAATAAGGAACCTGTGATCGAGGTGTAGGCCGATATGTAACTGAAGGTGGGGCTATTTTTGAATTTACTTTGGCTGGTTTATACTCCAGAATTTTCTTTTTACTAACACTTTTGTCTGAAGGTATATAGCTGTGTTTATTAGGTTGTTGTGTTGTCTCCTTGGGTGTATATTCTTGCAATTCAATTTCAATGCCAGGTAAATACTTTTCTTTTGATTCTGTTGTTGTACCTTTAGGAGTATAAGGATCCAATTTAGGAGAATCATTACTTCCCGGTGAGTATGTCACTGGTGGAGGTATATAAATAAAAGGTTTCGAAGAACCATTAGAATCAACAGGTCTGATAATAGGCAAAGTAACAGGCTTCCTTGGAGTGTATGGTACAGGTATATGTCTCTTTCTTTGTTCACTTACGTCCTCAACATTATCTGTATCTGCACTGGATATTTTGTTTAATTCTACAATGGGTGTAGGATTATATGTTACTTTAGACCCTGACTGAACGTTTGGTATTTTATCGTCAGCATCATCACTACTACCTAATGTACTAGTAGTCGCATCAGTATGCTGAAGCACTTTCTGTACTGCTGCTGAAACAAGCTTTTGTAAAATCGTTCCACTTTCCATCCCTTCATTTACTGTATTTTGAGATTCCCTCTTAACGTGACGAAAATGACAATAAGGCCTTTCACATAAACCACTGTCATAGAATGGACAGTTAATTCCTTTAAAATAACCAGTTGAAGGCAACATTTTATAAAGTTGTATAAAATTATAGAATATAATACAAAAAATTAAGAACGCTAAAATGACACAATCACCGACATCTATATTTTTACAACTACAGATTAGACAGATCAATGTTGCCAATAGCCGATAGACAAAAGTTACACGAGATTGCTAAAAAAAAAATATTAATTGTAAAATTAACGCTTTTTTTTTCTGAATGTGTTTGCTGTTGGCCGTGAGTGGACTTTACAGCTTCACCGAACGTGTAAGTAGGGATGAATGCAGATGGCACTCCAAGCCCACGAGAGGGGAGCGACAGAAGTGTCAACTCTTGCTTTTGGATTGCAGCATGCGCCTAAGGGCGCCAGAGTGGCTCGGGCTTCGGCTTAGACCATTGCATTTCGACACCTGTCAAGGGATGGTGAAGGGTCCATATGTCGTGATGGGTGGGAATACTGAGTCATTGGTATGCGTTCGGGGACAAACCTGATTGTGCGCGAACCGTGTATCGTGTGGAATCTTCGTCCCCACTGGTAGGGATGGTGTGTGCGATGTACGGGTGTATTTTCAGGGGTCAGTTACTCTCAATCTAAATTTAAATAAAATATAATACGCTATATACTCGTAGATTTCCCTTATTTTATTTCATCAGATGGGCATCATCGTCTTAAAACATCACCAAGGGGGGAGGGAAGGGATTGTTAGTAATGTGGACTAATGGCCCCATTGCTAGCAAGCCCTGTGAGGTTGACCATCGTCGAGGTTCCCCCTGAAAACCATTGTGATTAATACTTCTTGCATTCGTCACGATGGGCGAACTGACCTGATTTCATACTCACCTGTCATCCCTCACTAGTGCCCCCATCAGTGTATACCAATAGCGCAAAGGGTCACCATTTCATTATCATCCATTGAAAAAAAATCATAAAAACAACTGCTATTACCAATTCGCCTGCTAAGTATGGTAACTACGCTCTTGCATCCCAAAATTTCGCTTTATAAGAGAGGCCTATAATTATGATTAATTCCAATGTATTTATTGATTGTTACGATTCATAATTTATAATATTATTTCATATCTAAAAAAGCAGTGGATGCAACAGAAGAAATGAATTACTAATAAATATGCTACATACATTTTCTACATTTTATTTTATAAATAAATTATATTAGATGCCTTTGAATCTGCACCGTGTTATATAATGATTTTCAAGAGGTGTAAAGGTCAACTTGACAGGATATATTGCTAGAAATATGGAAGCTATTTCCAAACAGACAACTATTTCTAATAATTTATATTCCCAAAAAGAAAAGAGTAGTTATATGAATATTATATCTCAGATATATAAATATACATTAAGAATCACAAACAAAAATATTGAACAGTAGAAAGAATATACCATAGAATTGTTATGAGCATATCACTTCGTCAACCTAATGGACATACCTACTCTTGTAATAATAATCTAATATTAAAATATAAAAAAGAAGCAAATCAAACAATTTAGATGATAAATCTTGACACGCTACAGCTTAAAAAGTTAGAAGGCGTTATACCACATCTACTAGCTCTATTTCGATCTATTAATTTTTTTTATTTGTAATTTTTATAAAACTATTTCACATCATTATGAAAAGTAACGTAAAAAGCTACAAAAATAACGCACTGGCAACGCTACAGTGAATAAAATTAAATACAGAGTAAGTACCTCACTACCCCAGCTCACTTACACTACAGATATTACATTTTGACACGGAGATGTCATTAGATTTAGCTAAGAAGCTTAGATGGAGCTAAGAACAAGATAGAGCCTCGAGTCTTAAATACAGGTCAACTTTTTGTCAGCTAACTGTTAAGTTAGTCAAGTCGTTATTTTATTAGTGTTCTGTTCTAGATAGTCCGTAAAAATTAAATTCATCAAGATATGTCACTTGGTTTTATTGGTTATATAATCTTAACAAATTCAGATACAACCTCCTTGCATATTTTCTACATAAACTGTGTCGAATATGTTAAGAACCTCCTTGGTTCAATGGCAGGCGATATGCATTCTAGCAGCGCTTGTCAATGTAAAATAAAGAAAAATAATATTAGAATACATTTCATAGCTTTCTTATGTAATTTTTTCCGAGTCTGTTTAGGCACGTGAGCATAACATGATGACCCAATAATCCTCATGTGTTTAATCCTTGGCTTTATACCAGTCCAAAGTTCTGAGGGTGACTTGTGTTCCACTGACGTTGGCCCTGTCCTGTTCAAAATATATACAGCAGTATTCACCAATTCAGCCCACAAAGTTTCAGTTAACCTTTCATGTGCATGCATCATAGCTCTAGCACATTCCACGATCGTTCTGTTATCTCTTTCACTATTTCCGTTTTGTTCCGGTGTATACGGCATCGTCAGTCTTTGCTTTATTCCATTTTCCACCAATATTTTCCGTACTTGTGCATTGTCGAATTCACCACCATTGTCACTCAATAGTTCCTTAACACTGATCCTGATCCCGGCGTTGCTTAATACTGGTGAGTGTTACTACCAATTTCCTATATTAGGTTATGGGCTAATACCAAACTTCAAAATGGATGTGTCGAAATTTCAAATTAATAAACTAGAAGGTGAAAATTGGATACATTGGAAGTATCGCATGTCAGCATTATTAAGGGGAATAGACGGTTTAACGGATGTAATAAATGGATCAATAAAAAAACCGGAAATGCCAGATAGTAGTGCTGGGGATTCAGCAGCTATGGCTAAGTACGAAGAGGACTTACGAAGCTACACTAAGTTGGACAGTATAGCTGTACTTGTAATTACAAATAATATTTCTGATAATATCCTGGATAAAATTCTAAGGTTAACGACCGCAAAGGAAATATGGGATGAATTGCATCGCCTATACGAAGGTGTATGTGAGGACCGCCTGTATGATTTGTGTTTAGAATTTTTCAGATATAAGAAAAATCCTGCTGATGACATAGCTTCACACATCTCGAAGTTGAAAAATCTGTGGTATAAGCTCAAGCAAGAATTAATGAAAGAAGAGGAAGGTAAGGATTTACCTGAAGTTCTATTAATTTGTAAAATCTTGGATACTTTACCTGAAACATATTTTTCATTCAAGTCAAGTTGGCTGTTAATATCTAAGAAGGATAGGAATATAGAGAATATCACAAGTCAGCTATGTGCGCATGAAAAGGCACTCGGTAACAATGTAGACAGTGAATCTAGTTGTGAGGCCTTTGCTGTCAAAGGAATCAAGAAGAAACCTAGTAAGTGTGAAGACAAAGGTAGTAATAACAAGGACAGTAGCAAAAAGTTTAAATGCTTTGGTTGCAAAGAGGTTGGTCACCTTAAGAAAGACTGTCCTAAGAAAGTAGTTTCTCGAAAAGATTGCAGTAGTAAGGGAATTAACATGATGTTACTGACTGTGAATTCGGCTGAAAGTAGTATTGTAGATCGTGACCATTGGAATGTGGATAATGGGGCTACGAATCATGTTACAATGCGGAATGATATCTTTCAAGATTTCGAATACTTCAGTGAAGGTCACACTGTAACTACGGCGGACAAAAATGTGATCAAGGCAGTAGGCAAAGGATCAGTTTGTATTGAGGCCGATGTTAATGGACATACTGTGAGATCGACTTTGAGAGATGTTTGGTATGTTCCTCAGATAAGTAGAAATCTGTTTTCTGTATTATCGACGCAAGATAGGAATCCAGGTAGCGTGTTTGAATCACGGGTCACTACTTGTACTATGAAAATAGGAGGAATGATTACTGTGACAGGAAATAGGGAGAGGTATGGAGGATTATACAAGCTGAATTGTAGAGTCGTACCGCCTATTAATATGTCAGTAAATTTGGTACAGAAAGTTGATATATTGCAACTTTATCACGAACGTTTTGGTCATCAAAATAAAAGACATATAAGAAGTCTGATAGATAGAGAGTTGGGAATAAAAACAAAAGATAGTGAAGAATTATGCGAAGGTTGTATCTTTGGAAAATCTCACAGACAAAAGTTTGGTGTACGAGATAAAGCTACGAAACCTGGAGAACGCATACATTCGGATGTTTGCGGGCCCTTTTCCATCTAGTTATTCCAAATTACGATATTTTGTACTTTTCAAAGACGAATATACACGTCATCGTTTTGTGTATTTTCTTCGGAATAAGTCGGAAGTACACGAGAAATTGAAACAGTTTCTAGTTGAAGCTAAAGTAGCTGGTCATGTTGTTAAGGAACTATTGAGTGACAATGGTGGTGAATTCGACAATGCACAAGTACGGAAAATATTGGTGGAAAATGGAATAAAGCAAAGACTGACGATGCCGTATACACCGGAACAAAACGGAAATAGTGAAAGAGATAACAGAACGATCGTGGAATGTGCTAGAGCTATGATGCATGCACATGAAAGGTTAACTGAAACTTTGTGGGCTGAATTGGTGAATACTGCTGTATATATTTTGAACAGGACAGGGCCAACGTCAGTGGAACACAAGTCACCCTCAGAACTTTGGACTGGTATAAAGCCAAGGATTAAACACATGAGGATTATTGGGTCATCATGTTATGCTCACGTGCCTAAACAGACTCGGAAAAAATTACATAAGAAAGCTATGAAATGTATTCTAATAGGGTATGATAATGATGATGGATATCGTCTCTGGAATGGTTCTACTGGTTTAGTAAGGTCAAGAGATGTGACATTTGATGATATGTCTCTGCTTAGAGGTGAATCACTGAAGGTGTCTGAACCCATGCAAGCAGAATTTCCTAGCAATGTAATTGAGTTGCAACCTTTGGCATTACAAGAGATAACTCAACAGAGGAATGATGAAAAATTACCTCATGTAGAATCTTCTGATGCTCAGAATATTGTAATTGATAATGATGAAGTTGAAGGTCTTGTAAACAATGATGAGTTTATTGATAGAGAAGATACTTCTGTTATTAATGAAGATATATTTGATGATGCAAGAAGTAATACGCTAGAACAAACTATTGAATGTGGGGGGGTATTAGAAGGAAATGACGAAGCCGAGCTTCACGAAACTATGGATGAACATGAGATTATAGAGGAAAGTAGTCGTATTCTTAGAGATAGATCATCGCTTCGTCTACCACAGAAATTCAATGATTTTGTTCTATATAATATAAATGGAGAGAGCACTGGTAATCAACTGGAACCTAATAGCTACAAGGAAGCTGTGAGAAGTGCTGAAAGTAAACTTTGGAGAAAGGCAATGGATAAGGAAATTAATTCTCTGAAGGAAAATAAAACTTGGGTGTTGGTAGATCTCCCGAAAGGTCGGAAAGTCATACCCTGCAAGTGGGTTTTCAAGGTCAAATTAAATGCTGACGGGAATGTCGACAAATACAAGGCTAGGCTTGTTATTAAGGGATATAGTCAGAAGAAAGGCGTGGACTATTATCAAACATTCAGTCCTGTAGCAAGAATGGCGACCATTAGAAGTGTATTAGCTGTTGCCGCTAGTGAACAGATGCATATGGCGCAATTTGATGTATCCACTGCATTTCTGTATGGCGATCTTGATGAAGAAATCTACATGCGACAGCCGGAAGGTTATGAAGATAACTCTGGTAAAGTTTGTTTACTGAAGAAAAGTCTTTATGGTTTGAAGCAGGCACCTCGGTGCTGGAACAAGCGTATATTAGATTTTTTCAAGGAAATCGGTTTGAAAGTATCTGATGCTAATCCATGCCTTTTCACAAGAAAGGAGTCTAGCGAGAAGCTCATTGTGGCTCTTTATGTGGATGATGGTTTGGTAGCTGCGTCTAATCAGAAACTGATCGAAAATTTCCTAAAAGATTTAATGGGAAAATTTAAAATCACAACGAAGTCTGTATCCTACTTTCTCGGTATAGAGATAATAACCAGAGAAGACGGCATAAAAATTCATCAGAAGTGTTATGTGAACAAAGTTCTTCGACGGTTTGGGATGGACAGCTGCAGACCGGTGCATACACCAATTGTTAGAGACATGTCTCAAAACCGGGATAAGGTCGACATGAGTAATATGTTGTTGAATTATAGACATATTGTTGGAGCCTTAGCATATCTCATGGTTGGAACGAGACCTGACATTGCATTTGCTGTTAGTGTCGTCTCAAGAAATTTGGAAAATCCAACTGAAGACGATTGTGTAAAGCTGAAACGGATTCTGCGTTATTTACAACATACGCAAGATATGGGTATTTTGTATCAAAAGGACTATAAAAAGGGCATCATAGAGTGTTATAGTGATGCTGACCATGGAGGAGACGTTGGTACTGGAAGGTCAACTTCTGGAGTACTGTGCATGTTTGCTGGTGGTGCTGTATCTTGGATGAGTCAAAGACAAGCAAGTGTTGCAATTTCAACCACTGAAGCAGAAATAGTTGCAGCCAGTGAAGCAGCTCGAGAATGCATTTGGCTAACTAGGATACTAAGCGAACTTAGTGAAATACAGTATCCTCCTGTATTACAAGTGGACAATGAAGCCGCGGTGAGACTAGCGGAAAATCCTGAGTTTCACAAGAGAACAAAACATATTCTCATCAGGCACTTCTTTGTTCGAGAACTTGTGACAAAAGGTGATCTCATGGTTCAGAAAATTAGCAGTGAGTGGCAGCTTGCGGATATTTTTACCAAAGCTTTACCAAAGCCAAGGTTAGAGAAGATTAGTAAGCTGCTAGGATTACACATCGAGAGAAGATGTTAAGAACTTCCTTGGTTCAATGGCAGGCGATATGCATTCTAGCAGCGCTTGTCAATGTAAAATAAAGAAAAATAATATTTGAATAAAATATGACAGATTACCCTTTTGTCTTATATACTATGAACATTGACTGAACTTTCTAACTGACTAATATTAACTAGTGTAGGTAACCAAAATCCTAGTCCTGGTTTTCCTTAACATTGATCCTGATCCCGGCGTTGCTTAATACTGGTGAGTGTTACTACCAATTTCCTATATTAGAATATATAACCTAGTAATGTAAAATTTATCATTGACAAATAATTGATATATCAAATATTTTCTATACACTAGTCTGCTATTTAATTAAGAAAAATAGCAACTGATCATTCGTCGTTTTTTTACTAATTATATTTGCATAAGAAGAAAGAAGGCAACCATATAATTAATAGTTTTTATTTTATCATTCCTTCTATGTAATTCCTTGTACGTAATTTAGCAAAGATGTGAAAGCAAAGGGTTTTCCTACAAGAAAATAACGTCTAGGCTCAGCAAATATGTAAAATAGATTTATTAGTATGTACAACAGTAAAACAGTGAACTAAAAAGGAAACAAAAACAATGAATGAACGTTGACATGACATTATTTCAAATAAGACAATGTGCTATGTCAGTTCTAACAAAAGATTTCGGAACTCTTTAGTCTAAATGACATATTCAGTTACTTTACAGATTAGAGAAACTGTCTTAAAGTTTAGACAGACTCTCTAATCTGTAAAGTAACTGGAAATGTCATTTATTCATGGCCACGATCCACAGCGACTTTTGCAAGATATATTTCACAATCACGTTTACTAGTTACAAGCTTTTACGAAATATGTTTCGTATTTTAAGTAGTCAACAGGTAGTTAAAACTAAATTATTGTAGTTTTAATATTATACTATGAACGTTTTTATGAAATTTTACTATCTTTGTCCAACTTCCATCAGGGAATTGTCAAAAGTCTTGACAGATATTCTGGATAAATTTTTATCTTTATTAGAATGTATTTATCCTAATTTCAGTGACGCACAATGAAGGCATTATGTTGGAAGAATTGGCAAACGATTATGCCTCTTATTTGAAGTTGGATGTGTCTAGTGGATTTAAAAGTGTGCAAGATGTTATTGATAATATGTTAACAAGACTCGAGGAATTAACCAGTGTTTTACTCATGATAAAGTTGAAAAATGGCGACTGCAACAAAGTAGTTTCTGATGATATATATAAATATCGCAGTGAAGTAAGTGTACTCTCGAAGAAAATACTTGCTATAAATGATGTTATTATAAAATTACAAAATAATGTGGATATAATTGAGAAGCAAGTAGAAAAAGCAGAAATTGATTTTGGTATCTCTAAGGACAATAAGCTACTAAGCTTCTTCAAACCATTTTTGAAGAAAAGTAAAGAATCTGTTTCAAATCCTGATATAACAATAACACCCCCCATAAAACTGCAACTACAAAGTGTCATGGAAAATTTTGACTGTAATCCTCCATGTTCATGATATCTATATATAAATAAGTAATGTAAGATGTACCTAAGTATTAAATACTGCACAAAAAAAAATTTGTTTCATCATACTATAAAATCGTACAATAAAACAATTTTATAACAATATTTCTTTTATTTTATGCTTATAAAATGTGTCAAACTGTCTACACATATATGAAATAAAAATCAAAATCCTTGTTATAGAAAAAGATAATATTAACCCCTTGAGTGCATCTAAATAAGTAAGCTCTTGTATGTATATATTTTATTATACTGTATTATAAATATTTTTGTCATCAGATTTTGAATTATAAAGATGAAATTTATAAACATCAGTTTACAAAGACCATAGTGACAAAAGGATTAAAAAATTAAGCATAATGTGGTATAAGCTATTAGCTCGTATTAGCTCTTTAACCTACTTTTTTTCTCATACTCTCCATTTCAGAAATATAAACACTTGGATGGTTAAATGTTTTATTTAATATTATTCATAACAAAAAAAAAAAAAATGCAATCAGGAGTGTTGTAAGGAAAATAAAAAGTAGGAGGTTAACAAATTATGCAGATCATTAGTAACAAAATGCAACCAAAACAAATTGGTACATTTGTAATGGTTTTCTAAAACTACAAATTATTATCTATTTTATTCATATATCACAATAGCTCAGTTCTTCAAATATTGTTTACCAAATTCTAGCAAAATTGAAACATTTTTGGGAAAATGGGAACAGTTACTTGTGTGAATGTTCAAAATGATAGATTTTACTGTGTACCAGTTGATCCAAAACCACCTTCACCTCTCTTAGTTTCTGTTAAATTTTTTACTTCTATTACAGTAGGATAAAATATTTTCTCACAAATAAGTTGTGCAATTCTATCTCCTTTTTTTACATGGAAATCTTCATCTGAATGATTAAATAAGACTACACCAATGTTTCCACGATAATCTTCATCAATGACACCAGCTGCAAAAGAATAAACACATATGTAGATATTTCAAATATTCAATAAAAATGGCATCTACATATATAAAAGTAATATAATTATTTTATTCTCTCTTCTAGTCTATTTCAGTTTAATATGTGATTGATAGCATTAATTATTATTCCTTATTTTTGCTTCACGGCTAGCAAATCTACCTGCATGGCTATAATTACAAAAATAGGATGACTATTATTGATGTCAAATTATTTTTGTGATATGGGTAATACTACTGGTCATGTGTTTACTGGATGAAACTGAAATCATTAAAATCCTTTTTAATAAATACTCAATGAGTAAATCTAAACATATTTCCCCACTTTCTCAACTTTATATACCTTTAAAACTCAAAATTTTTAGCTGTTTTTTAAACCATGTTTATAAATAAAAATAATTAGATTAATTAGTTGAACACTCTCTAAAACAATTGAAACACAATTTTTAAATCACATAGCATGATTATGGGGTACTGCTTGAGATGACGCATAAAGCAAAGGTAGGTGCTATTCATGACAGCATTTGAAGATAATACAATCTTCGTGTAAGATAAAAGTATTGCTGCTGTTTATATAAATATTATATATATACTAATTCCTATTACATGTAGTATACCATACATATTTGAAATTTCTAATAAACTCTTATTGATTTCCTAAATATGTAATTTTAAGACTACCTGCACTGTGGCACAGACAAAGTTATTTTATATCACCAGACAGGCAACAAGTTATTATATTTGTATCTTGTTTGGAAACTGCGAAAGAGATTTGTTATAATAAATTTGTATCACAGATTCAAATTTGTACACATTACATTCCTTCCTAAAAAATCTACTAGTGAACCAACAACGCTAACAAGCAATGCTAACCTATTAACTCGATTTCATTCAGACATTGTCTAATTCATATATTGTGAAAAATTTCTAATTTTATCTCTACACAAAATCTTTATTGAACAGAAAAAGTAAAGGCCAATAAAAAAATAGAAAATAAATTTACCACAGGAATAAAAAAGAAGAGACAACAAATAGAACAAAAAAACTTAGAGAGTACAGAAAAAAAGAACCTATTACTCAAGTAACTTATATGGGTAATTACATGTGTGGTCTTATTAGAAGTTAGATAAAGACTGGATGGAGTATGTTAGAACATAAGGAAAATGTTTTGTTACCTATATTTGCAACAGATGTGTGATAATTTAAGAATATCCAGTGATAGGGCTGTAAAAATTAATTTGTACAGTGTAGGTGCCACTTACAATAATTATAATTTTTCTTAATTTTAAGTTTTTTAAGAATGTTTATGCATTATTTAATAAAGTTATCTCAGTCTTAACCTCTGACTTATAATATCAACACTTAGACATTTAAAAATGACTACCACTCACTTTATGCTTTATAGGACACATAAAACTGTTATTCAATAACCTGTGTCAGAGCCTTTGAATATATCGAGCAAGGCCCAGAAATAGACACTCAAGGATAAATAGTAGTAGATTTTTTACAACAGTTCTCAGGAAAGTAAATTTGAAAAAATAAACCATACTTTATTGAAATCTTTGCAGTGAAAATTTTTGAATGTAAAAGTATTGCTGTGCAAGTTATTTAAGAGTAATATGTTCCTCCAAGTTATTAACTATTCTTGAATCTCAGTAAATTTAGTCCTTGATTATGAAGTAAAGTATTAATAATGATAGAGAAATTGATTCTGAAGTACTATTATTTTGTTCATACAAGTCCGAGGAAGAATGAATTTGCTTAAGGATTTCCAATGCTTACCGCCAACATCGATACAGTTCTTCAAAGCTAAACCAGAACGAGGAGCCACACGACCGTAACAACCAGGTGGCAGTTCAATTTGTAAGTCTGTCTTCACTAATGCTTTTCCACGAGCTGGTACTACACAATCATAGGCACTATAAATTAAAAAATGAATAGTTTAGAACTTAATAAATTAATGGCTATATACTAATCTGTAATTTAAGATATAAACAATTCGAAACTAAGGTATATACTCTTACCTTTTCATATCTAAGCCAGCTGCCTTCTCAGAGCCTTTTGTAGGAGTGAATGCGTTGTCGCTAATTCGTGAGAATTTCAATGTAGGACGATTCTCAAAAAGAGTCATTTTCAATATTTGTGCTAAACGATTAATAAAATGCGAAACCAGATTGAAATTGAACCGAATTCAATATTATTTAAGTAAGTACACAGGTCAAGCAGATAAAAATATGGAAGAAAGACAAGTAATGTCAAGAAAATTGGCGCGAAATGAGTTAAATTGGCGGTAACTAGAATACATTACTGTGAAACGGGGTGAATAGTACACATTTTCTATCTTTGACATAGATTTCATATTATTTCTAAATTAATATGAGGCATCAAAAATATCCATTACACTACTTAACTAGACTAATTTAATATGTTTAAAATAATAGAAAAGCGGTTTATTTTTTTATTTGAAAGAAAAATATGAAAATGTTGTCTCTATTCACTATGAACATAGGGTTAAAAAACGACATATGGGGTGAATAGAAAAATTGGGCTGTTATCTTTCAAATGGCATAAGTAGATTTTACAGTTACTATTACTATAAATAGTCAAGGGATTAGAATTAAAAGGTACCTATTTTGATGAGTGATAACAAATTTATAATTCATGTTTAAATGAATGTACATAAATATACTATATAAAGTAAATAAATTAAACAATATGTTCAATTTTTTTAATCATTCCTTCAATCCTCACATCGCAAATATGGCAAGTACCCGTCATTTTTCATTAAATATTTAGTCAAATTTAATATAACCATCTTCAAAATACTTAAGCTAATTTAAATAATATTGTTAATACAATTTAATTAATCCAAAAGTCAATAAGATTCTTTCTCTGGCATATCAAGTACAAACTTAGGATATAAATATAAAATAAAAAAAATTTGTCAAATATGGGTACAATCCTAAATAAGAAATTACATAAGAATAATGAATGCATAGAAGGGATGATAAAATAAAAATTGTAAATTATATGGTTGTCTCCTTTCTTCTTATTAAAATATAATTAGTGGAAAGAGGACGAAAGATACACCACCAGTTGCTATTTTTCTCAATTTATATCGTAGTAGGCTAGTGTATACAAAATGTTTGATATATCAATTAAATTATTATGTTTAGTGTAAGTATTTATGTTTAGTTACTTTATTTTACTCTGCTACAATTTAAAATATTTTTTTTGACAGGTGAGTAATGCAAGTTCTCTTTGACATATTAACAAACAGCATCTGAAAAAACACATATAAAGTTTTAAAGAATATACTCGTACACATACGATTTATATACATATAACAGAAATATCCCGATTTGTAGTTATAATATATATTATTATAATTAATTACATATAACTATATGATTAATTTTTTTTTTATTTTAAAAGGTGATATTTTAATGGGAAACAGCATACTACAAATATAATTCATTATCATTAATTGTTCATAAATATTTTTAAGTATTATTCGTAATTCAATTTCAGTTCATATCGATAAATAGTAGAAACCATGATAAAAACAATACTAATAGATTTTAATTAATTTTATAAGTTCAGCAAAATTTGTAATATTATATTTAAATTTAAAAATATTATATTGCCATTATATGAACGAACATCTTAATTAATTAGATAATACATGCAAACTTCAATTATACTTAACCGTATATCAATACATAAAGCCCAAGTCATTCTACCAAAAACAAAAATGGGGCGTACTTATTACTATAGTCTTTGCAACCTTTTGTAAACCATTTGTACGAAATCTATGCAACCACTTAAGCAAATTTAAAGACTTTAGACTATGAAGTTGCCAGGTCTTTTGAAATGTTTATTGATGTTGATATTTTGGACAGACGTATATTATTAGTTTAAGTTGAATATGTACAACATTTAAATATTTATTTTAGTATATGTTACGTTATATGTATTTCACTATATTTTAATACTATTAGTTGATGATTATAGGTGGCAATTGTCAATTGCCATCAAGCGGACCATCAAATTGTTTCCCTTTCTATAAAAAATATTGTGTTGATGCTCTTAATTCGTTGAATAAATTCACTTTTATTTTTGTCACTAATATAAAGGCAATGTAGACTCCTAAATAATCTACTAATTACATTCTCTGTATTCTAGCCCATCTAGTGACTAAGAAGCAACCACTTTATGTATTTTTTAAAATAGTGCTAGATCGCGATGTAACTTTGTCTACAATGACTCTTAACATTACTAATTTATCAGGTATTTTACATGCTAGGTCGTTTAAAAATTTTGGTTTTTTATACTTTCTCGATTGAAAATTGAAACCAAGACTTTGTTGTTACACAGTAAATTGAGTCGAGAGAGATATTAGGATGTTCACGTGATCTTATATTTTATGGTACGTCAATTAACTTTCGTAATAAATAGTTACTACTAAGGTAGATATAATACTAGTATAATCTAAGAATATTAGAACAACCAAAGAGCTAAAGTAACCCGACACTATACCGTGATATCCCGGACGTCAGTTTGCAGGAGATTGAAATGGCTCTCAAACAGCTTAAGAACGGCAAGGCACATGGGAAGGATGGAATTACAGCAGAGTATCTGAGAGCGGGTGGAAAACCGGTACCTGTAGTCCTTTAGAAGCTATTTAATTTCGTCCTCCATAACGGTGTTACGCCAGAGGCGTGGAGCAGAAGTGCGGTAGTCTTGTTCGTCAAGAAGGGTGACAATACCCTATTGAAGAACTATACACCAAAATCCCTTCTGAATCGCGTCTACATACTGTTTTCGAGAGTCTTGTTCTGAACTCGACGACTTCCAGCTCAACAACACCAGAACAAGCTGGGTTCCAAAAACAACCAACGAATCCAACTCGGCTAAGCAGCGTTTGGGAAACTACACTACACCTTTTCATCCAAAATACCTCAGAATTTTAAGACGAAGATTTTTAACCAGTGCGTATCGCCAGTGATGACTTATGGAACCGAAACATGGTTCTACACGATTGTCCGTATGCAAAAGCTTCAAGTTACTCAGCGGACTCTTACTCTTTGCGTGATAGAATCCGAAACGAGGATATTCGCAAGAACCAAAATAACCGACATAACTCGAAAGATAAGCAAGCTGAAGTGGCAATGGGCTGGTCACATAGCTCGAAGAATCGACAACCGATGGGGAAGAAAGGTCCTTGAGTGGCGACCGCGTACGGGCAAACGCAGTGTAGGACGACCCCCCATTATGTAGCGTTAATATATAATCTTAACCCTTTATTTATAGCAATATAAATAAAGGGTTCCATGCCCGTCACTGGTTAAGCCAACCTTGTCCTGCCGAATGGCACTTCCCTGGTCTGGTGAGGTGGCAGGCACGGGAGTTTCTGCGGCTTGATGTGCAGAGAAGGCTACTGAGCTTCAGAGCAGGTGATGATGAAGTGCGGTACCTTATACCCCTAATGTCGCCTAGGGGGTTTCTTTACCCCTAAGGTTGTTCAGGGGGTTTTCTTCACCCCTAAGGTAGTTCCCTGTAAAGCCCCCAGTGGTGGCTTCAGTGAGGATATAAAAAATCTCCACCTGACCACGACACACAAATGAATCCAGGTTTTATAAGGATTTACTAATAATTTGTTTTTATTACACCACTTTATTATAATGTTAAGTACTTTTTGGATACTTTCTGATATAGTAACTTTACAGAAACTTTTGCCCATAATTACAAGGTCCATAATCCTTTAGTAGCATAAACTTCATGTGAATAACCATGAAGATTTGTTTTTATTATTCGGTTGAAAAACATTGATTTTATCCATTGGACGGATGTTTCGTTGACGCCTTTTCGAGAGAGACCTTGTATAATAGAGTCAATAGGGATATTATTAAATGCACCCTCAATGTAAAGGACACATAGCGCTAATTGTTAATATCTTTACTTATTTAATGACATTTAATAATTTAATTCTATTTTAATGTTTATCAGACACAAGACATGCTGTGGTTGCCTATAAATATAAGAACAGTTACATCTAATCCACTAGTGTATTGTATTGAAATGTTTAGCTGTATCTTATGTTGGTAATCCTCTAAATAAATAAATTGCTTATTCTCTGGGGGAAAGGGATTGTTAGTAATATGGTCTAATAGCCACATTGCTAGCAATATATCCTCTCAGGTCGACCTCCACGCGGCTCCCCCTGGAAACCATCTTAATTATTGTCAATTTCATCATGGTGAGCCAATGCATCAAGGTGAGAATGAATGCAATGTGCATTCATTCTCACCTATCATCTTCCATTGGTACCTCGTCGGTGTATATCGATAGCACGGGCAAGGTTACCATTCCATTTTCATCCATTAAAAAAAAATTGCTTATTCTCAAGAGCGTAATATCGGTAATATCGAGTAAGGTAATTTCAGTTGATTGTCTCATACGGTAGACATGTTGATTCCTATGCAAGGAAGATTTACTGAGGACAGAGGTTCATATGTGCTGATCTGGTAGTTTTTCCAAAGTTTTGATGAATAAAGAGGTAAGACTGGTCTCTTAGGCTTAGGCTGCGAGTAGTCTCTTCGACCATTTTTTGGTACAGGTAAGTAACCTGTTATATTAGTATGTTTTATGATTAGAATAGTAAATATGCTGACGGTCCTCTTGATGGGAAGCGGGAACCGTCGCTTATAGACATGAATATCAGCATGGATATTACAGAATACACTATTATGCCCATAGTATCCTATTATGTCATGATATTAGTATAATACTAAAATAAATAAAACCAATTTTTAAATGTATAAGTTAGGGTTTTAGAATATGAACTTGAAATACGAAGAAGCTCAGCTTATGTCACTCTCTATCTGTATATATCTCAAAAAAAAAAAATTGATAAGTAAGGTAGTAACTTGACAGGCAGCCAGTTACAATAAATCGCAGTTTAATTATAATAAAGGTACGCGTATTACTTACCAATAGTAGATAGATTTATAAAATCTATATTTTTATCATACACCAATAGCAGCAATCAGGTATACGGCTCGACTTATCAACAGTTAGTAATATTGTTAAATAATAAAGCCGATTAGTTTAGAACTTAATAAGAGCATTTTTGAACCATGACCACGGTTCTATGTTATTCTGTCTCGAGCATTACTGCCGAACCAGCACACAGTTTTTTTTATGGGTGATTATGAAATAGTAACCCCACCTACGCTATCGGTATACACCGGCGGCGCACCAGTGAAAGATGATAGATGAAGATGAAGCAGGTCAATTAGCCCATAGTGACAAATTCAACAAGAATTGTTCACGATAATTTTCAGGGGGAACCACGTGGAGGCCGACCTAACAGGGCATATTGCTAGCAATGGGGCTGACAAACTCCATTGTTAACAATCCCTTTCTCCCCAACCAGCGCACATTAGTGATACCTATAATTGTAATCAGTTCTTCGTGTGGTCCCGGCATAAAATAGGTCGGCCACCCCTTCCTTTCCTGAGGGTGTCGTAAGAGGCGACTAAGGGAACTTTTTTTTGGATGGGCAGCAGCGTCTCTCTTAAAACAGCATTAAAGCCTAACTTTGGTTGCCAACCCGCCTGACAAGTTTGGCAACTACTGGCCAAATCCGCCAGTAGTGGGAGGCCTAGGTTCGGCAGTGGATAGTTAACAGCTAATATGATGATGTTAGCTGTAAGAGACATTTTTGATCTGGGATTTCATTAAAGAATAAGCTAAGTACATAATTTTGTATTATTTATTATTCTAAATAATTTTAAGCAGGAGCTTTGATGCTTAATATCACGTCTAAAGTCGAAAATATTATTAAAGTTCTTCTTGCTTATTAAAAAAATTTACATTTAACATTTAGTGTAGTGTCTATTAATGTGTTTATGTATTATTAATACACGTGAATGCACAAATGATACGTAAATACAGCACTATATTTTTGTAACTCTGTTGTTTTCAAACTTATTTATGTTCCTACCTATAGTCTCAATAGCTTTTTTAAGAACACATCACTTTAAACTATCATGGAAATATAATAACTACGCGAAACACTATAAATCGATCTGTTTGTAGGTATAAATATTTTTTTTTATATTATCTTAATTCTTTTAGCCTGCGACCCGAGTAACAAAAAATATCTACCTGCTATAGAAGAGGGTCTCTTAAAATTTTGCCGCGGGGTAGTAAGCGACTGATCTTCAGCGATTATCCTCCTTCCGAGCGACAGTAAAGATCATTGAAAAATGTACACAGACCGTGGTAGTCGCGTCGATCAATATTTTGTTAAGAGCTTCACGGAAGTTTGCATCGTAATTAAATACCGCTCAAATTTGAATCGCGAAGCCAACTCAGTAAGCATAAACGATATATTCGGTTGTGGTTTTATAGTAAATCTTAAAAAAAAAACCAAGCAACACAGAGGTGAGTGGATGACTATGATTCATTCGGGTGAGCCCCCAAAAGGGGAGTTTGTCCATTTTTATATTTACATCGTGTCCCTCGCGGCATGCGCGGCGCCTCTTCGTCAGTCTTGTTACTACAGTTTCACGCACGAACATCAGTGCAATGAATGTGATGTAAATAATACTCCTACCATAATATTTACACATGGAATGTTATTTTCAAAACGTGATTAAGTTATATTAGTGAAGTGAATAAGAATTTAAAGAAAAAAATGTGTGTTTTATGTGATAAAATGTTAAAAAAGTGATTGTGAGTTAAAATTGCTTGCTTCACTTCGATCCGAGACCGAGGAAATGCCGCCCGCTCTCTATGAGTACCTATTTCAGGAAGCGTTTCAGCAAAGAACTTTTTGTTCTCATAACTTACGCTAGAGGTCAGTATTGATCAAAACAAAGTTGAAATGTTAGTAAATTAATATAAAATATCGCTATCTGTATAAACTTCATGTGTCATTATTGTAGTCTTATAGCTACGTGTATATAGCTAGGGTTCAAGCACCGAACGCTCTTCCCTTTAGCATCCCTTTTCCGCCCCTTACGCATGATCGACCGAGAGTTTTGGGGTTCATTATGTAGATAGGGTGCGGGCTGGGCAGCAGTATTATACAAAGCTAGGCAGGTACTATAAACATTAAGCATATAGTAAGTACCCTAGCTATATCAAGTCAGCGTTAACATTGCATAATTTATGTAAACAAGTAAGTAGTAGGTACTTATTACTGAAAATGTAATTACAATATATAGTAAAAAGTAACATTTATAATTTTATAAAATTAACAAAATTAATTTTTCGTTTAAATAATAATATTTATAATACCTATTTACATATTTACTTGAAGGTAAATATTATATCGTCCTTATAAATAATATTGGATATCGACTCTATTTGAAACTATTGCTTACCTGCATTAGTAGGTTTAAAAAAATTAGTATTTATAATTATTTTCCTACGTACCAATAGTCTCAATTGGTATTTAATTCTTAAAAATAGGTACAACAAAATCATCATCATAACAATCGATCAGTCCACTGTTGAACATAGGCCTATCCATAGAATACCATAAGGAACGGTCTCGACTCGTGTGAATAGCACAGAATTAAATTATATTTATACAATATAGAATTAAATTTAGATGAACTTTGTTAGTAACGGTGCCATATGTATTGATGGTAGCGGGTTCAATCTTTGCATAATTGTGCTAATGAAGAAGCTTGAAGTTATTATATTTCTAAATTTATTTTTTAAGCTTCGATCCTCACAAAATCAATGTAGGATCAGCCTACTGATTGCAAAATGTTAAAGAGATTTAATAACATTTGGTTCATAAATAATTATGTAATCGCGTAACGCATATTAAAACGACGCAATTGAGAACCTTCTTCATCAATAGTCAGTAATCTTCAATAGATACGCTAAACATTATAGAATTCGATACCTAAAAAATTCACAATTCTCGGGTAACAGTTCGATTTATTTTTGTTATTGTTTCCATCTTATAAATGTCCCACTACGCAAATATATGGATATCGTATTTATATTATCATAACCGCGATCGCGCAAAGATCATAACATTTTTTATCGATGGAAAAGCCAAGTGAGTGAAGCGTCTATTGATAGATTAGAGCGAGTAAAAGTAAAAAAGTAAATGCGAGGCAAGATGTAACGAGCGACATGTTTGTTTTCATACCGGTCCGAATTAAACGTCGCGATTGGTTCAAAATCCATAACTGGCCTCCGAGAGCCAGGTGTCGTTCACACCGCGGCCTCGCGCCTCGTCTCGTTAATCACTCGTGTACGCTATTGTTAAAGCGCGGCGAACAGCCATCTTTGTCAAATTACGGCGATTCAATTACCTATAATTCGTTTTGTTTGTGGTAATCAAATGGAACAAAACGCGGACACTAGTGCTACCGACGCTTCGTTTGGCAGGATCGTGTACAATTTTACATTCTCTTTTGTTTCATTACTAGCATGACGCTTCGTTGAATGGAAGCGTTACGACTTATGTACGGCGTTAACATCCAGGCAACCATTAAAATGATGGATGATGTTGTGTTTTGCAAAAAAAGTGCGAAGTGATCGTTTTAGTAAATAATGTGAAGAGTGCTATTAATGTTTATGTCTCCGCGTGTGTGTCTGATGAAAACTGCGTCGTAATTTAGTTGTACACATTGCATTTACGAGTGAAATGGCGTTGCGGAGCGCGCGGGCCGGAGCATGCGCGCCAGTTTCCTTGCAATCGCTGGGAACGCACTGAGTGTCCTTCGTTTACGTGCACATCAAAATGGGAAGGTCGAGATTCCCTGGAAAACCGCTTAAATTCCAGAACAGAAAACGTATTAGTGTTTTATCGGGCACTGTTTACCATGAGACTACTTCAGAGAGTCATCCGTCCACCCGTGGTGCGACGACCAATGATTTTGCTGGGGAGAAAGAGGTAAAGCCTATTTGCTTTATTACAGTTCCTTTTTCATATTTGTTACACAAAGTATAGATAAGTTATGGATTTGTTATGTTTACGTAATAGCTAGAAGATGCAATGGGCACAAAATGCCTTTTGTACAAAAGCGTCAAGTACATTCAATCTTACATTGTACGTTTGACATTTCAATATTGCTCATGTCAACAAATATGTGGTTTATCTTATAATAGCATTTTTATTAATTTAATAAGTGACAAAATAATAAATATTCTTATTTATTGTATACAGCATTAATTCATGACTGTACATAAGTAGTATATCACATAACCTATTATAGTGCACAAACAATAGAAAATGTTATTATAATCTCACAGTATAGTATGTATTGTGTTATATTTTGAACAAGGTCTAATAGTTTTTTGCATAAATTAATAAATTTTATTAATTTTTCATTATGGGAATAATGACAACTACCTTCTAGTTTCGTTATTAGTAAATACAAAAAATATAGGAGCGTAATTAAATCATTGATACTTGTTTCACCAAGAGACTAAGGCCTTTTAATTGTATATACAATATAATCAGTTGTACAACCATACATTCAATGAAATGAATAGTAAGACCCTGTTTAACAAAATATATATTATAACAAGTTTAATACACTAATGATAATAGATTATTGCCATTACATTATTATGAATAGAGTTCAGTTCCAAATTTTGTTTTATTATATTAATTGATGCTGAATTTGTTTCACTAGTTGTTTAGCACAATTTTTCAAGTATACCACCAATATGCCCAATTTTTGGAATATGAAATTTATTGTATAGTGGTGTGATTATTATATATAATAAAATAGGCCAAAGCAAGATCACATAAATGAAAACATAAAATGAAGGTTACTGTATAAGAATTGATATATGTTCTATGTGATTATGACTTTATCTCAATTCGATTGTGCCAAAAATCATTCTGTAGATTACTTTGGCATTTATATTGAACATGTACACTCATTTTTAAAATAATTATAGCTAAACTGTGTAAAGTAAATATTTCACTTAATTCCTAATAAATAATATTGTACCTATTCAATACTTAAATTTTCTCATTCCACCTTTGGTTCTTACCATTTTTCATTCTAAATTTGCTAATGATTGTTTATGATTTAATTTTGTTTTCCACTGAATAATTGCCTGTGTGGTGACTGAGTAAGGCATTGGTGTTGTGATGATGTAAAAATAAATTTGAATCAATTGTTTAATCTCAGGATATTAAAAGAAGGAACAAGAGGCAAAAAGCACAACACATCTGTTAGGGAGAAAGGAAACACTACATAATCTTAGCATATTTTTTTTTAAGGATAAGTCCATCCTCAGCACTGAGATGTTAGTGTGTTATTATGGTATAGAAAAGGCTATAAGTTAATTCATTATTGTATTTAAGACCATATAATATTTGTTTATTCAAATAATATACTCTGAAAGCAAATGGTGATTGAATTAATTTACATCTTTACAGTGGATTTTTTTTTTTGATGGGTGAAAATGGTATGGTAACCCCGCCTGTGCTAACGGGATACGCTGGCGGAGCACCAGTGAAGGGTGATAGATGAGAATGAAAACAGGCCAGTTAGCCCATCATGATGAATTCATCAGAAATTATCCATGATAGTTTCCAGGGGGAACTGCGAGGAGGTCGACCTGGTTGGGTATATTGCTAGCAATGGGATTCTCAGTCTCCATTACTAACAATCCCTTTACCCTTTTTACAGTGGATTGCATGATGACACATAAAGTAGAATTCAGATTATAGTAATATTTGTGTTGGTTTGAAAGAATATGTATCAAAATGAGAAAGGATAAGCAAATGTGGTGTCATTATAAAATAAACATTGCTTGTATGGTTGAGGAAACAGATACACAATCCAGGGTTCGAAGTATACAAGTACTAACTACGAGACCTATACTAGTTTGGACTAAATAGATTTCAAATACAATAAGATAATGTTAGAAGTATATTACAATATTATAAGAAATAAATAATATATTGTTACTATCCAGATAGAATTTGTACAATAACTTGATACCTACCTAATGGCACCATCTTATAACAATTAGTAAATTTCATTAATGATTGTTCCTTCATATAGCTACTCATTTATGAATAATCTTTTTAATGATCAGCCAGGACACATTTTTTCACAAAAATGAGGATTTCATTTTAATTCTAAAGAAATTATTTAGAAAAATAATTTGTAACTACTTAGACCAGTGACTCAAGATGTTTGTCTTGGTTTTCATAGTAAATAATATTTTAAGAAATAAGTATTGTAATTGTTTGGTTAAAATATTTATACAATCTTTAAAAGGAAATGTGTATTCTACTGTGGATATTCGTGATATTATTAAAATATTTATCTAAAACAATTTATTTTTTGCAGGAGGAAGAAAAGAAAGAAAATAATAATGAAAATGGCATCAACGAAGTTGGTGAAAATAACATAGCTCAAACTAAAGTGGATCAAACACAAAGCAACCAAGATAAAAACAGTGAATCATCGAAGTCCCCAGTGCGTACTAGATCACAGAACAAAATGGAGATCACAAAAGAGAAACCCAAACCAGTGAAGAAAACTGTAACATTTGGCACTGTTGAGAGTTGTGAGGATATCTTCTTGCCACTGAAGAAGATTCCTAAACATCATGCACCTCTGGTTCCTATCATTAAGAAGAAATCTGCACTTAAACCAACAGAATACTCTAGCATTCTTAAACCTGCTAAATTAACAGATCTAAGTTCTAAATCTGCATCAGAACATCAAGAGGGTTACATGAGAAAGAATTTGAATCCTCTGTCAAAACCTATGAACAAATTCACACAGTTTAGTGAAAGTCGTTGTATGTCACCACCCCCTCGAAACACATCACCTATAGATAAAGATAATGGAACTTCTTCAAAATTTGTATTACCAGCCAGGAGCAGCCACTCTTCTCGAGTTATTAAACCAAACAAGAGGTTCATCGATGGTGAGGAACAAACAATGTTAACAAGTAGTACCATATCATCAGGAAAGGTTCTTAAGAAACCAAAATTAAAGAGATTGGTGTTTAATAATTTACATGATGATGATGATACACCAGAAGAAGAGCCTAACAAATTCAATGATAAGGATAAAAATCTGTTGAAATCATCCAACCTATTTAAGGATAAAACAACAAATTCATTCTCTGGTTTAAGTACAAACTCGAGAAAGACAGTGCATGATTTATTTTCCTATGAAAAAGAACCTGATTATTCACAAGATGAAAATTCCAATGTAGAAAGTCTGGAAAAACTTAAAACCATGGAAACAAATAAGGAGGATAGAACTGGGCATGCAATGAGAAAATTGATGGATATTTCTGATGCCAGCAGCTCAAGTAGTACCAGTAGTAGTTCAGAATCTGAAGAAAGTTGGGAAAGTGATAGTCCTGGTGGAAGTGGGGATGATGAAGAAAGGACTTCTCCACCTAGTCCAGAAAAAGAGAAATCATCTGCCTCCCAGCTTTTGAGAGGTAAAGTCATTATCCGAGAAGCAAGATTACAACTCAATCCTCCGACGCAATCTACATCTGGTTTAGATGGACCATTTTCCACACTTACTGCATTATCATGTAAGTATGTACAAAAATCATTAGACCAAATCAGTTAGTTCAATTATATTAAATAAAAGTATTATGTAAAAACATGAATAACATTAGTTGTCACAGATTGATTGAAACTCCCTAACTACTAATATAGTCACTCTTAATCCCTAGTGATCTTAACATAAAAATGAAAAACTTTGTCTAAGTGAAAGTGATTAAACATTATTCAGTCCATGTAATGGTGTTAATTAATAATTGTATGAGTTAAAATTTATATACTATATATATATACTATAAATTTATTATTTAAAGATTTTTTTTATTTTTTAATGAATCAAATTTTTATTTGTTTAGTCATAAACAAATGTTGAATGAAATGAAAGCATATCAAGTATTCACTACCTCTATAACAAGCAACAAATGCTTTTGACTACCCCATTAGGGATTGTAGTTAAGAACATATTTTTTCACAAAGAATATACTCTTGGGTACAACTTGTACTATATTTGAAAGGAAAGATATAATTCATGAAATATCTATACTAATATAAAGAGAAAAGATTTGATTGTTTCTTTGTAATGGATAAACTCAAAAACTAATTAACCAATTTTAGAAATTCTTTCATCTCTAGAAAGTTACATTGCCAATAATTAACATAGGTTATATATTTTATATTAAAAAATTTTATCCACCAATATGAAGCCCAGGCTGGATCACTAGTACTTTATATACATATTCCAAATAGAATATGAGAATAATTGCAATAATTTTTTTTTTATATATTTTCAGCTACAAATCCTCCAACCACTGTCACTTGTGGTGTATGTGGAGCGGTGCGATTTTATAGATTTGTTAAGCAAGCCAGAAAATTTGGGATTTATTCTTGTGAATCTTGTCGTAAATTCATTTCAAAAATGTTAAAGAAGGAAAAGATGTCACAAAGGACAGGTCCTGTAGTCATGCAGTGTTTGAAAGGAGAAGGTTAGTAGTAATTTATTATTACCTTACACTAGTGATTTTGAGTACTAGTAGATTTTTTCTTATTAATGAGAATTTCTACATTCTATGCAATCTTGTACAGTTGAAGTGTCGAGTTTACATCTCATTATCCAGTTGATAAATTCCAATTTCAGAATCTGTTAATTTAAACTACTCGATTATAAAATACTAATATTTTTAAATATATAAATAAAATATTTTTTTCCTTTCATTACTTTACATAATAAGAGACTTGTTTTAATTTCCGTAATATATGTATTGCCATCATATTGTAATAAAAATTTGATGTACAATAGAGACTCTAATTATGTATTTTATTATTATAAATAAAAACTCTCGAATACAGCCTTTGATTTTTACAATTTTATGTTCCTAGTTACTCCCCTACAAAAATAAATACTTTTTTTTTATTATTAATGTTTATTTTTTTTAGGTAATTGCCATGTTCCTCCAATAGTTAGGTCACAGCAATGGAAACTATTGCGATGCACAAATAAAGCTAGATGTCCAGCATGTTGGCTCAAGATGTGTCTCAAGGCATTCCAGGTACCACCAAGTATAAAAGCTGGCTTGACTGCCATGTTGCCTCCATACATGAAAACTGGAGTGAAACCTGTATCTCCTTTAACACAAGTAAATCCATTAAGAATAGGTCAAACCGCTAATATTACAACTAGTACCACAGTACAACCAGTTTTTGCATTACCAAGCAGTGAAAATGAAAATAAAGTTTTTGGACCCATTAAAACAACTAAGAAACCAAATGAAGAAATTGAAAAAGTTGTTGAAAAAGAGGTATATATTATTGTTAAAAATTTATCATTTTCTTAAATATATTCCTTATATATAATTTTTAATTTTTAATGTTTTCAGGAAAAGCCACAAAAAGAAATTGCAGAAAAAGAAGATGCTGAGGAAGACTTTGCTGGGAACAAAAAACGTCGTCTGACAAGAATTAAAGTCAGGAAGAAAGATAAAAGTGAATCAAAACAAATGGAGGATCCTAAACGACAGAAAGTAGAACTGAAAGGACCAAGAGTTAAACATGTATGTCGTAGTGCATCAATAGTGTTAGGACAACCTATTGCAACATTCCCAACACAAGAAGAAAAAGAAAAACAAGAGAAAATATTACCAACAACAGATGATGATAGTAGCTCTATCCCCATTGCAGACAAGGAGATTCCTACTCCTGATTTATCAAATGATGAGTCTGAAGGAGATTCTGAAAATAAAATACCCAACATTGTAACTACAATTGAGTCAGAGATATCAAGCACGAAGGAAGTGGATACAGAAATACAATTGGAATCTAAAAAGAGGAAATTAGAACCAGTAGTACCAGTTAAATCACAGAGAGCTGAGTCTAGTGAAGATGAGACTGTAATGGATCTAGTGCCGAAGAAATCATTTATAAAACCATTAACTAATATTACAAATGTTCGTAAATAAAACATTTCCTTTTTTTATGATAATATTAATAGGTATCCTTTATTTTAATATACTTTTTTTCACAGATGCGGAATCGGTCACAGAAATGTGGACAGAATCGTCCAGAATTGATCTGTGTTGATTTTTGGGAGAGTTATGATCCTGATGAAGTGTGCAGTTCAGGTTTTGGCCTGATCGGGACTGCATCATTTACGGTTGCGAGAATTTGCTTCTTATGTGGAAGTGCTGGGAGAGAAAAGGTATTAAAAAACAAGTCACATTTTAAAATTCAGAGTGGAATTGAAATCTTACTATCTTTTTATGGATAGTTTTAACTAGCGAAATTGAACACATTTCCGAAAATATCAGTAGTGAAAAAAACAACATGAAGATGTTATGTAGTATAAACACAAAAGTGGAGTTCCTGGCATAGAATGGATCATCCCCTTTCTTTTCTCATGGGTGTTGTAAGAGGAGACTAAGGAAATTTGATTGTAGAGGGATGATCCAGCATCCCTCTCAAAATGTCATCAAAGCCTAACTGCAACCTGTCAAGCGTGGCAACTACTGGTAAAACCTCCCAAGGACAGGCCTATGTTCAGCCGTGGACAGTTAACGGCGAATATGATGATGATATACATAAAATAAAACTACTGTCAAATAATTTTATGTAGAGTTGCTGCTTTAAAGAATACTAGAAGTAAGTGTACTCCTACCAATATAAAAACTGGAAGTTTGTAAAGAGGTTCATTACTTGTTTATTCTTAAATGACTGAATAGATTTGATTGAAATTTGTTACATAAATAAATCAACACGGTAGTATACTTTTTAGGCTGATTTTAGTGATGGTACTTTGTTTTTAAAATTGGTGGAATATATTGTGCTACTCCAGCATCTGCCATTCCAGTTTGTATAGAATACAGATGGATGAAAAGATAATGAAACATTTTTACCCCATACTTATGTTACTAACATACACTGGCACTCCAAAGACTCATGATTTCATATCATGTCAGTTTAGTTCTTCGTGGCGAATTCGCTAGAAAATAACTACGGTGGCTTCTAGGGACTGCGTGGAGGTCAATCTTACCATACATTGCTAGCAGCAAGCACTAATCTCTATTACCCTTTTCTAACAATCCCTTTCCTCAAGTTAGTCTATGTCAGTAAAGATCTGTTTCACAGATTTTAATGGATGATAATTAAATGGCAATACCACCTGCGCTATTGGTATACGCCGGCGGGGTATCAGCGAGGGTGAAATGATAGGTGAGAATGAAAGCAGGTCAGCCAGCCTGTCGTGATGAAAGTTTCCAGGGAGAAGCATGGCGAGGTCAATCTTTAAGAGTATATTGCTAGCAATGAGGTGGCTGGTCCCCATGACTAATAATTCCTTCCCCCTGACAGATGGTGGTGTGCTGGTCGTGTTGCGAGTGGTACCACCGGTGGTGCGGCGAGGCGGGCGAGGAGGCGGGCGCGGGCGGCGGCGGGCGCGGCTGGCGGTGCGCGCGCTGCGCGTCCTGCGCAGCGTGCTCGCGCGCGGCGGCCCGCCTGCGCTGCCGCGCGTGCCTCGCGCCGCACCACGCCGCGTGCCTGCCGCGCCGCGCGCTGCCCGACCGTGGCGACTGGCCTCAGGTGCGTCTTATTCGGCTCTCTCTCACCCTTCTCCCTACCTTTGCTCTCCCTGTCTCTGTCTATAGCTATCTATCAACCCCTCCCCGCTCCTACATTTCCTTATCCCCGTCTCCTCCATCACTCCATCCCCCTCTCCTTTCCATAGCCTCATCTCCCTCCCCTCTCCTTTTTCCCATCCTCTTCCCCGTTCCATCGCCCCAATCCATCATTTCACCTTCTCCCCTTTTCTCCTTGTCACCCTCCCTTCCTTCCCTTCTTGTCATCTTCCCTTCCCCTCCTTTCCTCCTTGTCACTCTCCCCCTCCTTCCTTGTCACCTCTGTCCTCTTTTGTCACACACTCTCTCCCTTTCCTCAATTCCCTCTCTCTCCATCCGTAGTCCTTCCATAATGTGTACACTGTTGTAAATCTCTGTCTTATCTCAATCTAGCAATTTATTATCGGTAGAAACTCTTCAAGATCAATCATGACTGTAATAGTTTATACAGTATCAAACAGGATGAATAAAATGTGTGTACAGTGTTTCTTACATGATAAACATATTTATGCTAACTCCCACTTTAACTGCTAAAATTTCACCCGTGTAATATTTCTGACAATCCTCACTATCGACCCTCGTATATTCTTTAAAATAAGTTTTGCTGAACTTCAATTCACGAATATACAAGACCTTAAAGTGTCATTACCCATATTTTAGTCAGGTCGTGATTAGAACTCTTGCTATGGGGTCGCAATATCGGTGCGCTCAATACAAATAAAAAATCAACATTAAATATTTTTAGAGTTCATAATTTAAAATTGTATAACTTAAATTGCGTTTTAAGAAAAACTAAATTTTTGCCAAAAGTTAGTTATTTTAATAAAAAACTTAAAGTACTGAAGCGATTTTGATAAAAAAATTGTGGGACTAATCTGTAAATATATTCCTTCAAATAAGAAACGAATTTTTTAAATTGGTTTACAACTAACGGAGTTAAGAGATTTTCACCAAATTTAGAACCTTTTTCTTTTTGAAAACTCATTATTACAGCAAATTTTGACTAATGAATATAGTTAATACATTTTTAGTCATTTTAATTTCCTTTAAGATCTTAGGCATTTTTAGATTTATTTTTTATATACAAATCTCCAATTTTTTTTTTATAGATTTGTAGTTCCTGTCTCAAGTGTAAGAGCTGTGACAGTACTCGTGTGAGCAAATTTGTCGGAAGTCTACCGTTCTGTGGACCTTGTTTCAAGTTAAGACAAAAGGGTAACTACTGTCCCTTATGTCAAGCGTGTTATAGAGACAATGACTTCGACAGTAAGGTAAGATTTCAAAAATTAATGTTAATTTTTTTTATATAATAATAACTATTGTATTGAAAGTAGAAATTTGGCACTATTTAACAATACCTAGAATTATGTAGTAAGTGTTAACTATATTGCAGATGATGGAGTGTGGTTGGTGTGGAAGATGGGTGCATGCCAGCTGTGAAGGTTTGTCTGGTGAGGGTTACCAACTCTTGTCGGCTCTACCACCATCAATTGAGTACATTTGTTGCAAATGTATGCCTAATGACCCACCATGGAGAAAGATGCTCACTGATCACCTCAAAAGTCGTCTTCTTCATCTCCTCAAACTATTAGCAAAGAATAAGAAAGCTTGTGCATTACTTAAACTCACACCACACAAAAATACTCCAGTTCCAAACAAACCATATCGTCTAATGTCTCCACAAGCTATTCGAAAATTACACTTTGATTGTGTGGATGACTCCATGAAAAATACAACAGAGACCAAAGTCTATAGAAATACTTCACGAGGTAGAAGAAATAACAATTTTTCACAGAACAAGTTTGATGATCCAAGTACATCTCAAATATGGCATTGTTCCTCATTGTTGAATGACGTGGATATGGAGAAAGAAGATATACCACACCCTCTGCACAAAGTTGTTAATCTACAAGAGCCGCTTATGCAGAATAAAGAAATTTGTTTCTCCACTGGCCTTTATGACACTAAAACAGAGTTTGATGCACCTTGTGTGGAAGTACATGAGAATTATCCTCCTCCAAATAAGATCGAGAAAGCAACAACTATGCTACCAACTACAATACATGATGACAAGTATGAAGCAATATCAGATGATGATGAACCAATGAAAAGCTTTCCTCAGACTCGTAGTGAGCAGGACTTGAGCCCTGCTCTCGTGAGACCAGGTAGTTTCGATAATATTATTGATGACATAAATAGAATTGTTTCACCCTCATTGTTAGACATTAAAAAAAGAGTGAACAATGACGAATATTTATCTTTAAAAGAATTTAATCATGATATGAAGGAAGTTATTGAGAGAACTACATGTGCTGATCTTAAAATGATATATAAGGATTTATTCACAGAAACTTTTCCTTGGTTTGATTGTGAAAATAACTGTTTGCAACCAAATTTAGAAGTTGAAGGTGAACAAGATGATACTGAGTCTCTAAAAGACCAGGACATCGCTGAAAATAGAACTGACAAAACTACAGTGTCTGTTGAGAGACCTTTAGATCAAATTGTACCTAAATTTGAAACAGATGGAGAAAAATTAGAGGAAGAGTTGTTAGAGTTCTATCCTGTAGTGGATTCAAGGATGTGTGTCCTCTGTAAAGGTGTAGGGGATGGTTTACCATCTATGGAAGGACGCCTTTTGTATTGTGGTCAAAACGATTGGATTCATGCTAATTGCGCTTTGTGGTCTGCAGAAGTTTTTGAAGAAATAGATGGCTCTCTACAAAATGTTCATTCTGCAATATCTAGAGGGAAAATGATAAAATGTGCAGCTTGTGAACTAAAGGGTGCAAGTGTTGGCTGCTGTGCTAAAAATTGTAGTGAAACTTATCACTATGCCTGTGCTAGAAAAGAAAGTTGTGCTTTTATGGATGATAAAAGGGTTTTCTGTCCTACACATAGCAAAGAAGTTCCAAAGAAAAGTTTGCAAAAAGATACTGATTTTGAACTAACTAGAGCAGTCTATGTGGAACTGGACAAAAAGAAGAAAAGATATAGTGAAATTAATAAAGTACAATTCCTTCTCGGATCTTTGACTGTAAACAGTCTTGGAAAAATAGTACCATCTGTGTCAGATTATGAAGATTTTTTGATGCCTGTAGATTTTTCGTGTACACGTCTGTTTTGGTCTTGTAAAAAACCTTCGAAAATTGTGAGATATACTATTAAAACAAAGTTAATACTGGCAGAACCTATGCCAGGATTTGATTTTGGCGTGAATATAACTGTTGATCATACTATGGATGTTCAAGTAGTTGATAGAGTAATGGCTGAAATTGGAGCGTGGCATGAAAGTTTAGAAACTGGATCTAGTAAGGCAGTCCTTATGTTAAAAAGTGACAAATCTCCAATAAAATTTGGGAATACCATGACTTTAGAAGATTTGGCTGTGAAACAAGTAGTGGAATATTTACTAGACAATGTTTGTAAACAAGAACAGCAGGATGAGGAAGAGCCACAAAATACGGCTGATTTATTCCCACCTGAGGTTAAGGACGCTATTTTCGAAGATCTTAATCATGATTTACTGGATGGTATATCTATGCAAGATATATTTCAAGATCTCAAAAATGAGTTTTATTGTGCTATGAGTCAATCTGATGACAGAAGCAATGACAAGTCCGATTTCATTGATGAATTACTTAATGCTAGATTAGAATCAGGAAGCAAAGAGCTGAAAAGAAGCAAATCAGAAATGCTTTTACAAAATCATAATCTTAAAACTTTAACAACTGGTCGTGGTCAACAAAGGTCCAGTAGCCTGACGTGGAATAATAAATTCGATACAAGCCTTTTATCATCAACAATAAAAAGGTGTAAAATGGGAAAAACTTCAACAGTAACTGATAAACTTAGCCCCATTCAAAGAATAGCATTGATAGAAAATCCTCTAGATACCAATAAAGAGGTAGAAGCTACTAACTTAGATAAAAAATTAAAAACTGAGTCCACCAACAGTACTGCTTTATGCGATGAGACCCCACATACATCGGGAATCAATTATCGCACAACTTCTCCTAAACAAAAGGAAGATAGCAGTAATGATAAGAGTGATAAAACTGAAGGTTATTACACAGATGTTATAGACTTTTATACTAAAATACAATGCAGCCCCATTTCGCAGTTAGATGGTACTGCTGATTGGTCAGGTTCAGAGAGTACGTGTAGCTCCCGACCTAACAGTCCTCGCGACAATGATTTTAGTCCGATACAGCAATTAGATGGTGCTGAAGAAAATCACCCAGGTGATAATAGCCAAAGAGGTCAAACTAACCAGTTCCTTTATAGAGCAAGTGGAACTGAAAGTACTTACACTGTGACTATAGCTGGAAACTCAATAAGTGGTCAACCCGAATTGGTCATGAGATCATTGGATGAAGTATCTGCCGGGAATGGACAGATAGAACAACTAGTTAGGTGTGACAAATGTCAGTGTACTTATAGAAATAAAGAATCTTATGACAGACATATACCAAATTGTGATTCGATGTCAACCAGTGAAAGTGAGAGTGAAAATCCTAAATCTCCAGAAAATAGGACATTGACTACATTACAAAATGCTTTTCAAGGGGCCTTTGCTCAGCCCATGATTATTCATGCTGGAGTTGTAAGTGGTAGTGAGAATAGTGTGAAAGCAGAAAGCATATCTGCCAGAAGGACTTCAATTAATACGAGACAGATTACTATTAACGGCACTATCGTCGAAACACCATCTCCTGGACCATCAAATGAAATGACTATGACAATTACTGAACAGATGAAATCGGGAACAGTCATCTTTGATCAGACTAAAACCACAAATGTCCAAGTGTCAACAAATCAACAAATGCTGTCATCACCACAAATTGTTGTGACACCACAGATGATATTGCCGCCTAAGACAAGTTCTGCAGGTGGGCAAAAAATTATGACGCCACAAATAATAACGCAACCGAGCCTTCTTCCCTATAATATATGTGTAAAGCCAAATGGGAATGCTAATATACAGCAGATACAAGGAGGTGATATGGCACAGTTACTTTCAGGATCAGGTGGTATACAAGTTATTTCGTCGAATTCAAATCAAGTACTGACAATACCATCAAATCAGACGGGAAATATTACACCTATGATACAGGGAAAAAATCAAGTGACAAATTTCCCAAATATGGCAAGCGCAACTTCAATTGCATTGCCAGTAAACTCTATACAAGGAATGCCCAATGCCTCAATCATTCCAAATATTCAACCAATGATTCGTCCACAAATACAAGGGAATCCTACAATAGTTGTTCCTGCAATGACGGCTCAAAGATTGTCTTCACCAAATTCACAAAATAAACAACAAATTATATTACCAGGCAGTAACCAGAAATCGCCCAAAAAACAACCTGCTCCCGTACAACCCAAGCCCATTTTTCAGGCGGCTAATAGAGGCAGAGGTCGTCCTATTCCTAAACCAGCAACTATAAAGAGACAAACGAAATTGGAAAAAACATTCACAACTATTAATCAATCGCCACTTGGACCTGGGAATACTGTAATACAACTGCAAACTAATAATCAGACTGGCCAGCCATCTATAATAGTGCCAGTGGCAAACCAGAATATAATGTCTGCATATGTAGAAGCTTTGTCTCAACAGCAGAATCAAAATATGCAGTATATAGCCACTATTGCTCCTCAAGGAGACTTTAAAACTGGGCCTCCACAATTTATATCACAAAGTGGACTTGTACCTCAAACATTTCAGATACAACAAACAGAATCAGGTGGATTGGTAGCAGTTGCTAGTGGTGGGATTCCAGTATTAGTACCTCAAGGTAATGTTGGCATTATACCACAAACTATTCAACCAGGTGCTACTATTTTGCCTCAAGGTGCTATACAAACACAAGGGATAATTTCTCAGGGCCCTAATGGTCCAACAATTTTACCACAAGCTATTCATACCCAGAATGGTACTACAATAATACCACAAGGAACCATTCAAGGATTAACGCCTGGAAGCATAACTTCACAAACGGCAACATTGTTGCCTAATAATGCATTACAGACTGCAGGTGCTACTGTAGTGCCACAAAGTGGAATTGGCAATGGGCAGACTACTATAATACCAAATGCTTTACCATCACAAGGTAATACATTAATTTCATCTGCTCCTGGTGCTACGATATTGCCCCAAGGAACTTTATTGCCTCAGTTCTGCAATGATCAAGTTTTACTTGGGTCGACGCCTACGTTAGAGATGGTTACAGATCCATCTGGTTGTATGTACTTAACAACAACACAACCAGTGTACTATGGCTTGGAAACGATAGTTCAGAATACAGTGATGTCATCGCAGCAATTTGTCTCTACAGCTATGCAAGGGGTTCTTGCACAAAATAGTAGTTTCTCAGCGACTACCACTCAAGTATTTCAAGCTAGTAAGATAGAACCCATAGTGGAAGTGCCTACTGGATATGTAGTAGTCAATAACGTAGGCGATGGAGTGACGCAGGTAGCCTCATCGACACCTAATGTAGTGGCAGCACAATCAGTCCAGTCGTCACCACCATCTATAAAGAATAGCAAGACAAGTGTACCTAATCTAACATTGCAACCTCTACCTGATAAGTCGTCTAATAACAATCGTCAGACCCCTAAAGTGATTCAAATGAGTTCGACTCCAATTGCAGTTGGTTCACAATCCATACCTGGTACTATTATAACAGGTCGTCAGAATATTAATCCGATAACTTCTCAGATACACAGTATGACGTTATCAAGTACACCACAGAATTTACAGAGAAATAACATATCAAAACAGACCAATGTGACGATGTCGCCTAATGTTACTCTTGTGTCGTCAATAGGACAACCGGTCATGGCTATGTCACAATCTGTGCCGAATTCTGTAACGTCATTTTCTATGTCATCAATACCTCTATCTCAACCAATCGTGTCTAGTTCAATTGCACCTTCAGCTAGTAAAAGTAATATAAAAATCGAAAATCATGTCATTGAAATAAGTGGTAATTTGCATGAAGGTTCAAATGCAAGTAGTATGCCAACTATAAGCGTGACACAGAGTATTAAATCTCCAACGCCTTGGAGACAGATGAACACACAAGGTAATGTTAATAATGACAAGTTAGATTTACAAAATATATCTATCAAAACATCTAATGTCAATAGTTGCTCAATGAATATACAAAACAATTTAACTGGCAGGCAACATTCTCATAATGAATCTGAAAAAATCAACCAGAATTGTTTAATGCCTCTACAGAATAATAGTAATACAATATCTAGTATGAATTTACATTCACATCATTTTGATTCAAACTTGAATGTAAGTCATCATTCTTCGACCCATACTTCATCCAGCAATGTAATTCAGATTACAGCTGGCAATATATATCCACCTTCTTCTGTAATGAATAGCAACTTTGATGCAGATACTACATTAAAATTGAGTAAGATTAACGCACTATCTAAAGCAGAAGGTGGCCATTTGAATTTTTCCCAAGAAATTATGGCTTCACATTCCCAACAACATGCTCAAAACGACAAAACCTTTCAAAATATGGGAACAAATGACAATAAACATAATACAGATGGACTTAATAATCAAATGAATGTACACAAATTGAACAGTTGTCAGGTAGTTGGCAATATGAATAATACTCCTGCAATTAGCATAATACCCCACAATATAATGCGTTCGCCAATGCAAAGTAATCAAAACACGATATCGCTTTCAAGTCAAAACCAAATGTGTTCTATATCAAATAGTTCATCTCATAGTCAAGTGCAATTATTGAATTCTGGAAATAATTCTATGCCAAATATGAATTTGTCGTGTCAGGAATCTGCCAATAATAGAATGACTATGAATATTTCTGAAAATAATCACCAGCAAAATAATCAACACGAAATATCTAGTTCTTCACCAAATACGTCCAATCTACCGCATGGTAATATGCAAATAATATCACATGACAACAATCAATTATCAACACCTAATCAGATTCATATTATGAATGGTCAAATTCAACATAATAGACCAGATACTAGTAATCAAATTCAACAAGTGAATCAAGGTCCAAATAGATCTTTCCACGACAATGTCATTGGAGGTCAAACAAGTATGCTTTCTAATCGCAGTACGCCAGATAACAACAATCTAATGAGTCAATCTATGAACATACATGCCTTAGGAAATAGTCATAATATAAATCGGAACGATCTCAACGATTTAAATCATATGCACATGCAGCAACCTATGTCTAATATGAATAATATGCAAAATAATCGCATGATGATGGAGAATATGCAATCGCATAACATGAACAATATGAGTCATCAGATGCACTCTAATAGATCGATGGAAAACATTCATAATTCACAACTGCATACAATGCAACAAATGAATCATCATATGAATAATAGTAATCGTTCTCAAATGGACAATAATATGCATGTTAATCAGCAAATGTCTTTGCAACAGAATAGGCAAATGGATAACATTGGACATCATCATCAGCATCAGATACCAAACGTAATGCAAATGCAAAATAGTCGTTCTCATATGGATAATAATTTAATGGGGATGCATCAACATGTATCTAATCAAATGCATAACCGGCAATCAATGGATAACACTATGCATATGCATCATATGCCAGGAAATACAAATAATATGAATATGGCTAATCAAATAGATAATTCAAATGCTATGTCGAATATGCATACTAACAGGCATGACAACAATTCAATAGGGATGCAAAATCTTAACACTATGAGCCAATTACAGAGCAGATCATCAATGGAACACACGTCAATGATGCAGCACCAAATGAACAATATGAACTCAATGAACAATATGAATCTGCACAGTAATATGAATAGTTCTATGCAAATTAACAATACAAACCATCAATCTATGAATAGTTCCTTGATGCATGTCCCTAATATCCCTGATATCAAAAATGAAATTCAAAATGCGTGCAGTGGCAGTTGTCCTAGTAATAGTTCACAGTATTCTAATAATCAGAATTCATTTGACATATGTTCAAATATGAATACCACTAATAATATGAACATCAGTACTGGAAACATGATGCATAACATGAATGTTAACAACTCCAATATGCCTAATAACATGATGATGAACTCTGTAAACAGTAGTACCATGTATGGTGCAAACAGTCAAAACAATATGACAGGTCATGAGATGTTAATGAGCTGCAACAACTCATCAGATCATGGTGTTAACAATCTTATGTCAGGCAACTCTAATCATATGATGATGAACAACTCTCAGCCTCATGCTAATTCGAATCAAAATCAACTTTTAAGTCCTCAAGTTGCTAATAATTCACAGATGAATATCAGTAGTTGCAGTATGAGCAGTACTTCACAAAATCAATTGACTAATATGGATAACCAAATTAACAGAAATAATATGTCTGTAAATGAATCGCCTAAATTTTCCCAGGAACCTTTGAGAAGTAAAAATATTATGGGTACATCCTCTAATCCGAATTTGCCTATGTCAAATTTACCTAATAATGATTGCGCTAAAGTGAATATGGTAGGGAATGAAAAGCAGAATCATAGTATATCAGTGAACAATCAAATAGGTTATATGCAAATGAATTCACAGAATAATAGAGTAATCAATCTCCCCGAGAGGAGCAGGATGAGTAGTGCTAATCTGGAAAACAATTTGAATCAACATGTGCCCCAACAGCATAATATAAGAGTTATGACTAATAATACTAATAACAACGTTACTGGAATTAGCACAGAACCACTAGCATACCAGCAAAAGAATGAGAATAGTAGTACTATGATCAATGTACCATTCCAAGCAATACCAAATAGTGCTCCCATGAATATTAACGTTAACTCCAGTAATAATACTGTTAATATCACAGTTCAAAATAACCTTGTTGACCCAAAAATTGCTTCAAAAGCCGCGACTGATATTAACTTCCCTATTCAACCAAATACTAATTTACTTCCAAACCAAAACAATAGTGGAAACATGATATGCATTCCTGTTCAGAACAATACGATAAACTTACCAACACAAAATAGTACAAGCATTACGTTGCCGAAGGCTCCTCCAACTCAACAATCTGGTATCCCTACCAATGTCGTTAATCCTATGTCTATGAGGCCTATGAATAGAGTACTACCGTTACATAGAGAAGGCCAGAGTAAATCTTCAAAGAGTTCAACTACCAGTAAATCACCTGCCGTGCCAAAGCAAAGGCCAGTGAGTCATGACATGCCGGATTTAAATATTAAGGATGAAACCATCGACAGTGATTTGGAAAAAGCTATTGAAGAGTCTAAACGTATGATGGAGTTAGAAAGAGTTAAGAGGGAAAAAGAGGAGAGAGATGCAGCTCGCGCTTTGCAGTTATCTACTGAAATGCATCAAGCGAACACAAGCAGTGCTTCAATAGAGACAGAAACGACCCGTACCAGTGAAACTGTTGAAATTGTTCCAAAAATGCCTTCTTTACCTAATTTAGATTCGGAAATGATTGAAGTAGATCCTCCAAAAGTATTAACAGAGAAGGATATAAATAGAACTCCAGTACCTACAAAAGTTCCTAATGCACCTGCAAAATTAATGAAAAGGCCTTTAGGAGACAAAAAGAACGAAATTGAGTTAATAACAGCAAAGAAGCAAACAAAATTAAAAGGCCAAGAGAACAAGCCATCTCTCCCGAAACCAGCACCAGATCCTCCCAAAGATGATGGTCCCAAATTAATATATGAAGTGACATCTGAAGATGGTTTTAGTTATACATCGTCTTCACTAATAGACCTCTGGGCGAAGGTAGTGGAAGCTGTTCAAAACGCTAGAAAACAATCTGGATTACCTTTAATACAATATAACCTACCTTCGAGTTTATCTGGAGCACATTTATTGGGACTTAATAATAATGCCCTGCGATATTTAATCGAGCAATTGCCTGGGGTGAGTATGTTTCTATTCTATTTTTTATTATGACAGTAATAGATTCAATGTATTCTAATTAATGAAAATATCTTTCAGGCAAGTCGATGTACCAAATATAAGATACGTCAAGGTCGACAATTAAATAGTTGGGATAATGATTTGGATCTAAGCGAGGGATTTAAAGAGAGTCCATGGGGAAGCGCTCGCACTGGACCTGTGGCCAGGAAACCAAATCATGATATGTTTAGTTGGATGGCTTCGCCATTCAGAGAGGAACCTCCGCCGTTTGGTGGTCAGGAGGGAGAAAGTTCTATATCAAGGTACTATTGGAACTTGTTTTATATATTTTTTTAGATTAAAATATACTTTTGTATTTCATATAGAGTTACACTGTTGCTTTATATATTTTAGACGTTTGGCAACACTACCGCCTGCAATGAGATTCAGACAATTAAAAGAGACTTCAAAAGTATCTGTGGGTGTGTATAGATCTCATATTCACGGACGAGGTTTATTCTGCAAACGTGATATTGAAGAAGGTATTTATAATAGTTAACTTTGACTTTTATTTTAAATAGAACAAATATATATTATATAGTTTAAATATATTATATAGAAAAAAAATATAAAACAAATGTTATTTGCCACAATTATTTTTTGATATGTGATACATGTATTTTGTTATCATGTTTTAGGGGATATGGTAATAGAGTATGCCGGTGAAGTGATTCGCGCGGTTCTAGCTGATCAACGCGAGAAGCGGTACGAGGCGATGAGCGGGCGACGTGGAGTTGGCGGCTGTTACATGTTCCGTATCGATGACAATCTAGTGGTAGATGCCACGCTCAAGGGGAATGCTGCTAGATTCATCAACCATTCTTGCGATGTAAGTGTTATATTTAAATTGTATTAACATTTTGTAAAACATGCATTATTCTGTTGCCACTAAACAATTAACTGAAAAATAAAAAAAATTGTATAATAAGTGTATTTCTATTTTTTTTATATTGACATTTAAAGGGCCTTCCTCTGAAGGTTTGATGATTTTGAATAAACTAAATTGTATTTACAAACCATGTACGCTTTAAAAGAATTATATATATATATATATATATATATATATATATATATATATATATATATATATATATATATATATATATATATATATATATATATATATATATATATATATATATATATATATATATGATGTCACACATTAATATGTTGTTACAGTTTACTATTAATGTTAATATTTGTAAGATATTTTTATAAGTAAATATTCAAATAATAATAATTTTCTTACATTATTATTTTAGCCCAATTGCTACTCACGCGTGGTGGATATCCACGGCCACAAGCACATCCTTATTTTTGCCCTGCGACGTATCACTGTCGGCGAAGAGCTCACGTATGATTACAAGTTCCCATTCGAAGAAGTCAAGATACCCTGCACCTGCGGCGCCAAAAAATGTCGCAAGTACCTTAATTAAAGACTACGCGTAAGTAAGTTTACCTTGTGTCAATTATGAAGACAAGTTTCATGTGGTTTCACGTTTAGCTTTTATCAAATTAACGAAATACACCTTGTAAATGTCTTTAGTGGACGACGAGTATTGCATTCGTGTATTGAATATTGTTATTAAAAAAGTACATACAAAACGAGACAACAAACTTAAGATTTGATAATAAAAAAATTTGGAACTGGATTATTTTTAGAAATATCACGGTATAGTAAATTGATGGATCTCCTAAGAATTCTAAGCATACGCATTTAGAATTTAGTGTGGGGAAGTGTGTGTGTAAGCATGAAATACTGGGTTGAGCACAGTTTATTATGTGTACATATATTTGTGTATGTAAGACAATAAGTTAAATTCACATATCGCGTTATTCCCACCTCGTATCTTGACTTTTTCAGTGCCATGAATAGCATTGGATACACTGAGAAATACATGAATCTTGTTATGATCTCTTTCTTGAATCTGCCCAGTGTTTATAATTGTTGGATTGTATAATTTGAAATTAGATTTATTTAAGAATTATTTTGTGATAAGTATACATTTTGTATATAATTTTAGTTGCATTGTTTTAATAGAATGTTTACTGTTTAGAGGTTTCGCGATCGGCTTAAGTGTGTACACTAAACTTGGATGTGATATGTTTTAGCCCCGGATTTTGGGTACGAGATTGGTTACTGCATATTGTATATTTGTTCCTCATTTTATTCTTATTTGTCTTCATATGTGATCAATTAAGTCTCGACTAACATAACGTACTATGTGTAAATATAATTTATAGGGTCGTATTTTAATTATTGATAATAATATTAGTACATTCGAAAAAGGGTAGCAAAGTTACAAGTACAATGTTACTTTTTAATAATTTTAATTAGTATTGTATAGAAAATTTGTAAATAAGAGAAATTATCTGTCATAATAATGAAGTTAAGTAAACAAATTGTTTTATTGTAGTCATAGTAGTAGGTTGTACTTTATAGACTATATTTTACTGTGTAAATAATATATTAAGTGGGATAGTCAAGAGTGTGGCCAGATAGTTTATTGCAACTGTGGACCCAAAAGGAAACATGAGATTTGTTGAATGACTCCCATTATTGTAGCACGAATTAACATGATATGCACATTTGTTAGCTTTAATACTGTAACAACACAGCTTATGTTACAAAATAATTCAACTATTAATTTAAATGTAAATTATCATTTGTGTAATTTTTTTAATTGGCAAGTGGGATATTTTAGCATTTTTTTTTTGTAAGCATTTATAGACTGAACTCTTTCATCACAATCCAAACTTAATCATCACAATCCGAACTTAATCATCACAGATTTCTACCAAATTACTAGTGAGTGCAACATACTGCAAATAACTCATAATAATTTTAGTAATAAAATAATTAGATGCAGAAACAAATTATTATTAAATTGAAAAATATGAATTAATGCAAATGCCATAGGGTAAATTGAGTAAGTAAAATTGTAACTGCATCTAATAATGGCAGTATTAAAATAACTTAATATTTGTCCTCAAGTATTTTATAGACGAAATCAATAGAACAGATTTTAAGAGTAGAATAAAGAGATAAAAATATAGAAATAATAATAGATTTAAACTTTTCAAAATTTGTACACAAGAACAAAATGCAACAGTAATTGTTTGGCTGGCTTAAAACAGAAGAATTTATAATAAAATCTTTATATTCCGTAATATATATATATATATATATATGTAATACTAATCAAATCTCATAAACATGTGGAATAGTTATATGAAATCTATTAGTTTATATCTAAGTATCTTCTAGTAGTGTATATATAAAATACTGTAGTTACTATTAAGGACTGAAAAGATAACATCACATACAAATAATAAAAATAACTATACATTACTATTACATACTTGACCACCATATACATAATATTTTTTTTAAATAGATCCCTATTATTGAGAAGCCCTAAACACAGAAAATTAAGAAATAATTGAAAGGAATTCTATATGAATATTATTAATAATGAGTTTGTTTTCTGCTTTTTAAGACCTTCAAAAATATTTTTTCCTATTTTTTTTAAAACAGTCTTTTCACGTATCTTCTGTCCTTGGGTCTTTGTTATACATTTATATATACAATGCAAATATATACAAATATTACAGTCATACTGTACCGATGTCGTAATAGTAGATGGCATTGTAAATATAAAAATGATTGCTACTAAATTCAAATTTCAATATTTTCTATAGTTGGCAGAATTTATTATTTAAAAATAAAATAAACAAATAATATGCCATAATATATAATTAATACAAAAACTTAATACATGCCAAGATTTACTAATTTTGCCAAGTATAGATACAGTCTTTAATAGAATCAAAATAATACTGAGAGTGGATGTATACAGCGTTATTTTGAAGTCTATTATTAATATTGCAAGGTATTTGTCAAACTGCAGCTTAACATTAAAACTATGCTATTTTTACACTTCAAATAACAGTGTATGTGCCATCACAATTGTTATTAAATATAATGTTACTTCACATATGTATATGGGATTTGCAATAGTAAATGTTTACGCAAGTATCAAGCCTCCATACACAGCAGATCGAAATTAAGAGGGCATATAACTAAAAAAAATCATTTAAGTCATTGCCAAGGTCTTACTAGGAAATTATTTAGTGCTATTTATTTCGGTATATTAAAATTAATGTTGCATAATTCTTTGTTCTCGAATGTGTTGGTCATTAGTACATTTACTCCTGGTCTAAACTGTAAATACTCATAATCTATTCTCACCAGTACGGGCGCTAAATTTTTAACACATATTTTATTTTTAATTTGGTATCCAATGTTATGCAGACAAATTTTCGAATTTCTGGGAATAAAATGCAAGTTCTTGAAAATGAATAAAAATATCACTAAATAATTTAAATAATATTGTTTGATAATGGTTGGTACGTCAATATTTTATACAAACTTTTTAGGTCACGATAGTTTAAACAGGATTATCAATGAACATTTAGTATGTTATGTTAATTATGTGTACACATTTAGATCTTGTCACATTAGCCATTAATTAGATTAGTATGACAACCAGTAGTTTTTTTACTATGAAAAATAAAATTGTTTATAAGTCACCGTGACAAAGTACTTAGGTGTACACTTGTGACGGTGACTGTACATCGTAATGCAAAACGACTGTAAGTATACCTCTGTGAGAACTTCGATACACTGCAAAGATTATGAGAACCACGTAAATAAAAAAAATAATCGGTTATGTGTGTCTAATGATGAATTAAAAATGGCATATCTTTGTATAGTTTTAAAAAGGCGACTATATTTTTGGGATTTTTTTTACCCATATTAATATTTTTTATTTAATTATTTTTATCAATATAACAAAATGATTATAATATGAAATTTTAACTTGCCGACTTAAATGTATTTTTTATTAGGTATAAGACAATTTTTTAAGTTCAATTCTTTAAGTACCAAAGGCTATTTATAAATATGTCCTTTCTTAACTGATATACCGTAGGAAAGAAAATGCTAATAAATTTAATGACTTTGAATTCTGTACGTGGTTTTAGAAACGTTTCCACTGGAACAAGTCATTGAACATTGCTTGATGAATTTGTTTCTAATCTTCTAATCTATATATGTAAGTTACATTAATAGCTCAACAAAGTTCCACTAGTGGGCACCAGTTTCTCTCCCTTAAACTATATTGTCTATATAGTCTACTATTTCCATGCTGGCTTAGCGTAGGATTTTACTTCGAGTTATATATAGATGTTTACACGAATATTACCAAAACTTTATATTTCCCTTTCAAATAAATGGACGTACAGTTACAAAAAATTTGACTGTGAAATAAATTGACAGTTTATGTTAATTTTTAATGCTATATTTAAAACAGTAATCGTATAGATATTTTTATATTTCAATATGTAATTCATTTCTATAATTGCAATAACATCTGCAGTCAATGGACAATTTATCTTACACATCTAAAGCTTCATCATCCCTGCTTCATATTATAGGGTTACGAAGTTCTCCCTCAGGTAGACGACACCCTAAAACTAGTCTTCTTTTCTGTTGTATTTGAATCAATAATATCAATAATCGTAGTCGACTTATGGAGAAAGTTGCGATTTAATTTTGATAAATGGTTGTTATTTCTTTTACACATTTTATACGAGAGTTAGTCGAAATTAGTTTACATCGAGTTACGATAATAATACAAAGTACAGGTAATTTTAATCATTGTACCTATTTAAAATATATTTTTAAAATTAGTTTTACATAATAATTAACATCAATTTCTTTTTCGTCTTTCTGTATATTTCTTATATCAGTTGTCTGGAAGGAAATATCAATGGATTGTGTTTTATTTTATAATTAATTTGTAAAATATCCCTTTGACATTATTATCGTTGATTTTATTTGATAAGCGATATTATAAAATGGAAATAAGATGCTTTAAAATTATGTAATTATTAGTTCTGTACCTATACAATAAATTTCTTGAAAAGACCAAAATCACCAAGTGATTAATAATTTTGTGTTACTTTAAGTATAAACATCTGCTCTTGATATTATTTTGTGTTAAAAATAATGCTTTTATTTTTAATGTACACAATGCCATTTTGCCTAATATTATTATAAATTATATTCAATTGCTTTAAAAGCACCAATTTTACAATGCATAGTTCTATGACCTGTCTATACATTTTATTACTTTATTTATTTCTATTATTATTTTGTATTGTGGTAAATTTTACCAAAAATAAAAATACTAAAATGTGCTTTACATACTCTTTTATTTAACTACAAAGACTAAGTACCAAAATTATTCAAAGGATTTAAGTATTTCAACAAAAAATACGGGTCAGTATGTAGTAACTAGTCTGATTTTGTATTGATTTTATAATTATACAGGTACTAGCGGCCCGTTCCGGTTTCGCACGTGTGGCCATTTTTACAACATTTTACATTTTTATCTGATCCTACCTAGCTACCTATTTCATAGACGTGCCCGCCCCCACCTGCTCCTCTCCCGCACCGCTACAATGCCTGGCTAGCTAGCCACGCGGTTTACACGGCGCGGGCGGCGGGCGGCGCCTTTACTATATTTGATTTTTAACATAGTATATTTTGAATGGAATTACGATTTGAAAAATTCAAAAGTAATCTGTAGGTATTGCAACAATTTTGAATACAAAATAATTTAATTGGACAAGGATTAATAAATAGGTATAAATAACATGTACAACGCGACAGCGTTATTTTTTCTATTTCTATGACTTATTAATTGCGTAATATCTATTGAATGGAATAGCCGATTTGAACAATTCAAAAAGACTACTACATAAATTGAAACGGTTTTGAAAACAATATGATTTATTTGGATAAGGATTTAAACAGAAGTATGAATAACATGGTTTAATTTTGGTCGATATTTCTATCAAATTTTAAAATGTAAAAAGTGGTTATTGTGACAACGATAACAGTTGGATATATAGTATCGCGAAGTTTTTTGTAGTTATTGATATTTTCTTCAATACTGTAAAACGTACTTTTGTTCATAGTACATAGTATATTTTTACACCTTGAGTTACGTTACTAAAGTTTTAGTAAGGATCCCTAATCTTTTCTAGCAATAAATATAGCCTATGTTACTCAGAGTGAATGTAGCTTTGTAATGGTAAAAGAATTTATGAAATTGGAAAAGTAGTTTTTGAGTTTATTCATTACAAACATACATACACACAAACATACAAATCTTTCCTCTTTATAATATTAGTGTAGATATAAATAAAACTAAATTTAGCAAAATTTTCCAAATAATTTTAGAACAATTTAGCAACATAGTTGCACAATATATTTCCGTGGTATTGTTTATGTATCTACGTCGATGATGGTTACAACTTTATAACATTTTCATCCAATTTTTTTCATTTTTCGTCGCGTTAAGTCTCAATAGTGTTTTTAAAATATTTTCATCCGGCTTTAAAAGGAAGGAGATCCTTAATTAGATTGTATTTATTTTGTTACCTCATAATTTTATCAGTTCTAAATTTGGGAAACTTTTAACTGAAAGGATATAATTACAAATTGGTCCCATTTTCTCAAAATCGGTTGAGCAATTTAGTTTTAAAATAAAAAGCACTGATTTTGTCACAATTAAATTTTGTGGAACGAAATCTTTAACTATAACTCTATGATTAACTGGTCTGACTTATATGTTTTTTAGTTAAGAATGTTTGACTACTTTCGGGACCATTCAGGATCCTTAGTCATGTGAAGCTGGAACGAGAACCTAACTGTGCGCTTTATAACAGTTTTTGTAGTAGACAACAAATTATAGTGTAGTGGTCTAATGATGCTATGAAAGTTAAAATTTGCTATGTACTAGCTTCGGCTTATTGCCCCGACTCGTTGAAGTATACAATGTTGGTAAATGAAATAAACTTATTACAATATTATTTATTACACTATATTTGAAGTGCTAGTGCCCATATGTTTACAATGCAGTACATGAACTTGTTTTCCCAACGCACGGTACACGTGCCGTCCGTCGCCGTATCCCAATAGTATGCCGCCGCTGTGTGTAAACCAGAACCATTCTTCTGGGTAATTATAATCCGCACTAGGCAATAAAAACAAAAGTAAATCATTCGAGATCTTAGAAGTAGGCGTACGATAACGTACAAGATAAAAGTTTAATTTTGAATAAATACCTTTTTTTTATACTACTTAGAATGGCAAACAAGCTGACGGCCCACCTGATGGAAAGTGGTAACCGTCGCCTATAGACATGAGCAGTATCATGGACATAACAGAGTGTACTGTTTCGCCCATGATACCCCTCATGCGTTGCCATTCCTGAGGACTCAGGTATTATTCCTCTGATAAATATCAGATTGAAATAAATATAAATATCCAATTGATATAAAAGCGTTTTGTCCGCCATCAATGTTCAGAAAAGTCCAATATATGTGTTGCCGATATTATCCAGCCCTAGTATGTATGTCGCTTCTAAGATATAATATCTCATGTGCAGTTTTCTTGCTTAGTCTGTATATAGATTTGTAATTTTTAAGCAATATATATATATATATATATATATATATATATATATATATATATTGCGACTATATACAGTGTGTATTACCCCAGCTTACAATGTGTTGTAAGTAACATGAAGATAAACGTAACGACGTCAGGATCAATTCCAATTTTAATATTTTTTTACTTTTTACACAAAGTTTCAACGATTATTTACTTACTGATGTATTTGAATGGTTTGTTAAGTTTATTCAATCTCGATAAAGTTTTTTCCGTAATAATAGAGATCCATTGCGGTGTACGCGAGTGGCTGTACACGTTGCCACCTAAGCACAATTCAATGTTATCTCTTACAATCTTTTGAACTTCTTCTACATTAAAGGCTAAATCCTGAAAATTATATCATACAATTTTATTATCAAATTAAGAACTAATAAAAGATACAACAGTTTTTATTCTTGAGTTCTTGACCATGATATCTCTATGATCAACTCGGTGAAAATGCGCTTAAAGAAGGTAAGTTTTTTTTTATTGGATGACAATGGAATGGTAACCCTGTCTGTGTTATTGGTTTGTGCATACGGGGTACCAGTGCACTGATTTAAGAGGATTAATTCAAATCAATTGGCCTATTGTGGCGAATTCTCTAGGACTTAACCCCAATGCTTTTTAGGAGAAATGTGAGAAAGGTGATTTGACAGTGTATTTCGTACTTAGCTGTCCATACTAAGTACTTATTTAACATTTATACGCCGTATCTATTATATACAGGTACCTATTTGAAAAAGTAAGGATTACCTCTTCATCATTTTCTTGGGACATATTTTGTTAGTTGTAACTATTTATTAACTTGAACTAGTTTATAAAAAAATCCTAATGACTTTTACTACAATTTGAGTATGTGGTACTCAAAGTGGTACCCTATATTCAATTTGAAAAGATGTCATCAAAAGCAACAAAAAATAATAATACTAAAAATTATATAGCACATATAGCCAGAATTTTTGCCATACATCTATGTTCTCCTTTATCCTATTTCTTATTATCCATATCTGTGGATTAACTCAATCTACATAGTTTTTTATTGGAATCGTTTAAAAATTTAGATAGAGATATATAAAGATTATTCTTTATTGTTTCCTTTAAAAGAGTAAACTTATAGTTACAATCAATTACAAGAAATGTTCACACTGAGAAAATAATGGGCGGTCTTATCACTAAAAGCGATCTTTTTTAGGTAACCTTTGGATGGAGAGGAGTAATTGTAGACAGTTTGATCCGAGGCATGATGAAAATTATTTTATTTTTAAATAAATATAGAAATATAATACAATTTTTAACGTATCAATTGTTGCACATATAGCATCTCTATGTCATTTAGTTGGACATAGCGATGCTATATACATTTATAGATGACAACATTGTAGCCATCACTCGATTACCTACTCTCGGTATTCGAGAGAGCAGAGGCCGCCAGCGCCGCCTCCCAGCTCGATTCCATGATTGTATACTCTAGATTAGCGAATGAGTTGTCTCTGCTTGTTAATTAGTCTGTACTGTCTGTAAGGTTATTTTTAAGAGTGTCCATGTTTTTTGTGTATTACAATAATTAATACGAGTTATATGTTTACCTCCAGTAAAAGTATATTCCCACAATAAAAAACGTTTTCTTTGGCCCGTAACCCCAAGAACTCACTAAAGTGGCAGCCCAACGCGAGGCCGAACATTTAATAATTAAAAGTGGTGCAAGTTGTGAACAAAAGTCTGTGAAAACCATTTGTTTGTTGCCGAGTGTTAGTGTACAGCCTAATCCATAATCATTAAGGCTAGAACATTCGACAAATGGACAGTCCTGGTTCAAAACTTTAATATTTTTACAAAAGATTTTGAGGTAAAGACATTCCATATAATAGTTACGTCGTATTTTATGGACATTTTGGGACAGTATCAAGTATTTACAGTGTATCGAAGTAATTGTTGCATCAAATCAAAAAAAATTCAATATTGTAGTGTGTATAATTTTGTCATATTTCAATTTCCTTTTTTTTTTTTTTTTTAGTACGTTTGTTCCGTTTGGAACAGGCTAAGGTCGGAGACCATGCTGCCTAGTCTTCAAAAAGATAATTTGTCTGGAATTTTCAATTTCCGTTTTTTATTCGAAATTCTTCTTGTCATACTGCTATAGACAATATAGAGTGAAGGAACGGACAATTTTGGGATTGAATGTTGACAGTACAATATTGCCAACATTACGTCACAAATAGTGATGTACATGTGTCGATAAATGTAGTGAAGTACGAGTCGCTATCGAAAATCGATTTGATGATAAATTATTTGTTGTGAACTTTAAAATGGTTCTTACACGTTCTAGAGCTAATAGTTTAGTGAGTGAGGACAGTTCACGGGTTTTGACTACAACTGTCAGTTCGGTGACATCGGCTAACCCGGCTGTGCCTGTCGCGAGTACGCAGTGCACGCGATCGCCTGTCATCTCAGGCACAGCTGATGACACACTTCAACACAGCGTGTTTCAGCCTGGCTCCGGCGAAATTGGTGGGATGCACACTATGTCGAGATTGCCCCCGCCGGTCACTACAGTTGCACCTGCTGAACCTGGCGTGCATAGCGTGCCGTCGCCTCAGATTCATCACATCGTGCCCACAACAACGCCTGTTGCCACAATGCAGGCCACAGCTACTACGTGTCCGCAAGTACCTATTCAGTTACCATATGCTATGTCTCCTGGTTGGCATGTGCATCCTGCACATCGAGTCCCGCCGATCCCTACGGCTCCGACCACTTCAGCCGCATTTTATGGCATGCCTGCATGGTCTACCCAGACGCACACGAATGTTTCGCCATCTATGTATGCTCCGCCATATATACATCATGCTCCCATACACTTAATTCCACCCGATGGATACTTACCTTCGCCGACGGTGCCTGCACCTGTAAATAATATGAATAGTCATCAATCTTACCTCGATGGTGCATCGAACACTGCTGCTTCTGCTGCACCTACGCCTTTGGTAATCACTGATGGTCAGTTAGCTCAGATTGTGAGTGCGCTTAGAACGCAACCTGCTACTGTTGGAGGTAATTTTGCCAGGTGTACTGCACGTTTTGATGGAACGGGAGATATACAAGCTTTTGTGGATGCTATTCTTATATATAAAGAATGTGTTAGTATCTCAGATGAAATAGCGCTTCGTGGTATACCAATGCTTTTAACAGGTTTCGCAGCAACCTGGTGGCAAGGGATCAAGCACTCGGTGACGACCTGGAATGAAGCGATACAACTACTTCAAGGTACCTATGGTGTTCAATTACCGCCACATAAGGTGTATAGACGCCTGTTCGAACGAGAACAAGGAGACGAAGCTACTGATATTTTTGTAACTAAAGCGAGAGCGCTGGTCAGCTGCCGCCAAATACGCTTTCAGAAGAAACTCAGCTGGACATGGTTTATGGTCTACTTAGTTGTCATATACGAGAGAAAGTACCTCGAATATCGTTTTCATCATTTGCCGAACTGCTTCAGAAAGCACGCATTGTTGAAGAACTGTATGCAGAAGGCCAGCAAACGCCTGTCACATCGACGATGTCAACACCCAGTAAATTAGCCTTCTCGACACCCGCTGCTGCATCTAAGGGTCCCGTTATGAAGAAAACCAGACCGAGATGCGGGTATTGTAAACAATTTGGTCATAAAACAGAAGGATGTCCGAAAGGACAGAGACAAAGAGGTAAGCAAGAGGGAAACACTAAGGAATATCCTCCACCTCCAACAATTACATGTTATGGCTGTGGTGCGCCGGGAGTGATCCGTTCAAATTGCCCCACGTGCAAGAAGCGGCCGACCATACCAGTAACGGCATCAACATCATCCACTGCTTTCCAATCGGTTGCTGCCTTGGGAAATAAGGATATAGACCCACGAGCACGCCCGAAACTTGATGTTGAGATATATGGTGAACGTGGTACCGCATTAATTGATACCGGTGCAAAACAATCTATTGCTAGTAAAAGTTTATATACATTTTTAAGAACTCGAAATCATGTGTTTAGTTCTGTAAATACTACTGTTAAATTAGCCGATGGCTCTAGTAAATTAATGAATGTTGCAACCACTAAGGTTGATGTAAAGGTTCAGGGTATAATTATACCAACTGTGTTTATAGTATTACCCGATGCTACAGACTCCTTATTAGGAATGAACTTTATACAGGAAGCTGGTATGATACTGAATTTTGAAAGGCACTTGTATACTCTTAAATCTGATTCTAGGCACTTCAACCTTAGGTATGAGGCGATTGATCCAGTGGGTGAGATCGCAACAGCTTCAGCCATCGTTCTTCGTGACGAGGAAGGTGCGTTCCTCTCAGCTTCGGAACGGGAGTCATTTAACACTCTCCTGCATGACAATCGGGACATCTTCGAGCCAGGGGGAGCCCCTACAACGTTCGCAGTCCACAGGATTGATACAGGTGAGCATGCTCCTGTAGCTGTACCGCCTTATCGTGTCTCGCCATGGAAGAAAGAAATTATGAGGAAGGAGATAGAACGTATGTTAGAAGAGGAAATTATAGAAGAAGCAGAGTCTGAATGGGGATCTCCGGTAGTGCTGATTCCAAAGAAGTCGCCTGGTGAGTGGCGGTTTGCTATAGACTATAGAAACGTAAACGCCATCACAAAAACAGATAAGTATCCATTGCCCGTCATTGATGACATCCTGTTTTCTACCAAGGCTGGTGCAGTCATGTCTACGATCGATTTAAAGTCAGGATACTGGCAGATCGAGGTCCACCCCGATGACAGAGACAAGACGTCTTTTGTCACGCCTTTCGGTGTGTTCCGTTTCCGCCGCATGCCGTTTGGGTTACGTAATGCGCCGGCAACCTTCCAAAGGATGATGGATCGTATCAAGGCCGGACTAAAGGAGGTAACTATCGTTGTATATCTTGATGATCTCCTTGTGATCTCCTCTGATCTGCAGTCGCACCTGCAGGACCTGCAACAGGTGATCGATCGACTGCGTGTTTTTAACTTACGAGCCAATCGAGGGAAATGTGTATTTGGTCGTGAGAAGGTAAAGTATTTAGGTCACCTTATCTCCGCGAAAGGGATAGAGCCGGATCCATCCAAGGTGGATGCTATCGTAAATCGGGAACCGCCGGTGAATCTGAAGGAACTGAAAACCTTCTTGCAAATCTGTTCTTGGTTCCGAAAATTTATTCCGGAGTTCTCAAAGGTGAGTGAACCACTTACAATGTTAACACGAAAAAAACAATCTTGGCTGTGGGAGGAACCGCAGAAGAGGGCTTTTGAAGAACTAAAGTCTCGCCTAGCTTCTGCCCCGATTCTCCGCCAGCCCGCTTTCGACGAGCCGTTCATTTTGAGGACTGATGCGAGTGCGTATGCCATAGGGGCCGTACTGATGCAGGGACCTGACCCCAAATCCGAACGACCTATTGAGTACGCCAGCCGGTTACTCACCAGTGCTGAGCGTAATTATACCACTACGGAGCGGGAAGCTTTGGCCGTAGTATGGGCGTTAGAAAAGTTCCGAGGTTATTTGGAGGGAGCCCAGGTACGTATCGGCACTGATCATCAACCACTGAAGTGGTTGTTCTCTCTGAAAACCCCCAGTGGACGTCTAGCTCGTTGGGCACTGAAGATACAAGGTTTCAATCTAGATGTTGAATATACTCCCGGCAGGATTAACGTGGTTGCTGATACTCTTAGTCGTCCTGCTGAGTCAACGAATTCTACGTGCGATGTATGTCCTGTTGTTTTAGACTTACCACATCGAGATCCAAAGACGCTCCGTGATGCACAGCTGGCTGATCCTGACTGTAAGAAGATCATCCTGGCTTTCGAGGATGCTGATCCTACGCGCGCGACTCTCTGGACTAATAAAGGGTACTATATGACGCAAGGTGTCTTATACCGAGCTGACCCCGAAGGTGAGAGTGAGGAACCTTTGCTTGTCGTTCCTGTTACCATGCATGATGAGGTGATGAAGGAACTCCACGATGCGCCGACAGCTGGACATCCTGGAATCGAGCGCACGTACCTGAAACTGAAAGAAAGGTATTATTTCCCTAATATGAAACAACTAGTTACGCAATATGTCAAGGCTTGTGAGCTATGCCAGAAGTATAAGCCTACCAACTTGAAACGCGCAGGGTTTTTACAAACCCCAACACCTCAGCAGCGTTTCGAAGTTTTGTCCATGGACCTGTTCGGACCCTTACCGGAAGGACCTAAAGGTGAGCGCTGGATATTTTTAATTGAGGACACAGCAAGTAGATGGGTGGAGATTTTTCCTCTCATAGATGCTACTGCTGAATCATGCAGCAAGGTCTTGGTCGAAGAAGTGTTCCTACGTTACGGTTTGCCCCGTAGAGTTATCTCCGATAACGGCGTCCAGTTTGTCTCGAATGTGATGCAAAAGGTAATGCTTGCTTTTGATGTCTATCAGAACTTAACGCCCTTATATCACCCTGAAGCAAACCCGGCAGAACGCAAGAACCGAGAGATGAAATTGATGCTCTCTATTCTTCTTAGTGCTGATAGCGATCATCGGGACTGGCCAAGTAAGTTACCCTTGATAAGATTTGCCCTCAATAACGCTCCAAACCAAGGTACTGGTAAATCCGCTGCTTACTTGACGTTCGCTCGAGAGATGCGTGCTCCTATACATCTTGCCGACGATATCCGTCAAGTTGTAAGTTCTAATAATTATGTAGAGCAGATTACACCCTACTTACGTCATTTCGCTGAGAATTTAGAGAAGGTAACTAGAAGAATCCGGAATGAGCAAGAGCGACGAAAACGATATGCTGATAAAGGTCGCCGTCCTGCTCCTGAACTTGCTGTTGGTGATAGAGTGCTGGTCGAAGCACATATCCCGAGCAACGCCTCTAAGGGTATTAGCCATAAGTTTGCGGCTAGACGAGAAGGACCCTTCGTTGTTAGACAGAAGGTGAGTCCCACCACTTTCGAGGTTGTAGGAAAGGAAGGCATTGTGAAAGGCAAGTATCATACTAGCGCCTTAACTCCTTATCATGGTTCGGATGCTACGTTGAGGCCCTTGAAGAAAAGAGGCCGACTCGCGGTTGCCAAGCCACCTCCGGGACGTACCGGTGACTTGGAGGGGGAGTCTGTAGCCATCACTCGATTACCTACTCTCGGTATTCGAGAGAGCAGAGGCCGCCAGCGCCGCCTCCCAGCTCGATTCCATGATTGTATACTCTAGATTAGCGAATGAGTTGTCTCTGCTTGTTAATTAGTCTGTACTGTCTGTAAGGTTATTTTAAGAGTGTCCATGTTTTTTTGTGTATTACAATAATTAATACGAGTTATATGTTTACCTCCAGTAAAAGTATATTCCCACAATAAAAAACGTTTTCTTTGGCCCGTAACCCCAAGAACTCACTAAAACATTTAAGAAAATAAAATGATGGACGCTCCGAAGTTACTTTGTGTTTTATTTAAAATAATAATTATATAAACCATTCTGCCTGCTCTGCCATATAGAACATCTATAGCATATAATAATATTATGAACAAATCTAATTAGTAATTGTAATTTTTGATCCAAAATAGTTTTGCAGACAGCATCAATCACTGATGTGGTTAAAATTTATTTTCCAAGTGGAAAATAAAACTGAATTGAAAACCTTCGTCTTTTTGAAATCGGTTGAAAATGAAGATGGACAGAAAATATCTTTCATTTTTCAGTCTGTTACACTTTTTGTATCAATGAATGATGAAATAAAAACTGTAAATTATATGGTAAGAAGGAGGTCGTACACGATCATAGACCTAATGCTTAATTAATTAGAAAAATAAATACTTTTTTCTGGTCACTAAAATATTCTTTGTAACGTCGTACGTAATAAAATATTTAAATATAAAAAATAACATTATTAGTCTCCCGCAAAACTCCACATCCATTACATAACAGGCATAATAATGAACCTATTTAAGGCGCCTAATAGTCGTTTGTGACATTCGTAAGTTCATACATCAAGTCATAAAGTACCGTCCTATCACAGATTAAGGATAGTACCTACGATCTTCTTATGTCTGTGTATGTCAGTTTGTCTGTCATAAAAAATAAAGAATACCTACAACGTGTTTCTAATCTGTGTCTGTTTCTGAACGAAATTTCTCTAACCCACTTTGTCATCTATTTTCTTTTGTATTTTTGGCATGTTTGTGTCGTATTTTATCTTGTTTTGTGTGAGAAAAAAGACGCAGGCAGGTTGATTAAATTTTCTAATAATGTCGTAGTCTTGCAGACATTTATATGCTGTGTAAATTCTAATAAATTAATGGAGTTGAAGGTCTGGGTCGAAGGAATACAAAGGATTGTTTGTGGGGTCACGGAGACTACTACTTGTCAGGTCAGTATATCATAAACTTAATTTCCGATCTTTGTGTTATTTATTTTATGGGAACTCAATTTCACTTTTACCGTGCGTATAAAGTTCTTAGAGTGTGAAAACATTTTACGTTTTGCAGGATGTAGTTTTTGCATTGGCCCATGCTACGGGCAAAGTGGGCAGATTCACTCTGATAGAGAGATGGCGAAATAACGAACGGCTTCTAGCCCCTCAAGAATATCCACTCAAGGTAATGTTTTGTTATTTAAGTCATTATTAAATTGAAGTTATGCAGAAAAAAAACTAGTGATATATGAGATGCCCATTTTGTCTTTATAGATTTTGTCTAAATGGGGTGAATACTCTAATGACATACAGTTTATATTAAGAAGATCTGATTCTGGCAATAACCAGAAACCTCTCCAGACCACCAGCAATACCAGATCTCCTATAGGAAATGGGTTTGTGTATTTCTTATAGTTTCAATGTTCTATTTCAATATTTGTTGATACAATTTTATAATTATTTGGATGATTTGTAAAAAATAAACAATAGACAAGATAGATCTTCTTGTTCGATCCTTAAGAGCTAAACATTTATTATTATTCCTTGTAGTTCTTAGTTATTTATAGTTCTAACAGCCTCTGTTTACAATGCTTAATTATTACCATTGCTAATGTATTAAAACTACTGATAATAATAATTATATTTTTAGCAGCCATAACACATCAAATCCAAATATCCTGGAAAGTCAAAACTCACCAAATAGAATAAATACAACACCAACTTACAATAACAATAATATAAGTAATACATCGCCGGGTAACCCTGTTGGAGTGGTGAAGGGTGTGCAGCAAACCAAGACACTAGAATCTGATAGTCCTGTGTTGAAAGATGTCCCACCTTATAGGTAATGTGTATAAGTATTTCCTGTCTGAATAATTTTAAAGTATTATGAGCCTTTTCTTTAATGGATGATAATTAAATGGCAACACCGTCTGCACTATTGGTATACACTGCTGAAGATGAAGCAGGTCAATTAGCCCATTATGATGAATTCAACAGTAAATCAATGTTAATTTTCAATAAAATTTAAATAATGCTAAATATTTTTTTTATTCGCTATTGAAAAAATTCTTTGTTTAAATTAAAATGTTAATTATACAGCAAGATAAATAAATAATAATAAAATGAAGCTGTCTGAATATTTTAATTTTTTAGCAAAAAAGTATTCGAAAGGTTTCAAAGTAAAATATGAAGTACATGAAAACTTTTCCTGATAGGTTTATGTGCATCTTATTATATTAATAATATTTTAGTTCCCTCTCAGAGCACTTTTTATAATAATGAGTCAGAAATAAAAAATGAATAATAAACAAAGATTTTAGTAAACTTAGTTATAAATATTTTTAAATAGTTATTTTTTATAAATCTACAGCCCAGTTCCTAATACAATTGTGGCTGAAAAGAATAAACAAGAAACTCAGCTTTAGTTTAAAAGTTTAGTTTCCAACAAATATCACACTTTTTTACACACTTAGAATACAATGACTATCACAAACTTCATATACATAAAAACTATAATCTGTGGCTGTACATATGCTTGACTAAATATTGGCATTTGTTTGTTAATTAAAATTTAGAGATAAATTTAAGATTGCCACACTGGTATGTTTCAGTATAAACCCTCTTAAAATATATTATACATTTATTTGTTGGCTTTTGTGGCAAATAGTTGATATGCCTATATTACCCACACTGGTGAGAAGATTTTTTTATAAACATTATATTAATTTACCAGAGAACCACCACCACCATATCGTTCACCACCACCACCATCACAAGCCTTACGGAAGTCTCCGAATCGTATGCGTGGCAATCGTTCAGCTCACATGTCACCAGTTAACTTGCCTGATGAGGGTGCTGATAGGAGCCCTGAAGCTGTCAGTTACAACAGCCAATATAGAGAGCTAGTTTCACTTGTTAACTATCAGAGGGAGAAACTGTCAAGTCAACAAGTTGATCTTATTAAGGTATTTAAATCCCATTTGTTGACTTCCGTTGATTCATTTTTATTTCCTTCTGCTTAATAAGAAGAAAATTTCATTTCATAAAAGAATGGTATCATATTACATTAGCTGAAGTTGTTCTAAATAAGTAAATGAATATTATGAAATTCTGTTAAATGTCATAATGATTTCTTGTTTGTAATTACTGCATACAGTTACATTTAGTATTTAGATTAACTATTAAGTCAATGAATAATTGTGCAATCCTTATATCCAATAGTATGATGCTGAAATCGGCTATTGGGAAAACAAAGGTCGTGAACAGGATCGTCAGGTGGAATTGTTGCAACAGCAAATTAGTTCTGCTGATAACCAACTACGCATTAGTACTGAGCAGGTAAAAGTTTAATTATAAAGTTCAATTATATTTTTTTACTAGCTATGCCTATGACTTTGTCGGCTTGGTAGTTGAAATTAACGTAATTTTATAAACAATGTGATTTTTTGTTATTTAAACCTTTTTAAACAATTTTTTTAATAATATTTTAACATTTAATAAAGGTTCAAGCCTTAAACTACATAGAAGAGGAAAGCGAAATTGTAAAGCAGAACGAGAAGACTCTGAAATCTGAAATAGTGCTAGTACGTTCGAAGTTAGCTAATTGTGAGACTGAACTTTTGCAATGTAAGAACAAGATACGTAAGCTTATGGAGGAGATTCACAATGAACAACGTATAGTTAATAGTCGCCAGCAGGAAAACAGGTAATGGCTTTCTCATGATGGAAACAAATTAATATGATTTATTTGCATTATACCAGTACTGACCTTAACAGGAGATTTGGGAAGGTTTGGGCCCAAAGAGAGCAATGTAGAAGTCGAGCATCAGCAAATCTCTTTAAACCGAAACTGGCAGGCGTGTGCAGTTGTTTATTGTTTTTACTTTTACTTCAATCCTTCTATTTTTTTTAAATAAATAATACTTATTGCGTAGTAATGTCCTTGTCTCCTTTTAAGATAATCCGTATAATAACAGAAACTGTCTGTTTATTTCAGACAAGCATTGGAGAGATCAATGCTCGCCGAAATGGAAAATCTGCAGAGTCAGATACAACAAGCAAAACACGCCACCGAAATAAATCATCTTACAGCTGAAAATTTGAAGCGAGAGGTTTGTTTTTATAATTTATTTAGAAAGGTTTCATTCACCTTAGGAGCTTTATCGACCCGCCACGGAATCTACACGTCAACATTTAGAAAGAATATTAATTAATCTGCATTTTTTTCTTATATATGTACGCGATATGTTTGCCCAATTTAAACACATTATTTACAATTTTTTTTAATGGATAGGGTTTACCAATTATAAAAAAAACAAAAAGTATTTTATTATAAGTCAAACACAGTGTCGTATACGAACGAAAATTCAGTAGCATATTTATTAATTTATACATAAATTCGTCAGGTGGGTGTATTAGAAGATGCAATAATGGAGAAAAAGCGTCAGGTAGAACGGTTAGTTCAGGAGATGAAGGAAGCCAATCTTCAGAGCTTGACAGGAAGCGTGGATGAACTACGTCACCCTTTAGATGGTAATTTTTTTATATTTTGTAGGTTTATACTAGAATTTTTCTAAACAAACAAAAAAATTTAAGCAAAAAAGTTTTAATTGGGTTTTTGTACATTAGCCAATCACGAAATGTGTTTAAATTATTCCAATATTACACCTTGTTCTTTAATATTAATATGAGGATATATAACTTATAATAATATTGTCTATATGTTAATACTGCATTTGTTATTTTAGGGTTGTGTAAAGCAGGTAGTGCACGAAGAATTATAGGTTCTCCGCGACAATTGGAGAACGCAGCCCCTACTAATAAAAACCCACACGGTGTTTGGGTATAATACCTAAGAAGATCCAGAAAATAATGAAGCAATCTCATATCTTATATTTGAAACAACACGCGTGACAATATTGAAACTGATCTTATGTTAGTTTAATTTATTCTTATTTGTGTTCAAATTAGTGTCATATTGGAATTTATTGTCACAAGCTAAGTATTTGTAATTTTAACTTTGTGTAGTTATAATTTTACAAATAGGTATCAATTTATATTTTAGCCTGATGAAAGTATTATCTTGTCTTGCCGTTTATTGTTTAGTATTATGATTCGATATCTCACTCGGATATTGTGAACGTGTTAAAAATGCATAGGTAATTAACTTAATCGACGATGAAAATACGTAGGATCTAGTGAGCCATGGTCTATTAGACTTGTTTGATGATGTCATGGTACTTTTGTTTTTATTGGTACTCGGTAAATGTTTTATATTTGTGATTATTTCGTGAATTGACATAGTGGTACTCATCATTATTAAATATAATAGAGAATTTAGATTTTAATTGTTTAATCAGTTTTACCATTTGAAACTCATAGGATCATTGTATTTAAGAAAGATGATACTATTTAAAATATTTTACATATTATTATCATTTATTTTACGATTTTAAATAGTACTTGAGGAAGAATACATTTTATGGTTAATTTGCAATATAGAAATAATTATATTGATAATAATAATCTAGTCGAAAATAAAAGCCATTGCAATATTATACCAACATAAATCTTCATGTACTTCATTAGAAAATTTGTGGCATTTATAATACAGTACGTATATTATAATTATGAGATCTAGATAAGCATATTAGATATAATTTTTAAAGTTCTTGGTGAAAATTGCAGAAGTATATTTATATAATTTTGAATATTATTACTCTGCATGGTTACTAATAGTAGTTAGAAGATTTGTGTATATTAATTCACGTATTAAATGATTTGAAATTAGGGATTTTATTTTATTTTGAATATGCCTATTGTTTTTGTTTTTACAGAAATCTAGTATTTTTGTGATTTTATCGTTGACATTTGCTTAAAATAACTAGCTGCTAGTCTTTATATGTATAACACATAATATCTATAAAATACAATATTAGTACAGTAGGAGAAGGCCTAATCTATCATGGTATATTTATTCTGAGGGATGGTTTGATCATCACTTTGTTAATGTTTTACGCTGATCGTAAGGCAATTTTTTATGTATGTCTGAATGTGTTATACACAATTGTTTATTCTGTGCTATGTATCTTTGAACCGTAAACAAGCTGACAGCACATGATAGTATACAGTGGTAACTGTTGCTAATAGACATGAACAAATCCGTGGACATAGAGAATATACTGTGATGATCATCATCCTTAATCAGCGTTGTCATTCTTGAGGTCAGCAGTGTTATTGTTATTGTCTGTCATATTCTAATTTTTAAACCAAAAGAGCTATGAAAGCCAGATGGTTGAGATTGAAACAGGTTCAAGCAGGAAGAGGGAAGTATGTTTACTTGAAATCTTTTTTGATTGTCAATGTTGATCAAATTTTCAAATATCAAAATAAATTTTCAAACGTGATGCTACATTTGTAAAAGTTATTAGTGTTGAAGAAATTGTTCAAATTGTGTAATGGTTATAACTGTTTGTTAGATAACAGACACAATTTGTAATTTGTTGGCGATTTCATTCTATTATCTACTTGACGGCGCAGATTACCTTTTATGACATTAGAGAATTGAATTATAATAATTGAAACACAGTTGATTATTATTAAACTTATATTCAACTTATTGACAAGAGTTGACTACGCGCATTTTATTCTTCGTAAATAATCGTAAATAACTATATTATAATTAAATTATTTACATCAATTTCCACATGTATTAATCTAAACAATTTATCACATTGTTGGAACGAGGGAATAAATGTGCGTAATCGCTCCAATTTTGGCAACACTATCCTATGAGAATAGTTTTCTACAAAGTAACTGTCGAAAATGCAGAACTCCCAAGTTGTTTTCTTGGTGATGACGAGAAAAAATAATTACATACAATAATTATTCTTTCTTAATTTATTCATTAAAACATTTGCTTTAATCAAAATAGTTATCTTAATTTTCCAATTCACTCTGTTATAATTTCAAACATAAATAGAGATTCTTCTAAATAATTAATTGTAACTTGGAACTAAGACTCTCGTTATACAAATAAAGCTTATAATTGGATATTATGTAATTGAAATTACATTTCAAATACTTTAAAGAGTATTAGGTAGAAAATGAGCCAATTCTCATATGAATTAGGAGAATACATTTTCACTGGGATTTACAAAGGTTTGGATCAGTATTATATTTACAGTGCTTATCTGTTAATCTGCTTTGGAAAGAGATGTTTAAAACGCAATTGTGAAGAGAACTGTACTGCTGATTGCATATGATTGCACTGTGTGCTGCCTCTGTATCTATAGTTACTTTAAGTCACTGTCCAAATAGACACTATGCTTTCTCCTCTTTCTCCTTGTTATACCGTTCAAGCTCTTTAAGAAATTGTCCCTTCGGTTTCATGACATTGGGCCTATCGCCACGGCACTTGGGGCAGAACCATTTTCCTTTAGGCTTAGTCGTAAGTGAAACACAAGAGAAATGAAACCACTCTATGGGGCAAAGGTCGTTGTCACAAAGAATCATTTCACCAAATGATATCTGATCACAGAGGCAGTACCTTGGTTCATCAGGATCAATGGCGTCTGTCTCCTCTGGTGGGGTCTCTGACCGTTGAGCTGTTTGTCTAGCTTTGCGTTTCTTCTTCTTACCTATACCTAAAAAAAATTAAATAATAAATATATACATAAAAAAATTAATACTATAATGTATCAGTTGTGGTTTTGTTTAGCAATTAGCTAGTTGACACATCCTTTGAGATTTAGGTTTAAATATTCTAAAAATTTTAGATAATTTTTTCTAAGAATTATAATACCTTTCTTATGAGAAGTATTATGTGCATGTCTTTCACTGTCTCGCTCACTAGAATCTGCACCATCTGTCGCAGCACCGGCAGTTGTACGCGATCGTCGTGCACGTTTTGACCACCTTTCACCTAACATAATAATAAACATAAAAGATTAGGAAAGCTATAAAAAAAGGTTAAAAATAAACATGCTCACGAATGTAATCTCTAGTAGAATAATAATTGTTAAAAATTTAAGACTCAACATGTTTACACTGTTTTAAGCATATAATTTTAGTTGCACATAGAAGGGATGAATTTATAGGTGTCACTTGGATTGATTTGATAATGGTGTTTCTATCACCAGATAAATTTAAACAAATGTTTAAACTTATAATACTTGTTAGAAAAATTGCACAAAATGTTAAATTGAATAGAAGGTAGAATATACTGTTCTAGCATAGGGGGGTTTAGTTCAAAGTTAAGTTTAACCAGCAATCTTTGAAGTTTTAAGCTGTTATAGTTATTTTTTTTAGAAAAATAAATAATAATAAAATACCTCCTGTTTTCTCCCTTTCCACTTTGTCCTTTTCTTTTTCATTAGTGCGTTCAGGTGGTGGTGGTGGGGCTACATTCAAGGGTTGGACTTGTAATGAGCTTGTATCTTTATCCACAGTTCGTGGAGTTTCTAATGGAGTAGTAGGTTCTTCTTTTGTTGTGCCATTTGTGTTCACATCAAGACATGAAACTGTAAGAACATTTTTTTAAATAAATATAATTAAAATGATCTATGATTTAAGTAAATAGTAATATATAAATAGAAATATGATATATATTCATCTAATGTGATAATTATTTTACATTATATTACTGTCCTTTTTTCTTACTTACATTGGGTAAATATCTTTAATATATTAAAAAAATATTCAAGTAAATATTGCTATTTTTAAGGGTAGGTATAAATCTTACCTAGTTTCTTGTGGTCAGCATCTAGAGATCTCTGTTTATTGTCTATGAGATCTTGTAATAATTGCACAACCTGTAGTTTTTCATCTCCTATTTCCTGGGCAGCAACAAGAGCTGCCTGTAACCGTGCTGCAGCTCGGGCACGGCGTCTTTCTTCAGTGTTTGCAGCAATGCAAACAGCTATATGTGTCTCTGCATCTCGAACACATTCTGTTAATAGATTGAGATAATAACTATTAGTCACAGTTAGTCTTTATTGAATAACAAATTACACTTAGTTACATTTACTAGCCTAGTATATATATATAATAGCATAAAACATTTTTAAAAATGTTTGATTTTTAATCACTCTTAAACAGCTAAATAAAATTGAATTTGAATGACATTTTGTATAATTGATCATATAATTTTTTTCTCATTATTTACAGATTACATACATATTATTACCCAGACATATATAATGTACAATTGTTATGAAATGTTTTTGTAATACAATGTAAATGATGGTAAATTAACATAAAATCATTTGATATTGTATTTTTTTACAGATACATATAGCCATCTGTCATACCCTCTCATTCTAAACGGGGTTATTTCCAATTTCTTAAGTAAATAGGTATAATATTGTTACTTCTTAACATAATATTTTTGAATAAAAGAAGGCGATAGAAAAAATAATAGCTCATAACTACGTTATTTTTGTTAACCACAACATAGATGTTATATCTATACATACATACATGTATATAAAATAGGATTGAATGACAAACGTCAACACAAGATTTTTAAAGCATTCTCATGAATTACATGTTGCTTCTATTGTATTAAAAGATAACCACAATTAAAGTAAATTGAGGGAGGAATCGAAAATAAAAGAATTACCTCTGTACGTTACGTCAAGCTCGCGCATACGCGATAAATGTCGTTGCAGGTCATTCGGTAGATTTTCAACACAATCTAGGTAATTTTCAACGTAGGTCGCAGAAAGCAACGCTTCAGTAGAAGTTTGACTGAGCATGTTTAAGATTTTACTATATTTCTTATCATCACAATATCAAAAAGATGAAGAATATTTTACTTTCAAAATGAATAACAAGTTCAACAGCGAATAGCCGTCAATCAAACTTCTTCAAGCATCGTCGTCGTTCAGAAACAAACATGACCAATGGATAAAAAAAAAAAAAAACAGTATGATCTCTGTACACGATCAAATTAGAAATATAAGTATTGTCATTGTTTTTAAGATAAAGAAAACAGAACAGTTTCCACAAAGTCGTGAACGACTGCTAATTATAAAAAAATTATTAAGTAGCAGTGATTGCTTTTTAATTGCGCAACGGATAAAATGTAATAAAAAGAAAAAAAAATATAACAGTATTTTCAATTCCTAAATTGCTTTATGTAAAAATTTATAATAAAACATACGATAAATTTTCGGTATGAAATTCTTTTTACTAAGGATTTTAAAAGACCCGGATATTATTTTTTGAAATTTAAATAGAAAAGTTGAAAACTATACCATATTTATTGTAATTTTTTTTTAACAGTTAATATTATTTGATAATAATCGTTGGTGCTGCCTCTGTTAAGCGATTTAAGAATTAAAAGTACCATTACGAATTAAATAGTAAATGGTGCTGTTCGTTAGAGAAAAATGTATTTAACGCATTTAGCGATTAGAAAGTAATACTAGAAATTTTTAGCAGAGGGAGACTTTGTACAAAAGTCGTCTGCTTAAATATTTTATTGGTATTGCAATGGTTACTATTACTATATACTGTTTTTCAATTTTCACAAAATATATTACGAAAAGAAACGTTGGTTTCTGTGTTAAAATGTGTACTATTAATTTCATATACATATCGAATAATAAAGGGGTGAAAAATATAAAAAAAAAATAAAGGTGATTGTAACGGGCATGTTTTCTGGAGAAAAGTTTCAGAAAAAAATTAGTTTCGCGGGTAGAACACTCCCTTAAAAAGATGCTAATAATTTTAACTTTATATAAAGTTATAATAAGTATTTATCAGTATCAATTGCGTAATTCATAGTTATGAGACCTTTGTATCTATCACAGGAAAAGTTAAATTTATTAAATTTTGAGAACTCGGTGTCATAGACGTAGATATGTAGGTATATTACTTTACGTAAATATTCTACACCCTAAAACTGTAAAATATTACACGAACAGTTTATGAAGGATTCCCAATTTGTAAAAAAATATCCCATAGCGTTATTGAGTTCATCGTCCGAAAGTCCCTCTTTAATAATATCTTAAAGATCGAGAGCGAGTCAGCAAGAGTGGTACCTGGTAGCCAGAATAACTAATAAATAGGTATTCGTTAAAGATTATACAGGTATATATGATTGGGCACGTGGCACATTTTGATGATGAAATGAAGGCTATATAATATGAGGATATTTCAAAAGCCATGCATACCTCTAAACCTTAATATATATAATGGATGCAGGTAGCTCGAGATCGTTTCTTGTAGCAGTCATGGGGAAGGTTTATGTTGTGGTATTATAAAATAAATCAAAATAAACAAACTTAAATCCAGATGTTATATAATTGAAATTGCCAATATTGATACTTTTATATTTTCTGTTTTAAAATACAGGAAATATAGTGTTTACTATATTTTTTAAAATGCCGCCTAGCTAGCTGATTAGAATGTACGAGAAAAAGGAAACTATAATTTTATCTAATACGAGTCCAATTTGAGTGGAGGCCGAGTTCAACACCTACAGTAATTTCACCCACGTCTTCTTTGTCATAAAACTAAATTGTACAACGCAGTGTTCCATATAAACTCACAGTACTGGCACGCAATTAAGTAAGTTATATCGACACAGATTTTTATGAACTTTTCGTGACACAGATTTGACGTGACCTGTTGACAGTGTAATCCCTTGAGTTTTCGGGTGGAGGGACAAAATTTTAAGTAAATTCTCAGTGAATCTGTGTTTTAATCACCAATGTCATCCACACTCATATTTGTGGGGTTGCCGGAGGATTCAAAGAGCTCAATTACAAAGTATGTACCTACTTATTTTAAGTTTAATTTAAGTTATATGAAATAAATACGTGATTGTAAATTTGACCGCTCATGTGGAGAGGTCGAGAGAAGGTTCTTTAGAATATTGTTTCAATGCATTTTAAATGTTTAAGAATTTTAAATAAAATAGCCTCTTAATTAGGTGGATAGGCTTGTCTTTCATTTCCCAATCGTTTAGCACCTGTTTATTATGATAGGACGTTATAGAAATACTTTAAATTTCATTCAGATAAATACTGTGAGGTGACTTGTATGTGATTCTCCTCAGAAACTATTGTAATTAATTCTTAAATTTGTTACGATGAACCTTTTTTTTTAACGTCTGGAAAATGCTTCCTCGTATTCTGCCAGCGTATACAGATAGTGCAGGTGAGGTTACTATTTGTTTATTATCCATTAAAAAAACTGATTAAATATAACAATATATATTTTGTATTATTAATATCTTTTGTAATACACGATAAATATATATGATTTTGTATTACAAAAGATATTTTAAGGTTGTTTAACCGTTTTTTGTAAGTAGTAACTAAGGATATATTTTGGGTGACTGTAAGAACATCTAAAAGAAATATAAGCCAGTATAAGCAATATTAATGTGCGTAACATACCTATATTAGGGAGAGAAGAGATTGTTAGTAATGAGGTTATTAATTGCTACCGATACCTTGTCAGGTCGTCTATCATTCGGTTACTGTAGAAACCATTGTGGATAATTCCTAGTGAATATATCACGATGGACCAATTGATCCATCTTTATCTTTATTATTAATTATAATAATAATGTTTATTTATTTATCTCACAACTTTTTTGAGTACAATTAAACATTTAAAATAATATACCATAGATACATCAAAGTTATAGAGAACTAGTGCCTGAACTGGGTATTCAAAGAACCCGTATCACAAGTCACCAGGACCCCTCCCTGGCACGAAACAGTTTATGGTAATACATACAACGGAATACACAAAAGTTGTTAGGCGTAGCAGATACAATACGAACACATGAAAATACATATACACACATCGTTATATGATATTTAAAAGTTTAAATAACAATCAGTCAAACTGGATATAAATTAGCAAGCAAAGGCAAGGTAATCAAGTACACTAAGACAGGGGGAAAAAAATAACAGTTAAAGATTAACTGCCCTGCCATTGTACACCATTAGCATAGGGTATATTCCATTTACATCCATCAAACACTTAAGAGGAGATCCCTAAATAAGTGGTAAATTTATCAATGCAACATTTGAAAGGTAAACAAGCTGACCACCTCATAAAAACAAACGTTTATGAGTAACACTACGGTTATTTAATTTCACTGTTAGATCCCATTATTCAAGCTAAAACGCAGCCATGTAAGCACAGCTGTTCGAAGGTAGAATCACGTGTTGCACTTACGCATGCAAACCATTTTTCTATAAAGATTCCCTTTTTATGTATTATTTGTCTACATTGGAAATATCACAAAATAGATGTATAAGTAGAATATGGATACAGATTGTGCAATTATAAAAGGCGCCCTTATCGCTAACAGCGATCTCTTAAAGACTACCTGACATAAAGTAGTAGGTATCTATTATCTACTTATATCAACACGACCAGGATATGTTATGCTCATTTAGTATACCTCTTCAGACTAATTGAAGCTGTAGGTTGGTCCAGATTTATTCCAGTTCACACGTAGGCGGCGTTTGCGCATTCGCCTTGAGTTTTCCAATTAAGGCGAACGACAGGCTTGCTTACGTTTTAATGGTTTATTTGTTCAAATTAGGAGTTATTGTGCAATGTTTTGGTTAGTGCATACGTTTTGTTGGCCTTGTTGGTTCCTTTCAGTGTTGCCAGATGTAATTTTTGATCTTTGATTTCTACGTAAATAGCAAATACTATTTATTCCAGATTTATAAGATTTCTTTTTACTCAATCACAAACTTGAGCTAGTTTTCACTACGTTTTGCCATGTAACCACTTTGCGAGTAATAACTGATAATACTACGCGAGCGCTGAAAAAAACGCCCTCATTTCATGTTGCAACTATTATCTTTATAAGCACCAAAATAAAAAATAAAAAGCTGAAATTTTTCTAAGCCTATTTATTTTTTCTCCAAAAATTTTGCGAACATATTTTTTTTTATCCAAAATATCGATAAAGAAATATACTCAATGTCAACACCGGTTTGTTTAGCACAAAATGAAATTGGTATTGTTCTCGAGCATTGTAAAGCCATACTTCCAGGTGTCACCGTGTTATTAAAATTACGCCACAGCGATGTGGTCTTGGAATAGTCGGTCCGTTTGCTTTGATAATTCGCCTCGCTAATTCTCATGCAATAGCAAGAATAAAAGGAACAACGGACCAAACAATAGAATTGCAGCCAGGATTGTGAATAAAATTAGTATAGGTTACATTATTTTCGTTTAAAGTTTCTATATAGGTACAGTTGAATTTATTATATGCATTATATTATTGCTGCAGTCTATGCACCAACTAGCCTTTGATTGCATCTATTTAACCATGTATTCTGAGTAATTGTGTATTTATTTGTAATTCCCATTACCTAATTTGGTGCAATAGTAAGTGTATCTTAGGCAAATCAACAATACCTAATGTAATAACTGTTTAAAAATCTTTGTAATATAATAAAATTGTAACTTGACTATGTCTGTATATGAGAGATAATTAAGAAAAGATTATGTAAGGGCTCTTAATAAGGGTAATGGCAGTCAAATCAATAATTTATAGAAATGTCTCTCTGTATGGTAATGGCTGGAAAGAAGCCATATAGTATATTTAAAAAAGATTCATCTAATGTTTTATAACTATAATTTTGATATGTAAATATATATATATAAAAAAAAAAACATTAGTGGAACTATAAAGTAGTATCATTTTGGAGTACGTCGTCTACTGGCTGTATGTTTGTTCCGGCATTATGCAAAAATTAGATACGGTTTTCACGGTTGTATTTCTAATATTCTAACTTAAAATCTGGTTTATCTTAATACGCCACCTAGAAGTTGTTTATTTCGTTGTTTTCCTACTTCAGAAATCCATTCTTACGAAGTAACGGGCAAAAAGCTAGTTGTGCAATACAAAACGCATTCTTCGTTGGACGATAGATATTAGATACTTATGCCATTATTTAATCATCCCGAAAGATAAAATTGTACAGTTTTTAATGACACGTATTTTAAGCAAGTTTTAAAAAGAGAGGTTTTAATATCCCTATAAATAGATACATCTATTTTTTTGTATGTTGGTACCTTTGATAATAAAAAAAAACATTCGTAAATAAGCTAAGGATTTTCCAAAAGCAAATAGGCTATTACGCGATCGCTCTCCTATAAAGGAGTTCGCTCTCTTATAAAAGACAAAAAACTTGTCAAAGGAAATGTGATTATACCAATTCATGCAGCCTGCAGGTTGCGGTATCACGTAATAGGATTATTTTGGCTTAGTCAAGAGTTTGTAACAGGATAGTCTGGTTTTCCGGGAAGCCTTATAGTATCTTGGCGGCTTTGTAATGCAATGCAACCTGTAATGATGGGGTGGTGAGATCGTCTATTTTGTTATAATGTCTATATTTATCATTCTTTATTTGTATATGAATTGAATATGTATAGTGAAGACGTTGTTTTGTGTAAATTAGCTCCCGGATCTTGGTGTACTCGGTCGTGCCTTCAGATGTTTGTGGCCTGGCTTCTTATAACACAGAGTATTCTATTGTAGCTTGGGGACTAGCTGATAGGTTTTATTGTGTGGCACTTATTTTACATTATGATTATTCTATGTACACGCTATTGTCAAATATGTAAGCCCTATTCGAAGTCTAAGTCAAAATATGATGACAAAATCCATAAAAATTCATCAAGTTTTTAAATAATATTTTAAAGATATTTAGACCACGTATATTTATTCGCATTTAAAGTTCTAATTATGATGATGCGAAGATAAATAACTGCTAACTACCTACTTACTCATCCATTGTTTATCATCTAGTATTATATTTTTCTCTGTTAATTTTGTTCTCTTACATTTTGTATTATTAGTTATGTTAGTCTAACGAAATACTGAAATTTATTAGCAAAAATATAAAGATATACCTGAGTGGTACATAGGTATCTATAGCTTTAAAAATCAAAGCTTCTGAGGAAGCGGAGGCGGCTGGCGGCGGCGACGCGACGGTCACGCACGAACTGTCTGCTCGCCACACAATGGCGGCACACCCTCGCGGAAGCTGCTCGGCTCGCTATTACATGCTCCGGTACTCCTTGCGGCGTCTGCGATCCTGGTCTCGCCCTCGGTACCGGCCAGTAATACTAACATATTGAATTATATTATAACCATATAATAGTGGTTGAGCCTGTCGAAACAGTGTAATCGAATAATGACTAGTCTGTCTAATATCTGTGTTACACATACAACAATTTTCACCCAAGTAATATTGGAAACTATCTACCTCACAAGCAATTTTAATAGGACGAGACACTAACAGAGTTTTTAGTACCAAACGAGCACAAGTACAAAACAAAATTTCTATTTCAGCCGTGAATGCTATATAAACTAATTCTAGAAAGTTTTTATGTTCATATTAAAAGTTATATTAAATTTGTACAGTTAGGTAACGACAATTGAATACTTTTGTGAGGCAAAATCTAATTAATTTTTTATTTATGATATTTTTTTGCATTCGACAGGAGTTAGATGCTCCTATATAAATTTTATGTAATAATATAAAGTGTAATGACACTATTTTAAGGGTAGGGATCTGTGGTTAATAGCGGAATGTTAATATGTCGGTATGGTATGATGTCTAAGTAGTTAAAAACCACTCTAGCACTAAACTCATTCAATATCTTTAAGGATAATTAAAAATATCTAATTGTCCTGTAGTGTTTATTAATATTATTTTTTTATTCTAATGGAGCTATATCAAGTCAAACTATAATACCAATTCACTAATTCCTAAGACAGT